AGTTAAATAGAGGAGAGATAAAGCTAATAGATATCTTCTATAGTTACTATAAGCTAATAGGGCTAAAATATACTATATAGTAGTATATATCTCTTAACTTAAATAGAATAGAGTAGGTAGTAAGGCTAATAGCTAATAAAGTATTAAGCTTATTAATAATATAAAGCTTACTATAGAGGGTTACTAAAAATACTATAGCGTTATTAAAGAGCGCTATAGCGCTATAGTAGTTAAATATAAACTAGACGCTTTATATAGCTAGCTAGGGGACTAATATAAAGTTAATATACCTATCTAGATAGTATAGAGTATCTCTAAGCGTTATATTAAGTATAGCTATATTAAATAGCTTTAGTTAATAGGTATTAATACTCTTAAGCGTTATAGAGCCTCTAACGCTATAGGTTAGTAGTCCTCTAAATAGTATAGTATTAATAAAACCCTCTAATTAATATATTAAGTACTAAGTATAGCTAGTATTTAATATATAAATATACTAAAGTAAGTCTATATAGGTCTAACTATTAGTAGTAGAGAAGTTATATATTATAAAGTTAAATAAGGGAGGGTAAAAAGGGCGCTATATTTTAGAGGTAATACTATAGATATAGAAGGTTAAGAACGCTAGGTTAGATATAGAACCCTAATAGACTAGAGGCTCTAGAGGCTAATAATAAGTAAAAGACTAAGTAGATATATTTAGAGGCACCTTAATAGGCTTAACTTAGTTATATTAGGCTTTCTTTACCTTTTATTAAGCTCTCTAAGCGTTACGCTCCTTATATTTCTACTCCTATATAGAATATACATAGGGGTGCTTTATAATATATATATTATCTAGGTAGCTATTCTTCTTATAGTAGCTATATTAAGGCCTATTATTATTATTTATTATAATAAGAGTAACTAGCTTATTAATACCCTTAGCGTATTATATTAATATATATTCCTCCTTTTTAGCTATTATAACTACTTTATTAAAGGTTATAGTAGGTTTATTAATACTATTAGCTATCTTTAAAGGTAGGGGGTTATAGGCTTAGTTAAAAGATATAAAGAATATATTATATTTAGGGCTTAAGCTTAATAGGAACTTATAAATAAATAGGGGCTTATAAATCTTAATCTTAATATACAAGGCCTTAAGTTTAGAGTAAGCCTAATAGAGTTTTATTATGAATTAAGTAATAAAGCTATAGGCTAAGAGTATAAGGGAGTTATACTATATAATAAGCTTTTTAAATATAGTAGAGCTAATAAATAGGTACCTCTCTTTAAGGGTAGTAATAATAATAGGGGTATTAAGTATTATAGCTAGCTAACTAATAGTGGGGTTTATATTAGTAGTAAGTTAGGGATTAATAATAGTAAATAGTTATTTATTATTCTATAGGTCTAGTTAAGTAATTATAGGTCTTTAAAGGGCTTAGTAATTAGTTAAGTCCTTAATAAGAGTTATAGAGTAATTATTACTTAGGTATAGCTAAAAGTCTTAAGTGAGAATTATAAGTTAATTACTAAAGAGCTATAGAAGTCTATACTTAAGCGGGCTTAAGTCTATCCTATATATAAGTCCTATTCCCCTAGCTTCTTTATCCTTCCTACTAATTGCGTTATTAGTACTAGTAAGCGCTTAGTGATCGCAGGTGAGCGCTTAGTAGTCTTAACTAAGCGCTTAGCTCCCCACTTACCTTACTTAGTCTTATCTTATTATTACGTAACTTATACTATAGTTCTTCCGTTCCAAGAGGGATCCCTTCTATTCCCGTGATCCTATGTATAAAAGTGTTATTATAACTGCCTAGCTCTCTGTGGGCCCTAGTCCTATTGGTTATACTTAATGGGTTGTAACATTAAGGTACTAAGTAATAGCTTTATTATTATTATTCTTTTTATTTATCTCTTATTCCTTAAATATAAGTAGCTAATAAGGCTTATTACTAAGGTAGAAGTAAATTATATTAATAGCCTTATTATAAGTATTAAACTAGCTATTTAGAAGGTTACTAAAGACTAGTTAAGTTACCCCTTTAGTTTAAGTAGGTATAGCCTTTTAGTAGCTAAAAAGCCCTAAATACCTCTAAATAAATAAGAAGTCTATTATATCCTACTTCTATTAAATCTAGTTAGCTAAAGATTTAAGTTTAGTAATTAATATTAAGCTAGTAGTACTAAAACCTTATTTAGTCTCTATTTTATAGTATAGAGAGGTATAACTATAAAGTCTCTTATATAGACTAATAATAGTACTATTAAGCGCTATATTCCTAAATTTATAGCTTTATAAGTTATTTATTATACTTACTAATTAGTATAAAACCCTAAGTAATAAGTATTAGGTTTAATAGCTTCTTTAAATAATAAGGGGGAGACTATAGATATTTATTTATATTAAGGTTTATATATACTACTAATATATATATATATAGTTTAAATAGATTAATATAGCATTTAGTCTTTTACTTATAGCGTTATAGAGAAGTAAATAGACCTAAAAGATCAATATATAGCGTATTATTAATCTAAAAAGGTATATTTATAGTATTTAGTAGTAATTTAAAGTATACTATTAGTATATTAATTAATAAGGATATATTATAGGGTAACTTAAAGTATAGAGGAGAGTATACTATAAGCTTAAATAAGTTAAATTTATTAAATTTAGAGGATATATCTTTTAAATTAATATATCTAGTAGTTAGTAAGGTATCTAATTAATATAAGGGGTCTAAACTATAGTTTAAGCTTTAATAATCTATAAATACTATTAGATTATTATTTATAAGAGTAAATTCTTCTATAAGTTAAGGGAATTAATATTTATTAAGAAAGTAAAAGAGAAGTAGCTTCTTAATAGGCTAAAGTTAGAGATTATAATAGATATAGCTACTAACGCTTAGAGTAATAAATAAGCTAAGCACTATAATAAAACTTATTTATATAGATAAAATTAGTTCTATATCTATTATAAGTCTTATAATATATTTAGTAAGGATATTTTCTAGTATTTTAGAGGCTACTTAAGTAATATTACTATAGTATTATATTATAATAGAGTTTTTAATACTATAAGGGGTCTAAGTAGATATATTTAGTATATTAGAGATTCTAGAGTATAATTTCTAAAGTATAAGGGCTTATTAGGGGTTTCTAGCGTTATATAATATAGTAGGTTACTTAGCTTTAATATATATAGCCCCCTAGGCTTATAACCTATTAATAATAGATATATATAAACTTATAAGTATATTACTTAACTTCCTTAGGGCTATAAGAGGTAGGCATAACGCCCTCTATATATATCTAGGGATAGCTACGCTACTCTACCCCTATTAGGTCTCTAGCCACTATAGCACGTACTGCAACAGAGATTGCTTGCCTCTTGTACCTAGAAACCCTGAAACACGGTCGGGCACCTTCGAAACTTTTGCCCACTTCACCTTGGACTTCGATTGGCCTTCCGGCGACGCTCCTCGCTGTAGATCGCAAAACCAACCTTTGCTCACGATACTTGACTTCATTGTCATCAGTATCCCCTTGGCTCTTTCCAATTCGAAGGTTGGGCATGGATTTGCAGAATGCTTGCAGACGATCAGTACCCTCCCAGCATTCGGCAGGCCTATCAATATCGAACCTCGCTCCAACTTCTATGGGTTTGTGAGGCTGAAGTCGACTCAGTCCAAGACTGATGAATCACTCACAATATGGAGGGATACATCTGAATCAGATCACCAACATGGGCTCAAAGTTGCGTCTACTGTCGCGACTTCTTTTCTGGCGAACATACGTCACAATCCCCTCCGAAGATTACATTCAACACAACTCGGATCACATTCGACAGATCAAACTCTCTTGAAGGCACTGAATAAGCGAGAAGAGTTGGAAAACATCACCAAAACCTGGATGATCAAGGAAGATTCCATCATAATCAACTGTCACGTGTACGTCGGCTTTACTCTCTCATTCGCCGCTATTTTGGTTGTCGGGGGCCTTCTCTGTGGCTTTTTCGTCGGTGAGAGAGTACCTGGAGTCGACCCATTCAATCTAACCATGTTTTCATGGATTATTGGCGGTTTTGGTCTACTAGTGGCCAAAAATATCAGAGTTTCCGACTGGAGCTGGCGGGACTTCCTGTTACGCCGCGTAACTTGCCGAACGGTGAAAGAGGTAGCTGATGTTACTGGGATGGATCAACAGGATGTTCTTATGTTTCTTTTATCATTGACTCACAGTCCACTCAAGACAAGCGGTCCGTTTCAAGGAGCATTTAACCAGCCCACAGGGTACGGTGGCTTCTCCATTGATGTGACACCAGACTTACAGACGCTATTGGCTGCCGGAATTGTCCCTGTTATGGTTCAAACCTTGACTGGTCCTGGTTTGGTATGCCTTCGACTGATGGCCGGACATAACGGCCTGAAGACCGTGAGAGGTGCGGGGAAATTGAATGACAGAAAGGAGATATACCCTGAGTTTTCGGTAGTTTGCATCGACCCTCCCCATCAAGACGAAGATCGTGACGGAGTCTTCACATTAGAATCAATGGAATGGTTCAAAGTTCTTGGAGTGTATAATTTTGCTCAAGCTAGATTTAGATGAGAAAGGAGGTCTTAATCTGATAAAAGGTCTATTATCTTGTGCTAGTGTTTGACTTCTTTCACCTGAAAAACATGAATCTGATGTAGATTCTCCCCTCTCGCATGAGTTCGAATGTTTTGTGGTGGACTTCATGTCAACTCGTGCATAGGCAGTGGATCTCTAAAGCAGGCTTTTGAAAATACATGAGATATCGAGAGGTAAGCTTCACACTGTCGGCGGAAGCTCTTCTTCAGCTAGAATAGTTCAGGGAAATATTGGTCTGTAAGCGTAGAGCCATCCAGGAGAAGAGAAATAGACTAATCATACTCATAAGTAGCATGCGACAGGCATCAAGTTTCTTGTCGAGACCAACCTGACAGGCTAATCGTGCTATTAGGCTGTGTATTCCGCCCAGAAGAAATTTATGATCCGTCTTGATGCTTATGATTTCCCTCGTTTTCCTGCCTTCTACGCTCCTCTAACCTAGAAACCAAGTGTGGCGCACGTTTCTTCGCGAATTCCAGGGCCGTAGAACCATCATCTACCATCTTGTCCGCCGCAATATCCGTGCGGGCGCCGCGACGGAGCAGCTCCTCGACGATGTCGTCTTTCCCGCAATACACCGCTATATTCACAGCTGAGCCGAAATCGAAGTGGCTCATACGACCATAGCGGTTGTGCGACCACATGCGCGCATCTATATCGGCGCCGGCATCAAGAAGATACTGCAACACGTCCATCCGATCTGGGAACTTTGCGGCATGGTTTGGACTCGTCCTCCCATAGCATACGTACGGAACGGCCAGATCCAATCTGCCACCTGCTTCATGGAGCAATTTGACGATCTCCAACGGTGCCCACACAATGGCGCGCAGCCAGGGAGTCCAGCCGTACCGGGCCTCGGCGTTTGGGTTGGCGCCATGGGCTAGGAACCACTCGACTAGTTCTTTGTCTTCTAGTATCCATCTAGGATGTTCTGGTCAGCCTATCGTAAACTCTGAAAGTAACAAGAGGACGTACGCCAAAGTGGGCGGATCAGCGGTACTATATGGGCGGTTGATGTCCCAGCCGTGGTCCAGGAACGCCTGCCACATAGTTGGTCGGCATTTAGAATCGACAGCTTCCTGCTCGGCTAGTACGCTAACATGCATACCCTCATCAAGTAGATACGACACAATTTCGACTTGTTGTTGTCGAATTGCGAAGAAGAGTATAGGCTCTAGAGTACCAATTGGGTACTCCGGGGGTCCTGGGGGCGGCGTGGCTGCTGGGCCTGCATTCTTCCATTGCCTGACTAGTTTTCTAACCTCTTCCAGGCGACCGTGGGCGCACGCATCACATAGTTGTTGCATTAACGGGTGGTCTGGAGAGTAAAATCGTGTGATGCCGTGGGGTTCGAGATCTAGTTCGTTTCCCGTGCGGAAGGGTCTGTGGTCTGTGAGATTATACGTTGTCATCTTGAAGAATGACTGTGCGTGGAATTTGAGATAGGCGTGTAGAGGTTGACCAGAGTCAGATGAGCGGAAATCAAAAACACGATGAGTGAATGGAGAAGCGAGATGGTTCTCAGCACATATCTTATATGTCAGCCCGTTGGTTGGAGTAATCACGTGTGGTTGTCAGACCGGGCGAAGAGCGCGGACGGGACAGAGGCGGGGGCGGAGCTGGGGGCGGGCAGACTCGGCAGTATGCATCTTCGGGGCGGGAAGCTGATTTCTATGGATGATATCCCGCCGACTTCGTTGCGCCAACGCGTCGCCAGAGAACTCGCCGTGAATACAATGCATCTATTTCTTCTTGCCTTTTTGGGAAGTTGGTGGTGATTACTTTCGTTCATGAGACTCACACGCGGTCGACTTCTCCTTTCGGCATCATTACCATTTCCAGGACTCAGACTCAATGTCTCCGGGCGATGAAGGATTTCTGCCTCAAATAGACTTCATTGAAAGATTTACCTTAGCGAGCGATGTGATCATTTGGTATTCTCGCCGCTGTCAACTTCACACGACACTGCAGATACATTCATGCTTCGACCGGCGACTTCATTATGCTGGTGATTCGTTTGTGCCCGCAGTCGGCTGGCTGGGCTCTTGATCAATGCCATAGAATGAACATAGAAACTTAGAAGCGCTGAAATCTACGATGTATATAATGTCTGGATTGTCCCTTCATTGAATGAATTCGAACAGAGCAATATAAACACAGCAGATTTACTCAAGCCATCGCAACTTCTGCAGGAATTCGAACACAATCACTGCATCGATCCATCTACATCAGCTTTACCAGCATATTAGACATTCTGAATCTAGAAAACCACGGCATACTTCATCAAAATGCAGCTCATGAAGTCCATTTTCCTTCTGGGCCTCTTCGCGGTCCAGTCCTTGGCTGAGCCAATCCGCGTGGCCCGGTAAGTGTCTTTTACCTCCAATGATATGCATACGTAGTCCGTCAGACTAACATAATTCGAACTAAAGATCTCCAAGCCCAGCCGTCGCCGAATATCAGCGCGCAGTGGCCTCGCACAATGACAAGAGACAAAATGGCTACGTCGAGTGGCCAGTGGGGGACGATGTCCCAAACGTTGATATGCGAGATTTCGACAAGGTTGGCCGTGGCGGATCAATTAGTAAGAAATTCTCCTGGCAGACTTCTTATTTTCCCAGTGGCATTCAGCACACTGTCAAACGCGGGTTGCAATCGACTAACCATAGATTGCTGCAGAGACCGATGGCCTTGCGAGCTGTATCGCCATCGTCGTCTACAACAAGACCCCGCAGGACGATGATAACGACAAGTTTCTCGCGCACATCTCGGCGCTCGGATGGGAGGACCAGCTGACCCCCTTTTTCGAGGCCATGGACCTTTCAGACCCACGCGTCATGATCATCGTTCCCCTGCCTGAAGAAACCGATTCCCCGGCTGTCATGAAAAAGGTCAACGAGGATTTGATCGCAAGGGTCTTTGACGAGTGGGAAGACTACGATCCCAAGGCGTACGTCCGCGACGGAGCCCGCGTGAACGAACGTGGTGGTTCTCGCCTTTGGGTCGACGGTGACAATGTTGTTCACTGGAGTGTTACCGGAGCCGTGATTGAACCTCGCTAAGGGCGCTCTGTGCAACTCGACCTGCTGCGGAGGTTCGACTTCATGATGGCTTATTCAACTAGATGTTGTTCGGAGTCGGTCTCGATTTGTTTGGATGATGGCGGACGCCGCCGCGTGCATTGTATTCTTGTGTCTTGGGGACATTTAGTCGCTCATTTAGGTTGCTGTTGGTTTGACTTATAACTTGAAAATTGTTGTTAGAGTATTGGTGTCTTTTAGACATCATTCACGGATGATTTGCGAGGGGAGACTTTGAAAATGGTGAAAATGATGAACATGAATGTTTCGCATTGCGATAGAAAATCGCATTCTTTGTCAAACTTTGTGAGACTCATCTATCACCCTGAATTGAGAGTGCCAATGTGAATGGAATAGATCCATAGTCACCGATTTCGGTCGGGATCAAGGTACCGAAACTTGAAAACATTTCTCAGGGATATGTTCTGATACTCAAGTTTAGTTGGTAACGGCAGATCCTGCATTTTAAATGAGAGAGGGCATTGTGACGTATTTCATTTTTACCCAGCATTATCCACGTCTGTCTTCAAATAATGACATTCGGAAATGAATATACTCATAAAACAAAAGGTTCAGGCAGGCTCCCGCTCATCGTACCGTTGTATCATTTCTCTACCCAAATACCTGGACGCTGTTCATAGAGGACACACACGACAAAGACGCATATGTCTTCGAAGCAAGTTTCTCCTCCATATGTTTCAGTGCGGGTTGTCCTGGCCATAGAATCTCAGCACCGGTCTTTGCCTGCAGCAAATAGTGGAAACTGAGGCCTAGTTTGCCGTCAAGTTTCTCGATTTTTGCTAGATCTTCCAATGACTGAACAGAAAACTTGTCACGCGGCTTTTGTTTCCATGAAGATGTATGCTGGATAACAGACAGACAGTAAGCTCTTGCCATGTCAAGTTTCCCCATATCTATAAGAACATGGGATAGAGTGCGGGCACACAGGCGAGCTAGAGTCGTGTGTGGGCCGGATGAGCGGACCTTGGTGTAAAGATCTCGTGCCGCGGCCTCGGCGATGGAGAGCTTTTTGTTTCGTCTAGCCGTACCGATGATGAGCCGCTGGAGAGAACATGACGCCGGATGACTATGCCCCAATTTCTGGTTGAAGTTGTCTCTTGCTCTGGAAAGTGAGACTTCTGATATGTCGTTGTCATCGGCACTGCAGAATAAAAGAGCGCACAGCTTCCTAATGGGGTGTAATTCAGGTACTTTTGTCTTCAAGGATGCCAGAAAGGATGCCAGCATCCGTTGTCGTAGATCGGCGCAGGTCGCAGTGTTGATGGGAGATAGTGTAGCAAAAAGCTCCCAGACAAACTCAAAAGAGATGAATCGTGATGTTTCGAAGTTCAGGACCTCTTCGATCGAACCACGACTTGGCGGTGTCTTGGATCCGATTTTGGTGAAATAGATGGCATGTTTGACGTCATCCCAGAATGATTGAGGTGCTGGGCCCATGTCGTTGCTGGCCCCCACGCCAAGGACGTTATCGAGTTCAGCTCTATTGCCCTGTTGCAACCGACAGCAGGCGTCCACGCACTTGAGGATTTCTTCCCGCCTCCTCGTCCTGAGGTCGTCGGTTGGTGCCGGCGGTATGGGTGTGCTAGCAGCGCCAGCGAAGCTCATGGCGCCCGGCAACGCGTCGGAAAGGCCATGATTTGTGTATGGCTCTTCCAGGACTCTTAGCAGTCGTTGTATCTCTTTCAAAAAGCTCATCTGGTGCCTGATAATTCTTTTCCGATGTTGTGGATTGGCTAAGGCTGTTTGTCGAGTGTTAGGTGTGTCGGAACTCAAGTTGGCGATCGCCACTGCCTTGACTGCTTTAGACATGTTCTTGTACAAGCCCCATTTGCGAAATCTTGTCTCGAACACTCGCTTCCTAGGTTCATCAATTAAGTAAGTTCACAGGTCCGGAATTGAAAGTCGCGAAAGGACTTACGATGCTTTGAAGTTGTATTTCTTCTCCATTTTACTGCGCAGCTTGTCCATCGTCGTGCTTTGGTACAGACTGGTGATTTCCTCTCTGTGAATCTCCCAGTCGCTTGCTGACGGCCCAGTGGTCGACATTGCTGTGCTTCGGCTGGTACCCATACCAGCAGCTGATGCCGATAAGTTCGCGATATGCCGCGGCGCCATAGTTTCCGTGTTCTCCATCGAAAAGAGATTCTGTGTCATAATTCAGGGACTTATTTAATGTGAGTCGCGGGAACCAAAAAATGGCTTTGTCGAAAGGTTTTCTTGGAATTTCAAGTTATTTCTTACACAAGATATAAAACAGACTGAGCACACTTCAAAGTTGGGGCTGTCATTTCCATCGTCAACCTTAGCACAGCCTCCGGGGCTGACTGGGCTTCCGGAGTCTCCGGTTGCATACATCGCCCATCATATCCCACACTCACCGAATCTTCACTGTCGTCAGATTTTCACTTTTCTGTGATCTTTGATATCTTACCACGGACCCCGAAGGCTGGAAATGGAATATCAGAGGGACTCGTCGGATGCCTCACCAGCCTCTCGTTCCCTAACATATCCCACTTCTAGCGTCCTTATCGAGGCGCGTTGATTGTAACCTAGATCTTAGTTCCAAATGACTCACCAGCACATATCCAGGCTGTGATGTCTTCCATTGCTTCGCGTTAGCGCGTTCTCCCGGCAAGGCAAACCGCGAGGCGGACGGAGTCGTTAATAAGCTTGAGGTCCATTTAGGCTACCAGGCTAATTTGTTGCATTGGGTGAGGCTTCACTGCATCCAGTGGTCGCAGAACACTACGTTGGGTGCAACGCGTGCTCAAATGCGCGCCCGCTGCATCGGGGCTAGTGAACGATGAGACAGGAGCGCAAGTGTGCTTTGCTATGCAGCACCGAGTGGATCATGATGTGCCCCCGAAAGATGCAGGAACGAGATCCGCCTCGAACAATGTTTGAAATCGCAGCAAGGCTAATTAACTTGCCGCAATAGGTATGTGGCACAAGAGCCCCTTCTAAATGAAATGGAAAAAGCTTGTGATAATCAGCTGCTGATGGTTATCAAGGAAGGAGTCACCCGCAAGGAGTCCGGACTCCGGCTTACAAGGAAGCTCAGTCCCTCAACACACCAGCCTGTACGAACCAACAGTTTCATTGCCTTGATATGACTCCTCCAACGTCCAGTCTTCGAACCGCATCGCCGCGCACGCCTTTGCTAGGTGCTTTTGTTAGGCGTGCTACTTCAGCCACGGATAACGACTTTGTTTTACTTTTCCCGCTCGCGCCTTAGGTTTGAATATTGTAGCTCAGCTGAAGGATTCTTTCGCAACAAAAGCACCATGTTTTACGGCAATGGCACGCTTGCTCGGTTACACACGAGGCACGAGGCGATTCGAGCCCCCCACCGCCACCTAGAATCGACCTCAAAGCTGCCCCGTGCGAAGCTTTCGCATTATTAAGAAGCCAGAATCACACTGTCAAAATTTTGTCTTATTTTGCTTCGCCAAGTGAATCCACCACTGCCGCGCGATACACGGACGTCACTGCCTATCAACTGCAAGTCGCAACCGGCGTCGCCCACGACAAGTTTGATTTCCCGGTTGCAAGAGGCAAGTTTTACGACCTTGGTTCTAGCTTCTGCGAGATAGCTTGTCTAACGATGTTGCAGTTATTGACAGAAGATGTCAAGCAAAACTCCGGGCCCAACAACCCCCTCCGATGCCGAAAATGGCCAAGGACTTCCGTCGATTCGGATTGCACGCTCGGCACAGGAGGGATCCGTCCCACCAAAGGATGAAGACGAAATTTCGAATCTAGCTCAAAGGGAGTCCAACGATAGTCATCTCAAACCAGTCTGCTGGGGCTCAGATAACAACGCCTATTATCTAAGCCCGACTCGTTTCCAACCCCGAAAGTTGAGAGTTCAGACTTCGGCGCACAAGATCGAAAAAGAGTGCAACAGTAACCAAAAAGACTGGATTTCTGAGGAAATCGGTGGCAACATACCGATGTCGATGCGCTTGTGCCGATGGGCTCTAGCACCTTCCGAACAGACTACAACTTCCGATCGAACAAGGCTCTCTCACCTATGGGCAGCCATTCGATTCATCAACACGATTCTGCGTGTCCTCCTGGTTGCCTTCCCGCTACTCGTTATCTTGGCGATCTTTGGCCCAGATTCACTCATGTGGGAAACCTCGTCAGGCGACGCTCAATTCTCGGGGTTCATAGGTCTTCGCCAGCAGTGGCCCAAATTTACCATCAATAAACTCGATATGGAACCTGGCCATTCAAGAAACCAAGATCCGACAAGCTCGAAGCCGAACGAGCTCTCATCACCTCCCCTGGATGTCCGAAAACGCCTCGAGTACCCGACAAAGCTGCTGGTGAAGCAGAGCAACGGACAATGGGAAGTAGAGAGGATGATCGACAAGAATGTTCGACCAAAGTATCTGTTCATCAGTCACATCGGGTCAAAGACCAGAGAAGATAAGGAGAAATACCTCGAAACGGCAAAGCGATTGGCGGACAGGGAGAAGTTCGGCGCCATCTATCTTGACGACTGGTGCTTCACGAGTTCGAGACAGAAGAGAGCCGAGAAGATGTCAAAAGAGTTGGGAGATGCCATAACAGACTATGAGATCTACACCCTCTGCGACATTGTGCGAAGCTCAGGCCGAGTTGCTGTTATATATCCAGGCTCCACGGCGCTTCCCGACTCGGTCACTTTCAAGAAAGAATGGGGCAAGCGCATGTGGACTTTCCTCGAAGGTCTGCTTGCGCCGGACAAGTCAGTGCTCTTCTGTCCGTGGGACTATGGTAATGGGCTGTCTGTTTCGGATTCGTCGATCGAGTCTCTCAATAAGATTGAGATGACTGCCCAATGCTGGGATATCGATCGTGGAAGGACCCAAGAGGAAGGCGGTACTTCCACCCGCCTGCTCGCCGAGTATTTTTCTGGACTTGTGTTCATGAGCACACTAGAGCTTCTCCCCGTGGTCTTCCACGCTCTGAGCTCACGCAACCGAGGCAACCAAAACACCTTCTCGGACCTAGCTTACGCAGCCATGGGCCTCCTCCGCTTTCGTGTGGACAAACGAGACCACGAGAATCCCACCCTGTTCCAGACGCTAGCCCATTTATCCGTCAAGAACGACAGCGACGAGATAATCGAGCGCCTCATAAGCCTTCTCCCGCGCCACAGGGAAGACAACGACATTCCTCTGCATGCCTCGGATGACATGGTGTGGACGAACCTCTGTGAACCTGATACATACGGCACTCTCGTCCACCACATTACCCCGCTCTGCGAGGTAGTCGGCATCGCAGAGGAAGACCAGACTGTCTTCATCGACAACTGTCACGCAATAAACATCAGGTGGAAAGACTTCCCCGAGGTGCTGGTCTCGGGCGAACGTGGCGGGATGTGGAGGACGATAACCCGGACCCTCGTGTTCGGGGCGCTCGGGGTGACTGCGCTGGCGGTGCAAGGCGTCTTGGGCATCATACTCATCCGCCACTTCTCCGACATGGTGCGTTCCGACGACGGCGAAGTTTCGAGCTTGTCGTTGTCCATGATTTCCTCCCGGGCCTTGCGGACATCCACGCCCACGACGGAAAAGTTCTTCGTCATTCTCACGATTGTCTCTTTGGGGCTTGGGTATTTGATGGCTGTGGCGATTCCATTCATTTCGAAGAAGATCTTTGCGCAAGCGTTCGCCAAATGTAAGCCTTGCCTGGTGGGCTTTGAAGGCGTCATGCCGCTCGAAGAGTTGGAGAGACACATATTCGGCGTAGTCGTCAACCGACTGGAATATTCCCCATCTGCATCACGCATCTTCACTGACGACGACGACTTGGATCCCGATAACCGTGCTTATCTACACGGCAAGCCGGAGTGGATCGAAAAGAAGTCGCACGGGTTGGGAAACCACGACGACAAGATCAGAAAGCTTCTCATGAAAGGGCAGCGGGTTTTCACACTGGTCGACCTGGGGGAGTTCTCTGTCACGATATTTGCTGCCGAGAGGCCCCCGTCCGTCGCTTTGCTAGCTGGCAGAGAGGGCGGTATGTTGCGTGCTGTGTTATGCAGCTGGGATCCGTTGAACGACTGTCTCTACAAGGAGACCGTGGTCCGAATGCCCTCAAACGTTTTGCATTCTTCGAAGCCAACATCCTGGCTCAAGCTGTGTCTCCAGACATGGAACAACGCGCGTGAAGCTCGGCACATCGCTACGGACACTCTGAAACATGCTAAGAGGGCAGAGGAGCTGGCTGCCGAAGCCGAGAAGTCTGCTTCGAAGGCTGAAGAGACTGCAAAGTGTGCCGAGGAAGAAGTTGAATGTGCACGAGAAGAGAAGCGCGAGCCTGTTGTCACGGATGTCGAGGTCTCAGAGGCGAGGGCCGCGTCTGATGGCGCAAGGGCGGCTGCGAATGAGACGCACAGGGCCGCCGGGAGAGCTATCGCTGCCGTTAAAAGCGCAAAGGCCGCGACGGACATAGGTATTGCTCAGAGGTGTCTCCAGATTGCCAACGATGCGTCTGATGCTGCGAGCAAGGGCCTCCTCGACACCAGCATTTGCGCGGAGGCGGCGCGGAAAGTTGCTAACAAGTTGTCCTCATGATGAGCTGTCTTTGGGGTAAAGATATAGAGTGTTAGGATTTCCTTTCTATAGATCCCCTTTTCCTTCTTCAGTCTTAGGGAGGGCTTGGTTCGCATACTGAGGTTTTCAAGTGCAGCGTAAGGAAGTGCCTGCAACAGATATTTCGAGAATAGATACACGTGTTATGAATCAAGTTTCGCATCAAGGGCAACCATGAAGTCTCTTAGTACAATGAGCAGCTGTATTTGCTGAACTGTCGCCGTATTTCATATAGCAGAACAGCACGGGTCTAGATCTTCCTCGCAACACACCTCAACCTCACATAGCTAATCATCTGCCCGCCCCCGGGAACCCTACAGACCTCCTCCAAAACCTCCTTCACCTCCCTCACGACATCCTCCCTCTCCCCCTCCGGCACCGCATCGATCAGCTCCTTGCCCATCAGCCGACACCACCCCTCCACGCCGCCCTTATCCGCGATCGTGGGCCTCCACTCCCTCTCGATCCTCTCCACCCTCCACCCGCCGACCTCCTCCTCGAGCGCCTTCCTCAGCCACTCCTCGTCCGGGAAGAACCAGGGGTCGACCTCCTTGGTCCTCTCCATCCCGACGCGCCGCGCCACGGCCATGAGCAGCGCCGTGCGCATCTCGCACACGCAGCCGAGGCCGCCCATCTCGAGCACGAAGACGCCGCCGGGGAGGAGGGCGTCGCGGACGGAGGTGAAGACGGGGATTTGGGCGCCGGGCGGGCGGAGGATCCAGTGCAGCGCGGCGTTGGAGAAGGCTTTTGTGAAGGTTGGGGTGTGGAGGGAGGGTGTTTTTGAGGTGGAGATTTTGGTTGCGTCGAGGACTTTTAGTCGAGATGCGTTAGCGTTACGGACAGGACTGGAGGCATGGGAGTAGATCGGGGTAAAATGCAAACCTTCGAAGTCGCAGTTGGAGAGCCCCGCGTCCGAGACGAGTTTCTTGGCCGCGGTGATCATGGAGGGCGAGGCGTCGATGCCGTGGAGGGAGCCGGTGCCCTGTGCGAGGATCTTGCCGAACTCGACGTCGAGGATGCCGTCTGCTCTTTGTGTGAGTCCACCTTGGCCCTAGAAGGAGGAGAAAGAAGAGAAGGCTCACCACCGCAGCCGACGTCCAGGATGACGTCGTCCTTTTGGACGTCGAGCCATCCGACGACCTTGGTCGCCAGCTTCGGCACGAAGGAGGCGGAGTGCTGGTACGCCTGTGTGATCGTCTAAGTCAGGACTGTCCGGTAAGGGTGAATTGAGATTTACCTCGGTCGTCCACTTGTCGTCCTTCTTCTGCTCGGCCATGGTGATTGGGGTCGTCGTGAGTGTGAGTAGAGAAGAAGCTGCGTTGATTGTTTTGTCAAAGACTTGGCACTCTTGCGGAAATTCAGCTGCTTTAATACTCGGTTCTTGGACTTACACAAGACCGCGTCGGATGAGGTGAGGTTGAGAGTGATGGCATACAGTAGTCCGATCTCGGACCATGCAGCTCCAACGGCCGCACGTTGCCCCGCACTCTCCAAACCTCCCGGGCGACTCGACTTCGGCAGGGACTACCCGAAGCTTGACAATATGATTATGGCATTTATACCCGTGAGAACGAACGTGGCTTGGAACGAGTCGAACCCCCAATAGGATGGTTTGCATTAGACGGCGGTCGCGAAATCGGCTGACCCGTGTGTCATATCCCTGGTTTCTATCTTCTCTCCCCGACAAAAACGACCCCGCCATTCGGACTTCCTATATAGGAAACTAGTCGATCTCGAGGAGCTTGTACTTGTCCTCGCCCAAGGCGTCCTCGACCCTCTGCATCAGCGAAAGCACCTTCTCCTCCTCCAACCTCCTGCCCACGACCTGAACGCCGACGGGGAGACCGTGCATGGCCTTTGCGTCGTAGAGCTTGTATGCGCCCTGGGCGACGCCGTTGAGTTTCTTGATGTTGAAGTCGGCGGGGAGCTTGTCGAGATCCTTGTCGACGTGCGTGACGGGGAGAACACCGGCGGTGTAGTCGAGCTGGAGAGCTGTCAGTCGATACATCGAACGCAAAGAAATAAAGAAGACTCACGAGGTTGAAGAGAAAAGTGTATCCGCAGCTGCTGCATGCATCCTTCATACCGTCGTGGGGAACGGCAGGCGTGGCGTTGGGCGGAGTGATGAGGAAATCGACATCGACCTTGTTCCACCAGTTGTACCAGTCGAGGCGGTGCGCCTCTCTCTTCGCGACGAGCTTCCAGTTCTCGAACGCCGTCTGCGGGCGCCAGTCCCGGACCAGACCGGCCCAGATGTCGTCGCGGCGAACGTACTTCACCCACAGGTAGTAGAGATACCGAAACGGGCCGGGCATGTTCATGAGGAACTTCATCTGGGCGGCACCCGGGTCGTTCCACTCACCGGTGCGGAAGAAGGAGTTGAACATCTGGCACCCGTCGGCGTTCAGCGCCAGAGATGCGGTCTTGAGGGCTTCGTAGGGCGAGGGAGGGTTGATCTCGACAATCTCGTGACCATCTTTGCGCAGCGCGACCTCGACCATTTCGAGAGCGCGTCGGCACGCCGGACTTGGGTCGACCACGCCATCGGTGCGCATGACTCCCACCCTGAGCCTGGGCTTCTTGAGATACTCCTTCTCAACATCGTCCCTCCACTCAAGCGGATGCACGCTGTAGTCGTACTTCCACGGTTCCATGCCGACCACTGCGCGAGTGAAGTACCTTAGGTCGTCCAGGGTCCTCGTCATGGGGCTGTACACCGACGGCACGCCCTCCTGACCGGGCATGCTCGTGCAGAAGCCCAGCTTCGGCCACCGTCCCGTCGAGCAGCGAAGGCTGTAGCAGCCGGAGAAATGTGCCGGCGCCCTCACGCTGCCCGCAACGTCGCTGCCGATACCGATGCGTCCGCCCATGGCTAGCAGCGCGCTCTCGCCTCCGGTCGAACCTCCGGGTGAGTAGTCCGTGTTGTGCGGGTTCTTGCAACGGCCCCAGACGTCGTTGGTGGACTCGAAACTGAGAAGGGTAATGGGCAAGTTGGTCTTGACGTACGGCACCGCGCCGGCATCCTTTAGAAGTCTCACCACGGGACCGTCGACGGGCGTCTTGTTGCCCACGAAGCTGCTGAAACCAACGGTGGTGTCGTAGCCCCCTACCACGATGGTGTCCTTCAGACTCACGGGGATGCCGGCAAGGGGGCCCTTCATGTTGATGGAGCCGTCTTCTACCCACTTCTCGGCATCCGAGATCATGATCTCCGTGAGACAATTCGTGCGCTGATGGGCCTTGAGGGCAACCTTGCCGTACGTTTTGAGAATATCGATTGGTTTCAGGACGGTCTTGTGGACGTCCTGCACCAGCTCACCAATGGGCTTGTCCAGAATCTGGTGATCCTGGGATGAGAAAGGGCCATGGTAGGCAGTTAGACGGCGGATTCTGTCCGCTCGTTCGGACTGCTTGAATTTGCTATGAATGATGTTGTTAGTGACCTCGGTCAACTCGGGTGAAGGCATGGGTCGTCCCACCAATCGCGACGGTGTTGGAGATAGTCGAAGGGATAGACCATCTTGTTCGACTATTTGATTGAGTGGCTGACGGGATCACGGATGAGAGGGACTCCTATTCCGAGTGATATAAGATGGGAGTCTTCGAACTATGAGAGATGCAAGTCAAAAGGTGAAGTTGTCAAGGGAGAAAGGGGACTCCAGAGGTACTTACACCGGTCGCGGGGAGGCCCATCCGGCGCCGCGGGGAAGCCCCGCTCCCCTTATCGCTGAGGTGCGGGACTGGGGAAAGGCGTCCACAGGGCGCACTGGGCATGTTATCAGTTGGCCCGCTGATATCCGCCTGAAACTTCCCTGTCGAGCGAGCGCTGACAGTGACACAGCGGCTCACCCCACTCCTTTCTGTCCGGCGCGCCCTGACCTGCGCTGTCGAGGGGAAGCCGCGGCCTGCGACACCGGCTCGATGGCTGCAGCAGGAAAGTTATCCCGAGTCTGTGGCACAGCTATGAGAATGAATACAGCTTCTACAGCTACATAAGATGTGCAGCAGAATCTTCAGTGCGAATCACGTCAGCAGGAGACTACACTCATGAGGATATGCGATGAACCTGCTGGTATTTCAATGGAAAAAAGACTACTTTTAGTGACCAAGTCATGCCCAGAATGCCTCAACCTCACTTTTTCTTCTTCGTCTGATGTCTCCGCCTAGAAGGCCGGTCTTCTCTCACTTCTGTAATGGTCCGCAATCAAGAAGGCCAGCTCAAGAGCCTGCTTCTCGTTCAACCTCGGATCGCAGAAACTCGTGTAGTTGGCCGACAGATCATCCTCATCCAGGCCCTCGCTGCCACCAAGGCATTCCGTCACCGCATCACCGGTCAACTCCAGGTGGACGCCGCCGAGGTAGCTTTTTTGCTCCTTGTGAATCCGGAGCGTCTCTTGAAGCTCCTCGAAGATGTCGCGGAATCGCCGCGTCTTGATGCCGCCACCGGTCGAGACCGTGTTTCCGTGCATAGGGTCGCACTGCCAGACCACGCAGCGGCGGTACTCGCTGTCCTCAACGGCCCTGATGTGAGCGGGTAGCAGCTCGCGCACCTTTGAGGCACCGTAGCGCGTGATGAGCGTGATCTTTCCCGGCTCGCAGTCCGGGTTGAGCGTGCGCAGCAGGGCGAGCAGGTCGTCCGTCGGCGTGGTGGGGCCGACCTTGATGCCGATGGGGTTGGCGATGCCCCTGAAGAACTCGACGTGTGCGCCGTCGATCTGCCGCGTGCGGTCGCCGATCCAGAGGAAGTGCGCCGACGTGTCGTAGTACTCCTTCTTGGTAGTGGTCTCGGTGCCGTTGGCCGTGGTGGGGTTGCTGTTGAGTGTGGGTCGCGGCGGCGGCGTCTCCAGGAGGCGGGTCAGCGGCTGCTCGTACTCGAGCAGCAGGCCCTCGTGGCTGGTGAAGAGGTCGACGGTGTCGAGCTTGTCGCTCTTGTCGGCGCCGATGGTGTGCAGGAAGCGGAGCATGTCGGTGAGGGAGAGGACGGCCTCGGAGTACTTCCTCTTGAGCTCCGGGTCCCGGACGTGGCCGAGGCCCCAGTCCAACGGCCTGTGGAGATCGGCGATGCCGGTTGAGAGAGACGCTCTGATGTAGTTGAGGGTTGCCGATGAGTATTGGTAGGCCCTGTTTGGGTGGTCAATTGGCATGTCTATGATTCTCATGTGAGAGTAACTTACTTGACGAGTCTCTGAGGATCGATTGTCCGCTCATCGACGTGGAAGCCGTTGAGGATGTCGCCACGGAAGGACGGCAACTCCACACCGTCCACCATCTCAGTCGGGCTCGATCTCGGCTTCGCGTACTGTCCAGCCATGCGTCCAATGCGGACCACCCGCTTGTCGGCACCCCAAATGAGAACCAGACTCATCTGCAGAAGCAGCTTGATCTTGGACTCGATGGCATTTTGCTCGCAGTAGTCGAAGAGCTCGGCGCAGTCGCCGCCCTGCAGCAGGAAGGCCTCACCTAGGGCCACATCACGAAGGTGCTGTTTCAAAGCCACGATCTCTTTGGGGTGTACAATCGGTGGTAGGCGTCCGAGTTCCTTGACAGATTTCTTGAGGGCCGCTTCGTCTGGGTAGGCGGGCGACTGCTTGATGGGTTTTGACCGCCAGGAATCAGGCGACCAGGTTGTGGAGGAAGACATGGCGGTGTTTGTGTGTGGTCACCCAATTTTGACGGAGTAAGCGAGGAGGAAGACAAACGAAGAAACAGGAGAGACTGTGTTTTGAAGAAGATGCAAGAGAGTGAAGCAAACGGAGCCAAGAAGCTCGCAAGCAATGACTCTTTTGAAGGGAAGGAAAATATAGTGAGTCAATCTTATTCAAACGGACAAATGCATGGACAAGGTGGCCGAATTTGGGGATGAATTGGAGCGGGAAAAAAAGGCCTGCAACGGTGCATCTCAAATTGACCAATGAAAATAGCCAAAATACGCCATGAACAAACATTCAGGAACCAGACAGTCCGTCCAGCCTGCGGAAGCTAGTGCTCCAAGTTGCACCTTCCAGGTCGCCCTGTTACCTTATGCCGAGGCGTACCGTACCGGACCTACCAAGATGGCTCACCGTCGGTGAAGCATTGGGCCTGAGGCGAAGAGCTCCAGCTCCAGTGTCCCCTCCCCGCCCCCACCTCACACCTTGGTTCTGCCCCACCGTAAATTCCGTCTGCCCTGTCCGTTCAGCTCGCATCGTGATACAGTCCGCGAACCTAACATCACAGCCTCATCCTAGCACCCGACATCTACAGCCTCATCCCAGACGACCGATCGAACGAGACAAAGCAGACACAGAAAATGTCCGAGAAGCAGCCCCCCGCCGTCGTTGAGGGCGCCACCGCCGGTGATGTCGAGGAGGAGGTCCAGCCCGCCAAGTCCGCCGAGGACCGCAAGGCCCAGTCCGCGCTCGCCAACCTCGACGCCCGCGGCGACGATACATCCGAGGACAAGGTAGACGCCGAGGCTGCCCAGGCGGCAATCAAGGGTCTCGGTGGTGCTACCGCAGCTAAGAAGGAGGTTAAGAACGTCAAGGTCGACCAGGCTGACGTCACGCTGCTGGTCAGTCTACACTCGTCTGGATGGCGTCACCACGATGTCCAGCACCAGATATCCATCCCAATAAGCATGGAAGGACTTGCTGACAGAAACTGCACCAGGTTGACGAGCTCGAACTTACGAAGGCTAAGGCCACGGAGCTGCTGAAGGCGCACGAGGGTGATGCGGTCAAGGCCATGAAGGCCTTCGTGACTCCAAGTTTCTGAATGATTGAGTTTTCGGAGGATCGGCTTTGGGTATGCAACGGCTATAGAGTAAAAATGTCTCGGTTGAGACAGAAGACTATTCATGTTATACAATGGTACGTCGTCCGTCTCGGGTCTTTCTCTCCAAACAGCAGGCTAATGTTGGGCCAGATCAGACGAGCAAAAAGTCAAGTTCAAATTCAATTCGAAGCCCCGTGCCTTCCAAGGTGCAAGTCCAACCCATTATGTGGTGTTGGACGATATCAGACCAAAGTGCTTTGCATCATCATGTGCCTCATATCTTCTTTGGAATCTACACGCCTACTCCTAGGATCCGTCCACCCACTGAGCCAAAAAAAAAAAAAAAGCATGTCCTGCTCCTTCCAATTCGATATTCTAACCTCACCTTCGCCTCGGCATCATATCTTCCATCTTGACACACTTGGGCTGCCACAGATCCGTCTCGTTCACCATCCACACCGGACCCCGTCCCGGCCGGGTATGATTCCCACCGTTCCAGGGTCCCCGATACGGCGGCGGTCCAGGCGGCCTCGGCTTCGTCCCGTCATCAGGACCATGTTCAGGCGGAGGCGGTCTTGGCCTTCTGTCACCCCCTACCGACCTCACCAATGGCCACATGGGGATATAACACCGCTCGTCCCATCCGCATACCGTCTCGCACCTGATGAACTCCCCCTCCCATCCAACCCACGCTCTCAGCTCCCTGACGTTGTCTTCCCACCGCTTGCCCAGACTTACCAGCTCAGACGAAGCCCCCTCTTCGAGCGCGTACCAGGCCCTCTCAATCTCGAACCCGACCTCCAGCAAAACACTGCAGATCCCACCCATGACCTCCTCGACCGCGTCTCTCAGATCTCTCTCCCGAGAGCTGAGTGACACGTCGAAGAGTAGCCTCGTATACCGATACCGACACCTGGAATACGTCTCCCCGAAAAGCGGTCCTCGAACGTCCCACGTCTCCCCGTCAATCTCATGAGGATACTCCAGGAACGACACCAAGAACATGTGGCTCTGGCCCCTCAGCCGGTACAGCCACTCCTTCACCTCCGTCACGTTCCCCTCGTCCCCCCCCCAGCGCACCGCCTGCTCCATGGCCATCAAGTGCCCAGCAGTCCTCTGCACAATCTCCCCCAGGGTCCCGACCCATTCCATCCCGCTACACCCCTCACCCCTCAACGCATCCCTCAACATCACCTCCGTCTCCCTCCTCAACCCCTTCGCGAGCTCCTCCGAGGCCCCCTCGAGATGATGCAGTCTCCGCCTCCTACCCAACTCATCCATCGCCAGCCTCCTATCCCCTTCCTCCCCCTCCCCAGCCCAGTATCCCTCGGCGGTGAGATTCAACCTCTCCTGCTCCTCCTCCACCATCGCCCCCCAGAACCTCGGCGCGTACCAGCTCGTGATCCCGCACGACAGCACCCGCGCCCTCGTCTCCCCCCTCCCCGGCCCCGACCCGGACGACCCGTAGTGCCACGTCGCGGACGCGAACCACCCCCACCCCTGACTCTGCAGGAACGGCTCGCGGTCCACGGGGCCGATGACATCGCGCCAGTTCGGCGGCGCCGGCGGGTTCGTCGGGGTCCTGGACCGATCCGTCCGCGTCGGCTGCGGCGGGAGCGGGTACACCGAAGTCGGCTCCCCTTCCCCGTCATCCTCCTCCTTCTTATCCGCCTTCTCCCCCCTTGGCATCTCCCCTCCCTTCCCCCCAACACTCCGGGTCTGCGGCGCCGTCACATTCGCCCGACTCACCAACCTGAGACTCTCGCTCCCGAAATCGCACCAGATCATCTCGAACCCGGCATTCATCCTCACGACCCCCTCGAACCCGTCCGGCCCGCCGAGCCCCCTCTCGTCCAACCAGTCACAAAGCCCCGCCGCCCTCTCGTACTCGAGCTCCATCCCGTACCACCTGTCCCCCTTGCGCTCGGGTCCCGTCACGTTGCCGTAGAGGTGCAGCATCTGGGTGTCGAGCTGCCCCAGCCCCATCAGCGCCGCCGACTCCCCGTCGAAGTAGAGCGCGCGCACGGGCCGCGTGGTCTGGTAGCTCAGCATGAAGCTCTGGCGGGTGCTGCCCATGATGCCGTAGGCCATTTCTCTGGGGGTTCGTCAATATTCACCCTTGTTGTTCTATGCGTGATCGAAGCTCTTTCATCCTCACAGCCCTTCTCAATCTCAATACAGACACACACGGGTAATGGAATAAGAGCGAAGATAAATACGAGAGAACTCACATATCAAACGCAAGCCACTCCGGACTCGGCGCGTCCTCCACGTCCATCCGCCCGTGATACAGCAGCGTGAAAGCCGGCACCTCGACCGCCGCCATCGTGTGCCCGTTCGGAAACACCGTGTTGCTCCACTGCTGCAGCAGTCCGTACGCCGACGCGAACAGGTGCGGCGCCGGCGACGAGAAGTTGAGTGCCCGGACTCCGCCCACCCGCCAACCCGGAGTCCCGGTCTCATCCGTCTTGGTCTTCCCAAGTGGTTTCTGCTGCTCCTGCGCGACGCATAGCGTCATCAGCAGGTGAGAGCAACTCGTCAGGATCGTCTTTATGTACATCGTGAATGCATGACCTTTGGAGTAGAATGACGAGAAAAAGAAAGGTTAAAGCAAAAGAAAATGATAGACGTAGGACACCAATGTTCGCCACACGGACTTGCGGTATCAAAGGTTGGCACACGGTCCCGTTATCAATCTATGCTCCCGAGTCAAGATTCCGTCGCGGCTGGCCCAATCAAAAGGACGCGCGGCTGACATGCGTCACCTTGCCAGAATGGGCAACAGGGGTCGTTGGCTCAAACACCTCGCAATGGACAGAGACGCAGATGAAGCCCAATGATGAACAGATCCAAACATGTTTGTTGTGACTGGCGATGCTGCTGCGATCGCGTTTATTGTGATGTACAAGCCAATCCGGGAATCCTAAACACCAATGCCAACCTTCCGTGTCCGTATCCTTATCCATACCAACGCCGTCTATGGTAATCAAAAACAAATTCCATCGCAAAGCAACGGCCATTATTCGACCGATAAAAACAATAACCAACACCAGATGCTTATTTCCAGGCTCTGGCCAACGGGCTTCCAATCTTGGGAGCGAACTGCAAGCTCTTCCTACGCGCCGCCATCAAACGCTGCATCACCGTCTCATCCTTCTCTTTCCTGAGAATACCATCGCCCATCTCGGCGAAGTTGTTTTGCTTGGGAGGGCAAGTCTGCATCAGCAGAGCCGTGGTAGGAGAAGAGTCGTAGTCGGTGGCGCCAGGCGTCTCCGGGGTGACATTCGCAGCATAGCGAGCAAGAGCGTCGGGAGCGGGTGTGACAGGAACCGGGGACATCAGGGCATCCCAGTCAACATCGTCACTCTCGGTCGCTTCCGAGGAGCTGTGCTCCCAGACGGTGCTGTCGCGTCGGTTCATGGGCGTGTTGGGCGACGTCCTGGTATCGCGGGAGCCCTTCACGGGCGACGGAACGAGCACGCCATCTTGGTTCGACAGAGCCTTGGGCTCCATGCTCTTTCTACGGCGAGCACCTCCACGGGGAACCAGGGATGTGTCGATGTAGTACGGTGCCTCATCGAGCCACTCGTTCTCGCGCTCACAGCTGATTCTCGTTAGCAAATGAACATGTCAGAATAGTCAAGGGAAGAAACTTACTCAAGCACCCAGGACACGCCGACACACTGAACGACGCCGTTGGACTCCCTGACCTTCTCCATCGTGCGCTTGCCGCCGTCTTTGAACACAACGTGAGTGATGCCGATCTTAGAGGCATCGGGGTTCTCAATTGAGTTCGGGTTCCAGGCCCACGTCTTGACGCATCTGGCTCCCATTTGACCCAGAAGCTCGACGAAAATACCGCTGGCGTCCGCTCCCTCGGTGGTGTGTACATCAACGTAGACGACGGCGCCGGACAGAAGATTTCTGTTCACGTCCGGTCGGGGAGTACGAGCTGGTGTTCCGAGTGTCGACCAGACATCCGTCTTGGCGGGAGTGACAGGCGCAGACTCAGGCACATCTGCCTCCTCCTCAGGCTCAGGCTTGTTCTTGCCGGGCGAGTAGGAGATCACAGTAGCGCTCCTGTTAAGATTCTGAGTCGGGCGGCTGGCCGGAAGACGGGAGATGCTGGCAGCACGCTTCTTCTTGGGACGGGGAGTGGAGTCGTCGGCAGCCTTGAGAGGAATCTTGGAGACGGTGTGGAACTCGCGCGTCAACATGCGGTTGGGCGTGATCGGGGGAACAGAGCCAGATCCGTTCATCAGGGCGGGGTCGACGGGCATTTCGTTCTCGTCGCCGTACTCCTGGCTAGCCTCAGACAGGGTGTCTTCAAAGCTGTTGGAAGTGTTGACAATCTCGCCCAACTGCTCAGGCTCCATCAGAGACATCTCGTTTGCCTCAGCGGCAAGGGCCATGTCCTCATCAGTGACCATGACGTCGTCAAAGTCGACATCCTCAGCTGCCGCGGAGATCTCAGCCTCGATGGCGGCCTCTATCTCGTTTTGCGCCTCCATGTCAGCGCGGACAGTCATCTCATCCTCAAAGTAAGTGCTTCTGAGGGGGGAGTCGTAGGCGCGAGGAGTGCCAGCGACGGAAGCTGCGTCCTCAGGAACCTGGGCAGATGCAGTAGCAGGCGTCTTAGAACCCTTCGCAGGGCTTCCGGCAGACCAGGCGTTCAACTTCTGGGCCAAAGGAGTGAATCCCATGTTCGAGGCTCTCGGCTTGGCGATGCTCTGACGAGACTTCGCCGGAGACGGTGTGAGAGGAACGAACTTATGGGCCACAGAAACACGGGGGCTGTTGGCAAGCTCGTCGTCTGAGTCGGAATCCATGCTATGGTAAGGGTCCATATCCTTTTGGCGAAGACCGAAGATACCAGAGGGTGCGTTGATCTGGACTGACGGCTGGAAGTACGCCTCATCATCAACCATCATTGGCTCTCCCTCGAATTCGTCGTCGATGGCGGTCTCGGCAGCGATGACATCTTCCTCGGTGGGCTCGGAAGCCTCCTCACCCTGTTGAACAACGTCGATTTCGTCAGCGTTGTCAAGGTCCTCCTCAGAAGCCTCGGCAGCAGGCATGTCCTTCTTGAAGACAGGGTCGGCGTGTCTGGGGAGAACAGCTGAAAGTCGGCCAGGAAACTGCATTGGCTCTTCCAAGTGGATCGACTCATTGAGCATGGCCTCTGCGATCTCGTCGAGCTGCTCCTCTTCGTCGTCACTTTGGCCGGCTTCCTCCTCCATCAGCTTCTCTGAGGAGCGCTTCATGGGAGGCAGAGCAGTGGGCGTAGACAGAAGCAGAGGCTTTGTCGCAGGTGACTGCATCTCCTCCAATGACTCCTGCGGCTTGGCAAGGCTCTTGATGGGCGAAAGAGGTCGCTTGGCAGGCGATTGGAGAAGCGATGCCTTGAAGTTGGAGAGCTTCTTCTCTTCGCCTCCGGTCGACGACATGGCGAAAGCCTTGATGGCTGATTGGGGACGTTTGGCGGGAGAGTTCAGGAGAGAAGCCTTGAGTGGCGTGGGAGCAACGCCCTCGGCATTGGACTTCATGCTGGAAGATGGCTTCAACGAGATGCCCTCGATCCGCTTGGCAGGGGACTTCATCGACTCCTGATGATGGGGAGCAGGAAGTCTCTTGGCAGGCGAAGCCAACACGTTGGTGACCTCGTCTTCCCGGTTCTCCGGATCGGCATCCTCGTCGTCCTGATCCTGCTTGGAGTCGGCAGACTTCTCGACAGGCATCAAGTTGAGCTTCTTGGATGAACCAAGGACGCTGGCAGGAGGCTTGGTGGGGCTCTTCATCATGGGTCTCGGGGGCGTACTGTCGCCGGCCAGCTCGTCCTCGGAGCAGTCGCGAGACATGGGAATCTGCGTGACCTTCTTAGGGCTCAAGGGGGTCTTCTCCGTCTTCGTGGTGGTGGCAGCGCGGGCAGTTCGAGGGGCCTTGGGAACGGGAGGCTTTCGGACGGGTCTGGCTCTGAGGCCAGAGGCGGTTGTGGACTTTTCAGCCGTCTTCTTGCTTGCGTCAGGAGCGATGTTTTCCTTTTCGGGTTCTTGGAATGTTACCGTCTTCTTGACGGCGGGCTTGGTTGCTGTGACCGGTGCTGCGCGGGTGCGCGTCGTCTTCTTTACTGGCTCTGCCTCCTTGGCAGCTTCTTCCGCCTGGGTGGCCTTTCTGGGGCGGCCACGAGTTGCCTTCACGGGCTCCTCTTTAGGAGCTGTGGTCTCAGCAGTAGAGACCTTTCGTGTGACAGCTCGTGCACGAGTGGCTCTGCCGGGAGCCACACTTGATGTTGAGGGCTCACGGGCAGCGGGCTCCTCTGCTGTCTTCTTCGGGCGGCCTCGGGTGGCTCTTGTGGCACGCACGGCGGACTCTGACTGCTGTGCTTCTTCGTTGTGTTCTTCGTCTTCGTGGTCGTCCGATCGGGTCTTTCTCTTGGCCGAGGTTGAACGCGTCGGTGCGGTGGCCGTTGACTTGGCTTTCGCCGCAGCAGTCACGACCTTGGTGGTCCTCGTGCTTGTTGACGTCTCGCCCGTCTTTGCGGCTCTGGAGCGCGTAATGCGCTTGGGGGGTGATTGAGGCTCCATCTTGCCGAAAAAGTAGGAAAGTTTGGAAACAAAATGGTGCAGAAAGGTGTCGTTTGGCTGGTTGGTTAGTAGAAGGTGTTTGGAAAGCGTTTTGGTTGTTATTTACATGATGCTGTGATGATGGATCGAGAGGTCAAATCCAGGGAAGAGCGGGAGAGGGTTTTGTTGATATGGAGCTTCGCGTAATTGCCGTTGCCAGGTCAACGCTTTGACATGACCCACTCTCGGAACGCTGCAACCCTCGCGCCGTGAGTCGCGGTCAGGTGAGGCGAGCTGTGCCAGCTGGCAGAGAGAACCACCAGCCGGCCAGTTGATGTTTTGTGTTGTTGCCAAGGATCCCAGCAACGGTCAACAACTTCAACCGCCTCAAGCCACGCGAAGAAGGCATGGAAGCCTGGCAAACAACGTCATGCAACTCCTCTGTCATTGGATCGACCGCCGCATTAGTGTCACATCCACCGCGACAACAAACACCGTGTTGATCAACAAATCCGTTTGCGACTGATGGTCCTGATTACAGCAGTTCATCTCTCGACATGATGGTGGGAGTTGTTTCTTCAAAGACCTCTCCGGTCGTTTGCCATCCATTGAACGCAGGACGCCAGGTGTTAGATGGCTTTGGGCGTCACTCGACTCTGTTGACGAACATCTTCAACAACGTCTGTTCAAGGGTCTTCATCGACACCCTTGGCCAATTGCTGCGATGTGATGGCGCAATTGAAGCATCCGTGTCAACCGAGGACGAGAGCGAGTGGAAGCATACAGAACAATATCGTCAACAGCAGCAAGGGCACGAAGTTCGAAACCTGCTCTGATTACACTTTGGCATCGTCACAAGAAGTCGGCAGCCATCATACCTGCAACAGATCTTTCGACAGAGTTTCCATAGACTCTTCTCGGCCTCGCTGAAACGCACAAGCCGCTCCACGTGAATCTGCAGCAATCGCAACAGCACTGCTCACACGACTCTGCCGTGCCGTCCCCCGAAAATACTGCGCTCTGAGCACATCAAGCAAGGCGTCTCCCCGCACTCGTGCTACCTTACCTTAATTGAAAGGCGAGCTACTACCCCTACCGACAAGGCACATCCTAGACGCAGGCACCACTGCCTGTGACCTATTACCAACAGCGAATGTCAGCGATCCGTGGCGGCCACCCTCTGACGGCATCGGCCCTAATGGATGGTAAACCTCCGATGGTAGTTGGCTCGGGATCGACCCGTTATTGGGGCCTCGGGAGGCTCATGCAGGCGACAAGGCGCGGCGAGGGTGTTGATGGCACCAGATGCTCTCAGCACACCTGCACCTGCGCGCCTAATTTCTGATTGGAAAGGAAGCACGAGTGCTGCGTGCTTTACATACAGTACGCGGATGACTTGCTCCTTGTTCTCAAGACGGTCATTTTTCTCGACTAGGTTGTGGCTGCTTATGAGTAGAACGATCTGGGGTAATCAGCCCAACCATTGCTGCACACCGTCAGCTTCAGAAAACCCAGCTCCGCCAGCTCCCTCGCCGATCGATTGCCAGGCACAGTTCTTGGCTATGTCGTGTCGACGTGTGTCTCGTCTTATCTACATGAATTTTCACCAACTACTACAGTCTATGGGCACCTATCACTGCGACGCTGGACAGTTAGAGGGCACGAATACGGGTACGCGCCGAGGTAGAAACCTGTGAGCCAGCACGGTCGGGCGTACATCATACCAGTCTGGATCAGAGCAGCAATGAATGACCTGAAGGCGGGAATAACCCGACACATCTTTTGCGAAAGCGTCGTATGGCAACGAACGCACACGACTGCGTAGGCACGAGCACATAGACATGCCGACCAGCAATTGGAATGCCACGCCCAAACGTTCCGTCTCATAAAACGCCGCACCCGAGACCGTGGAACCCGTCGCCACAGCACAACACTCGCTCGTTCCATGGCGTCCATGTTCCGGGCGCTTGACCTCATCGCAGTTTCGGGGTCGTCGGTTCTAAATTCTCACACTGTTTTCTCCTTGCATCATACGCACAACTCACCCACCACTTCCTCGGTGTCTTTTCAGATCGATTCCAATTCTTCTCGGGGGTTTTCGCTTCGTCTCAACTCTCCTTCGTGCCGTCTAATCCGCGTATTGCCACTATTCGAGGTCCACGTTGACTTCTTCTTACCGCCCTAAGGCAAAGGGGATGCGCCGGCCTTTTCTGCTGGTCGTCTCGCCGTATCGAAAACGAAATTACCGCCCTCACACTATCAACAGCCAAGCCGGGCGATCCGGACATTTTCATTCGTTCACAAAGCCACAAATCCGCGTACTCATCTCACTCATCCTTCAGCTGCCGAGAACGCCCAGCACTGCCCGTACGAGCCTTCATCTCCAAGTGCCCCCATAACCATTCGCCTGTTCGCACATGAAACCTCACCGTCCTTCAGGGTGAGATCGCTACCCAGAACAAACTCCGCTGCCGACAAGACCGTAAGCTGCAAGTTTCCGCAGTTACATCCTCGAGGTCTTGGGTCTGTCTTTCACTCTCGCTTGAGAGAAAAAGAAAGACGACCCTGATGATCCATCTGCCACTACGGATACTAAGCTGCCTATTTTAAAACAACTCCTTCACGCTCGCAGCTGGCCGCCTGGCAAAGTCATTTGAGCTCATAACTCATCCTAGTTCTCACCTCGGGGGATTGACAACTCACCGCACCCACTCACCAACCCACTCACTCACTCATCCGCCAACCATCTCACACAGTCGAACCCCGTCGACGAATCTCGCATCGTTCACCCGTCAGCGCCAACAAGCTTAGACCAGCATAAGGCTTCTTGCTCTTTTTCGTCTTCTCGTTCAAAAGAGCAAATCCGACGGCTCCCTCGCACCCCGAACAAGGAGACACCACGCTCACTTCGTCCCATCAGCCCAAATTTCGACGTCATACCGGCCGACGCCAATCGAAAAGCTTCTCTAGCGCATCGGGTCCGTGGAAGGATCCGAAGTCTCGACATCCCCGTCGAAGCCGCAAAGCACTGCCGCTGCACCATACGCTCGGGGACGACCATCGCTCACTTCTATTATTACTACCGAGCATCTCCAGCTCTTTTTTTTTTTCTCCAGGCCCCTGTCATTGCTCGATCCTGCATCCTTCTGCCTGGCGGCTCTGTTGACTTTATTTCATCCACGTTTCCGCCTGAGCTCACATTCACATACTCCCGACTGTCAAAATACCCTTTGACCCCTTTCACTCTCGCCAACCAGGCACAGATCATAAAATAAACATCTCGACAAAATGTTGCTCTCATCCGTCTTGGCTCTCACAGCCACCCTCGCCGCCGCTCCGGCGTCGGCCCTCGACCCGGCGAAGCCGATGGCGGCCGGCCTGGTCATGAACGCCCTGGACCCCCGAGTCCTCCCCAACTCCCCTTCGGGCGGCTACGCCCCGGCCATCGTCGACTGCCCGGCCTCCCGTCCCACGATCCGGTCCGCCGCCTCGCTCTCGCCAAACGAGACCTCATGGCTGCCTCTCCGCCGCAACGCCACCATCCAACCCATGCGCGAGCTCCTCACCCGCCTGAACATCCCCAACTTCGACGCCGGAGCCTACATCGACCGCGTCCGCTCCTCCCCCTCTCAGCTCCCTAACATCGGCCTCGCCGTCTCCGGAGGCGGCTACCGCGCCCTCATGAACGGCGCCGGCTTCCTCGCGGCCGCGGACTCCCGCACCCCCAACTCCACGTCAGCCGGCGGCATCGGCGGCCTCCTCCAGTCCGCGACCTACCTCGCCGGCCTCTCCGGCGGCGGCTGGCTCGTCGGCTCCCTCTACTCGAACAACTTCTCCACCGTCGTCGACCTCCAGCGCGGCTCCAAGGGCTCCTCCGTCTGGAAGTTCGACCGCTCCATCTTCCAGGGCCCCAAGGACTCGGGCATCTCCATCATCAACACCGCCGAGTACTGGAACGACGTCGCCAAGCAGGTCGACACCAAAGACAAGGGCTTCGAGGTCTCCATCACCGACTACTGGGGCCGCGCCCTCTCCTACCAGCTCATCAACGCCACCGACGGCGGCCCCAGCTACACCTTCTCCTCCATCGCCGACAGCTCCGACTTCCAGGCCGGCGCCCAGCCCCTCCCCATCCTCGTCGCCGACGGCCGCGCCCCCGGCGAGCGCATCATCTCCCTCAACGCCACCGTCTACGAGTTCAACCCCTTCGAGCTCGGCACCTGGGACCCCACCGCCTTCGGCTTCGCCCCGCTCCCCTACCTCGCCTCCAACTTCTCCGCCGGCGCCGTCCCCGCCAACGGCTCCTGCGTCCGCGGCTTCGACCAGGCCGGCTTCGTCATGGGCACCTCCTCCTCCCTCTTCAACCAGTTCATGCTCCAGAACCTCACCTCCACCGGCCTGCCCGGCTTCATCCAGGACGCCCTCACCTCCATCCTCAACGCCCTCGACCGCGACAACAACGACATCGCCCAGTACGTCCCCAACCCCTTCTTCGGCTGGAACCCGTCCACCAACGTCAACGCCGGGGACCGCCAGCTCTCCCTCGTCGACGGCGGCGAGGACCTCCAGAACATCCCCCTCCACCCCCTCATCCAGCCCTCCCGCGCCCTCGACGTCGTCTTCGCCGTCGACTCCTCCGCCGACACGAACTTCAACTGGCCCAACGGCACCGCCCTCCGCGCCACCTACGACCGCGTCGCCGAGCCCATCGCCAACGGCACCCTCTTCCCCCCGGTCCCGGACGCCAACACCTTCATCAACCTCGGCCTCAACAAGCGCCCCACCTTCTTCGGCTGCGACGTCTCCAACTTCACCCTCCGGACCTCCCAGCGCGTCCCGCCCCTGATCGTCTACCTCCCCAACGCCCCCTACGTCGCCCACTCCAACGTCTCCACCTTCGACCCGGACTACGAGACCGCCCAGCGCGACGCCATCATCCAGAACGGCTACGACTCGGCCACCCAGGGCAACGCCACCCTCGACGCCCAGTGGCCCGCCTGCGTCGCCTGCGCCATCCTCTCCCGCGGCATGGCCCGCAACCGCGAGACCGTCCCCGCCGCCTGCGGCACCTGCTTCCAGAAGTACTGCTGGAACGGCACCCTCGACACCCGCCAGGCCGACTACGAGCCGACCTTCATCATCGGCAACATCGAGGCCAACAGCCCGGCCGCGAAGCCGAGCGGCAGCTTCTGGGCCGGTCTCGTCAGCGCGGCGGCCGCCATGATCTTGGCCATCTAAAGGAACCACAGCAAGAGTTTGTGCGCGGAAAGGAGTTTTCGTTTTCTTCTTTGATACCATGGAACATTTTTCGCATCATGTCACTCCCTTGGATGGAGTACGGGTCTACCATAGGACACTGTAACGGCCGTCATTAGCATTGCATCACGAACCACATTCATGACACACTCGAGACAGAGACAGACAGAGAGAAGGAAAAAGAATAGGAAGCAGCACCCAGGAAAAAGAGAGGTGCGAATCTTTTCAAAGCGAGTCTTTGGTTGGGGGGGAATATTCAAATAATGCAAAGTTTTCTTTCATAAACAGGAAAATCCTCGCAAGCCCGTACTGAAGCTTGCGGACATTGCCCACATGAAGCCACCTGATATGCTCCCCTTGAACCAACCCCCGTTCCCGGTTCCACTCCTCGCTTGTATGAGACAGAGAACACCTCAAATCAAGAAGACGACAAACGCTGTAAGTGTATATCGTGACTGTCGTTTGGTTTTCCGTCTCATGTCGTCCGCCATGATGAGAGTGGGGTGATGTCATGTCGTGAAATAGTCATTAACGCATGAAAGCGGTCTTACTAAGACCAGAGGTTGCGAGGTAGAGATGGGTTGGAAAGACAAACGTCTTATTGGTCGAGGTCTTTGAAGGTTTGCTTCCTCTTCATCGTCGAGTTCGTCGTTTTCGTCCTCTTCATCGTTGAGGTCGTCATTGTCGTCCTCTTCGTCATCGTCGAGGTCGTCGTGGTTGGAAGCGAAGTGCCACGTGATGGTAGTAGCCGTCGCGAAACGTATGAGGCGCCACGTCAAGATAATGACCGCCGCGGGTCCTATCTTGACGGCCTGTAAGGACCCTCAACCCTCACATCTTTGATTCCATCGGGCATCATCCTCAGCCACTCGGTCCAACTGTCCACATCAATAGGTTCATCGCCTATCCGCATGGACAGGATAAGCTGCTGACCCTCCGTGCCACCAAAAGGCAAGCTCGTTCGCGAAGCCCCTATGTTGAGCGGCGCCAGAAGGATCGAAGGCAGGTTGGCGTTTCCGGATATCTGCATATGCAGCGGCGAGGGAAAACTCGTGATGGTTTCCTTTTCAGGGTTTTTGTCCTGGACAAGAGAAGGGTAGTTGGATAACAGCTTTGAATGAAGCTCTGCTGCAGAAAAAGCGCTGATGTAGCGTTGGGAGGCGCGGGTTCTGAGATGGTCGGTAAGGACCCTGGTGAATGTGCAGCGGTCCAGTGCGTCGAAGTGCTCCTCGGATACTGCTGCAGCTATCAACTCCAAAACACCTTGCTGGCGGTGCATTTTCGAAGACGGAAAGAAGGCAGCGTCCATGATGATGAGAGTGTCCGAGCAGGCCTCCTCCAACACCTGCTGGATGCCGCTCCACCGGATGGTCTCGGCTTTGTCCTTGTCCTTGGAGCTAATAAGCGTTGGCAAATGCGCAGAAAACAACGAGGGCAGTGCAGAAATCGACGGGGGTTAGTACATACCTGGCGAGAACCATCTCCCGGTTGCCATCCAGATAGGAGTGGCCGTTGTAGTAGACAATCTTCAGGACGTCTCGCTGGTCTCGGTCCTCAACAAAGTCGGTGATCTTTCTAGAAAGCCATCTCCAGGGACTCTTGCAAGCTTCTGAAGAGGACGGAATAGTGGTGATCGAAAACGTATATCGGTAGAACTGGTCAAAGACTTCTCCCAGTTCCTTGACCGAATTTCCAACACTGAGATCCGGGTCATCCTGCCAGTACAGCAACAATGCTTGCGCGCTAGCGTAGCGGCTGCGACTGGGGTTTGAGAGGATCCTAGAAACGTTGTTCTGCAAGTCGGACTTCAAGCCCTCGAGGCCCGGAAGCGTGGGCAGCTTGTCCAAGCGCGGGCCTGAAGGCAATGGGGTGCGGATGCGAGATTCGCTCAAGCGGTGCTGGCCTGGCGGTGTAGGCGAATCGATTTCCATCATGTCGCCGGGGTCTTGAGAATACATGGGTTTCACATTGTTGTTCATGACAGGAGCCGGGCTAAGCGGCCGTTGAGCAGACAAGGACGGGGCAATGTCCTGGATAGAAGGGCTGTGAGATCTGTGGTATTTCCGGACAGCGTCCTCCCAGGTCATGTTGTGATGGCTGGGATGACACTTGATGAGAAGGAGTATTCTGTCAGCAGGGAAGAGCAACTCATGGTACACAAGATGGGAAGGAGGGGTTCAACGTACAGCAACGCGTCGGCGGCGACAGTCGATACAGGCGCCGAGTTTTCTGATGAGTGCGGCTTTCTCTCTCTGTTGCTGTGACAAAGGACCGGTTCGCCTCCTGCTCGCGCGGACCCGGTTAGAGACGTCGGAGCCATCCTTGACATGGAATATGGATGTTAAGTTAGGAGAGGTGTCGGCACTGTACGATGTGTTGCTTGTATCCGCGGACATATTGGTGACAGCGGAGGCCGTTGTGGCCTGAGTAGAGATGGACGAGTTGGTGTCCTTCCTCAATGGAGGCGACGCAGACTGGCCGGGGGTGGGAGGAGGTTGCTGCGTTTGCTGCTGCGGAGTGGTCTGCTGTTGAAGCTGCTGCTGCTGCTGATGGAGTTGTTGTTGTTGGTCCAACTCTGGCGGCGGCGGCTGCTGCTGCTGCTGTTGGTGGTGATGCTGCGGCGACGGGGAAGAGGGTTGAGGTTGAGACTGAGGTTGAGGCAGCTGATGCGCCGGAGTCTGTTGCGATTGAGGTTGGTCATGTTGCGACATGGAAGGCGAGGCGGTTTGAGGTCTGTTTCCAGACTCATCACTGCCGTTCTTCGGAGGCGCTTCGACCAGACTCGGAGCCGGATGCATGTTTGCCAAATATAATCTTTGTCCCTTTGTCACAGCAGCAACTACCGTCGACCCATCCTCGGTGTGCGCGTGGTGTACGAAGGTGTAGGTGTGTGGCGAAAAGAAAAAAAGAAATAAGAAGAAAAGGTGGCGGCAAGAGAGAAGCTCCAAAACCCGCCCCAGGTGACAGTGTCTCCTCTATTGCCCGTTTCCTCTCGCGGCTTTTCTTTGTGTGAATCGATGTCGGGCAGATTGTGTGATGGGCCCCACCGAGATTCACCGACGCGAGGTCGCGAGCAGAAGAAAAAGTGAGGGGTAAAAGAAACGGGTCCTCGGAGGCGGGGAGCAGAGCACCTCAGAGAATGCGCCGAGGTGACAAAAGGGTCAATTGAGGGCCAGAAACCAAGGGGAGCACACCGCAATGATGGGGGAACCTAAAGATGAACCAGATGGAAGTTTGGTTTCGGTGGACGGCCGTCTCAATTTGCAGTGCCAGATATGCAAAGATGGGAGGAGGAGGAGGGCCGAGGCCGAAGACGACGAATAAAAAATTAAGGTCGGTCGGTCAGGATTTAAGGGTATGTTTTACTGCTTGCTGCTGCTGTTGCTGTTGTTTCTGCGGCAAGGTAGGTAGACGTAGGTGTACCCGTAGGTGTGTGTACCTTGGGTATGGATGTCTCTGAAGGACGTGCACCGAGTACCGGAGAGGGAAAGAGCGGAAAAAAGCACAGGCCAACTCCAATTCACGGTGAGGTAAGGTATCCGTACGAGGCAAGTACCTTACTTCCTTCCTAGCGCAGGACGAGGAAAAGGCAGGTGCGAGAGATGACGGGATGCCAGACAAATACCTTGGGAGGTACTTCGGGTCAGGTACCGATCACGGTCAGCCCAGGCCGGGACGGAGGGACGGGGACGAGGATGAAGGTCGGGAACGCGGGATTGGGTGTGGTCACAGCACCTCCCCTCGCTCCTCTTGGGTCTTGGGTTGGGAAGAAGTGACAGGGTCGATGGATGTCGCGTCGGTAAAGGTGAACCTCTCGTGGTGGATGTTGGATGAGAGAGAGACACCAGACCCAGACTTGCGAGAGTAAGGTGAAGCAGGGGTCCTGGTTGTTGTATCCTGGATTCTGGGTTCTGGGTTCTGGGTTCTGGGTTCCTGACTGAGATGCTGAGTTGCGTCCAGTAATCGTGGCTTGATGGAGCGAGTCTTGGGACAGATCCGTTGATGTCGGATTCAGCTGCTTTCCGTGGCCTTCTATGCTGCGAAGGAAGGTGTCGGTAGCAGTTGCGGAGGTGGTATTGTTGCTCTGCTGAGTTTTTGCTGCGATGCTATGCGATGCGATGCTTGTTTGTTTTTGTTGACGTGTTTGCTGAGACTAAAAGCCAGACAGATTCCCCGCAGAGTCCAGAGGCCTCGTGCGTTGCATTTGCGGATATCACTTGAACTCGTCTTGCTAGCATTCCATGTATTAGTGTTTTTTTTCGTCTTTTCTTCTTCACGTAAGGTTTTGTCCTCACCTTGAATACGGGTCGGCTTCCCTGTCCAAACTTCCAACAAGCACGACGCAATATAAGCCGTGATAGTGAATGGCTTACTGATGCCGACAAGTGGGCGGTTGAGATTCACGACGGGAAAAGAAAGTTGACTGAACAGCATATCAAGTACGATGGGAACTTTGGGTACGAATACCTCGCAGAACATGTCAGGTCGCACGACCAAGATCGCAGCCCGAGGAACAGCCCAGCCCGGCCGAGCCCAAAGCAATGCAATGCACTGCTTTTTAAGCCAGCCAATCCATTCCCAAGGTACCTTATATTTGGAGAGATGGTCTTGGTCGCACTTGCCGTTGACATTTGGACTGAAGACAACATAGAAAATGGTTGGTCTGAGAATGGAAGCCGCACCCGCTCCGTACCGCGCCGAACCCGCACTTGCACTTGCACCTGCACTTGTAGTTGTAATTAGTTGAAGGATTTACTTGCACCTCAACCTATTTTCGACGCAGGTATGTACCTCCCGCACCTCTCAACTCCTGCCTCTTCATACCTAGCAAAAAAAAAGATCACCGCTTGTCAGGCCTAGCGGAGCGCTTGACCCGGCACCGTTTAATATTTTTCTTTAACCCTTGGAGGGGAAGGAGGGGAAAACAAGTGCCTTGGGCAGGAGGAAGGGTCCAGGGTGGCCACCGTCCACACCTTCCCCCCATTCACAAATCCACACGCACGCGCCAATTCTGCGAAAAGGTGGGAAGGTGCCCTGGTGCCCTGGGCTGGGAGTGGGATGACCACGGGCTGCTGGCCGCACCGAGCGGGGGCCCCTACCAGGTAGGTAAGGTACCTCTCCGGGTCAAGGTAGAAAGTACTCCACGCCGCAAAAACGGCAGGGAAGTGACTTCTTCTCGCGGTGAGTCCCGGGTTGGCAGGTGAGAATTCTCACATTTTGAAAATAGCATGAGACCACGAGCGGTACCTCTTCCCGGTAAACCGCCGCTATCCCTCCGACGAGTCCTTTTTTTTTCTCTAATTTTTTCACCTCTAGGTCTTTTCTGTTTCCTCTCGTCTTGTCTCGTCCAGTCTCGTCTCCCCGCGATCCACTTCAGATCTTAACGAGATGCTTGAATCGAGCAAATTTTATGGGGATACCTACCGTCAACTGGTTCGCTCGGTTGAACTTGGTACACTGCAACGGTAGCCCCCAAGCTTCAAGGCCTTGCTATTACTACTCAAGAGCTGCATGCCATCGGAACAAGCAGGCTTCGCTTCCAGGAGTCGACTGACAGAGACAAGCAGTATCGATGAGGACATAATCTGGCTAGCGAGAGCGACAAGCCTGGACATTTTCGTATGCGAGATGCGCCTGATATTCGAATGACAAGTTGTTTCGGGCACTCTCGCAGACGGACGAGAAGCCAGTCAGACGGCTCCAAGCCGTCAGTCACACGAATCACCTCAACCTCACGGACGCGACCCGGCCGGTGATCGTCAACCACAACTCGCTCACCGACCAGAGATGGTGTGTGCGTCTGATCTCGGTGTCTCGGCTCGAGGAACAAGCAGGCATGGTCCCGTCCCTTGGCATGTGCGGTTTTGCCCGCCGGAACGGAAGCCTTGGGTGAGGACTGATGTGATCCGTTCAAGCCATCGTTCGGATCCTCAACTTCTTGGGCAAGCCAACATCGGTCCATCTCATGCCTCTTGCATACAGAGTACAGAAGCAGAAAAGCGCAGCCTCGAGATAATGGTGGCTGACTGCTGCTAGCTACTTGCTGTCGACTGTCTGTCTGCCCGACCAAAAAGACGAAACATCAGGGAGGCAGAGCAGCTTTACCATTTTCCCTTCCGGGCCGGCAGGGCAGTTGACGACGAACTGGGACTGGAGTGGTGAGGGAAAGACGACAAGCGCCTCTGACGATGCAAAAAGCCCCTTGTCAGTTCCGTGTCAAGGTCAACGGTCAATGGCAAGAACACCTCTTGTCATGCGCACCACGTGGACCCTCTCCGGTCCCTGTCCTCGTCTGCTCTGCTCCAATTAACTCTGTCTCGCTCATCAGATTTGTCTCTGCGCCGTGCTGCGCTGCAACTGCACTTGACTGCACCATTCCTCCTCATCTCAGGTCTCGTCCCGCCTGCCCGCTCCCTGTTCCTCCGCCCACCGAAGAGCAACTTCGGGTATTAGCTGAGTCGCTCACCTTCGGGCCCCTGGAGCCCAGGACCCAACTTCAACTCGACTCTTGGAAACAATCGGAAACCTTCAACTCAACCACCCCACACCACGGCGGGGCCAATCGTCTGGTTTGACTTCTAATTATCCGCATCTTAGTCGGACATCAACAGCCCAACATCAGCAGAGACGACATTCAACCACTGCCAAAGTCGAACTACGGCTCTAGTCATTGGCCATGCTAACTCAATGTTTATCCCAAAGTCTAACAAACACCATCTTACTGTTAGGCCTCAATGCGGCGTCCACACCTTGACATCTCCGAACTCACCACTCGCCTCTCACCTCTCTCACCTCAATCCATCCACACATCCGCTCCATTGTGCTTCGACTTCGAGCCGGCCACAACCATCTTCCCTGCCGCCCCGCGAAGCAAACACCAAAGCCTGCGAACATCCATCCGTCCATCCATCTTCTTCTTCCTCCCGTCCTCCAGCCAATGGCAACTTTGCCTCACCGGGACATACCGCCAGCCTCACCGCAACTCTCCATCCGATAGGTCTCCGCTCAACCCCCCACACTAGCACTTGAATGTTTTCTTTCTTTCGGCCTGGTTCACGAATCATCCCTCACCTCTCAATCCCGCTGCGTCTGCCCTTTCCCTCGAACGAGATGAAGGCCCGTCACGTTTTGCCGCATGCATGGGGAGGCGACTAGACGACATGCTAGGACATGCTGTTCAGATGCCCATGCGATGCAACGGTCTAAACATGCCATGCCATGTCCTGGGCTACTCTGGCCTGCCAGGGTCACGGATGAAATCCCTATCGTTCATCCCGTCGCACATCTCGATTCCCGAAACAGCACCGGCTTGACACCGGTAACATGGCGGTTCTGTCCCGATGACCAGCCACCCGTCAGGTCATACCGTGGCTATGCCTCATACTGTACGGATACTCTGTATTGCTACGCCGGTAGCAACGTCGCAACTCCAGAGTCCGGTCGACCCATTGCCAAAGGACCGACATTAACACTACCTTACCCCGGTCGCGAGTCCCCACACCCTCGGAATGTCTGAATTCGTCCTTCCACGCTCTCCCGCCGAGTCGGCCGGCCTGACACCGTCGCTGTGTGTCTATCATTAGCGGCATATGCACGACACACAGACGTGCGCTCGCTGGTGGGATTCGCGCTTGAGATAGCCGTCGCGCCGTCTGTTTCTGTCTCCCTGCATGGCATGTGCAGGACAACAACGGTCGACGACGACAACCGAACCTCTCACTGCCACAGATGCGATGCTCAACCGCTGCGTTCAACTCGACCAGCCAGCTCGCCCTGCCAGAAAACCGCGTCGAAAAACCCACAGCAAACCCCCAACATGTTATTGGTGTCTGACTAACCACCCGTCCATCCAACGTTTGGTTGCCGTCCATCCTTCCACGACTTGAAGAAAAGAGGGTGGCGGGTAGAGACAGCGGATGGAACATCTCTCCTTGTCGGGACCCGGTGAGCCAGAGATTCCCCACCCTTCCGGGCTCATCACTTGTCTCGGTCTGCATTCCTCCGGCCACTGACGATGCGGCCAGCGACGGGGCGACGAACTTCACTGGCTGCGCATCCCCATCGCCGAATATTGGGGAGGAAGACGGAAAGGTCTCAAAACCCGCGCGCGGTGAAGGAGCAGTAGGATGGGAGGTGTGTGATGGGGGCTCCACCACCAGCTTGTGGATTGGCCAGCCTCCGATATCGCCCTTTTCCGCTTCTGGACTGGTTCGGGAACCACCCGCCGACCGAAGCCGCTTCAGCGAGGTGTGACCGGGACAGCGAGCGATGGTGATGGTGGGGGACGGCACCGCGGGCGCGAACGGCCTCTCCTTCGGTCGGCACCCGGCGCCTAGACGACCTGACGAGCCAGCCCTTCAGCCTCAGTCACCTGAGCACACTTTGACTCTGACATTCCCGTCCCGTTGGTGGGACAGGCCTCGGCAATTGGTTGAAGTTGCGGGATCCAGATGGCACTGGCTGTCTCTGTGATCGGTGTAGACCGTCGTACAGAAGCTGGATCGATGGGTCGGTGAGGGATGTTAGGTTTGAGGCTCAAACTCACCTGACCTGTTACCTAAAAGCCCCCGACGAGTAGTTCATGTTGGCTTTGCCTTGTACCACCGACGGTGCAGCGCCATGCGTAGTCACAAGGTAGGTCTTCGGTTACTTGTGAAAGCGTCCATCTTTCCGAAGCCGCAACGCATATTGCCTGTGACGGAAGCTAGGGCACTTCCGATGATATGCACACCCTCGACTCGAATACTCACGGTTGATGTATTCTGGATGGCGGGATCAATGCCGTGAATGACTGTACAGTCATAGTGAAAAGTACTATTTGTGCATTTGGCCATCGAATGACAGCCAAGTCTCCGGTTCCCAGATCCAACATTCACAAGAAATATTAAAAGCTCGTGTCACAATACGATTTGTTCTTACATACCGAAGAAGCGTGACTCTATTCAATTCACTACACAACCGTCATATAAATTACCAGCACTCTGCCACGTAGATTCTCAGGACCGGCCAGCAATGCGAATCGCGTCTTGACATTCCTGTTCACAACCCAACAAATCCTTAAATATTAAACCATTTGAAGGCTTTTGTTAGTCGTCACGGAGGTCCTACACAACTCTAACCTCACAGTTATCACCGGTGTCCTTTATAGTCGTTCCCCTTTCCGCGTGTATTCTTTCTGAATAAGCCGCTTGGGCCGGGGCGAGTTATGGTTCCCATTGGAAGAGGTATGTAGCACGACCTGGGCGGTGGGCTTGAACAGAATCTCATCGGGGAGCGCGTCTGACGGATCATACCATCACATTCTATCTTCGGAGAAGAGATCGCCACTGGCCGCGTTACTCGACTTAACGTCGTTACGGGTGGTTTATATAGTTTTCGGGGGAGGGATGACGAGATCCGTGTTGGGGCTTTGCAGTATCGAGAACGGACACACGCACATCCCACGGATGAGACATGCCGCTGGTGAGTCTCGTTCAAACGTAATTCTTCAGCGGCTTCTGCTGTCCTCGACGTCCCATAAAACCAATTGAAATCCTGGAAGATGCCGAGGGCTTCTCGCCACAGTGAATTGATTCGGATCTGTTGATTATGTGGTTGGCAAAGCCCGGACCAACCTGGCGTTGGAACAGTGTACCTTGCAAGCACTCATGAAGTGAGTGCCAAATCTCACGAGATATCTACCTCGGTGCTTGGGTCTGTTGTCGGCCGTGTATTCCTAGGAGAATACATCACCGACGAAAGTCTGGTGAAGGCGTGATTCAGCCTATCCTTCCCCTTTTCCGCGGTACATGCAGCCACTAAGTCCCGAATGCGGTGATTGCATCGCTGCTGAGGACATGGCGGGCGCCTTATGCCGCCTCATCTGCGCAGGACTTGCTGTCGTCAAGAAGCTTCATCGTTAGACATTACAAGGAATATTTGTATCCGTCTTAGTGATTGGGATATGCATGTTTACTCGCGCAAAGATGACTACTCCGTGGTTAAAGCGCAGCATTGGGCTCGTTTGTGTAGTATGTACTGAGTAGGAATTGTTGGAGTCGAGGGTATTTATGTGACTCCGTCTGGATTGGTACGAACTTGCCGCAAATCAGAAGCGATCATGCGCGATACCAGCTAGTGTAACGCATGGTCTATGCTTGCTGCCAGTTGGATTGATACCATTTCCTGGTGTCGACGAAACGTGCGTGTGTGGGAGAGTTACCATGTGTTGGCTTATTACATATGGAATACACTACTGAAGGTGATGGGCTACAGAGAGAAAGAGCAAGAGGTGCTTTTTATAATTGTTCGTAAAGCAAGTCCGGTGTGTAGTATGTCTATGTAGGGGATTACTCACACGAGGTTGTCGGCTTGTCGCTCTCGAAATCAGTGACGCGACGTGCTACAGCTGTTATTTGTTGAATAGATCCTCTTAGAAGGTGGAATATATATATCCGGAAGAAGAAACAACGCATGAAAACATGGCATTATTCGCTTACAAGATTGGATAAATGAATGAGCTTTGTGGTGGGTTTCAAAGCCACCATACGAAAAAAGCATTTCGTTCTTGTGTTGTGATGCTATTGATCCTCATCACGCACCTAATCTCATCTAGTTCTGACAATGGAGGGCCATGAAGAGACTAATAGAACCCTGAAATTGCTGTGAAAGTGATGTCTATATCCAGCGTCGTCTTCATCTCGTGGTTATTCAGCAAGGAACACTCATTATATGGGCTTTCAGAAGCTACGGAACAATTTCTGTCTACCCAATGCTTTTCTTTAATCTTTATACTCCGAGATCATGCTGACTTGGTAGAGAAGAGCACATTGTTGGTCTGGCATCACACGCATGCAGTGCTTCATTAGTATCCAATCCTCATACTACAGTCGCTGACTATTTGAGTAACTATTATGTTGAGACACTACTTAAGCAAAAGTTCTGGTTTACTAATGTTGCGTCTCGTCTCAGGAGCACGATGAATCTAAGCCTCCTGATCCGTGAACTAAGAGTGAGACTGCACTTTTAGAGACTTAATGCAGAGCATATTATCAAATTGCGTTGTTGCATTGGGATCTGCTCTATGAAACCTACCTTCCTTGGGTTATTTATTCTGGAATACTCCCGAGAAGAGGACGGACGGCGAGGATGACGATTTGACGTTCTTATATCACGGCAACGACGGCCCTCAACGGACCTGGGCTCCCCTTCCAACTCTCCCGGAAGGGAACAGAGGACCCATATTTGACACCATTGAGCAGATCGGATTTCGACACGTGGGCAACCAGAATGCCCGATATGCAAGAGAGAGTCTTCAAGGTTAGGTTTTATACACAACGGTAACTTCATGGGAAGCGAGACTATCGCACTCTTCCTCTGAAGTACACGAGTAAGATGTTGATTGATTCCAAGCAGGCAGGCTCATAACTTTTGAGGTACACGGTCTGCATTCTCATCTCCGTGAGACTCTGTCCATCACCATTGCCGGCCTTGGTTGCCCACGTGAGTAATCGATTCTTCTCACTTGTTGAACTTCTCGTACCGCAGAGTAATCTGAGCAAGAAGATTTAGATGACCGGCATTGTCCCTTTGCACGGTGATCTTGACGTCCTCCCACCTGAAAAATTGGAAACGGCCATTGGCTTCGTCGTAGCCTTGAGAAATCGTCACATCGCCACCTCGTGAAGCTGTCTCTGACATTGTGAGCACGAGTGCGGCTATGGCGATCTTGCGTGTTGCTGCTAGCTTTGATCTCTCCGTACCCTCGAGAAAGACGAAGTCGAGGTAGCGACGCATGACAACGTTGAGAATTGCAACGGTGACTGGCTGCTGACCGACCACCTCGTCGTCGTCAGTGAGGTGGCCGGATCGGCGGAGAGACAAAATGGTTGCACTTGCTTGAAACTAGCGAAGTTGTAAACTGCCCATCGCGTCGTATTAATAATGATATTCTTGGCGTTGGTGATCTTTGGTCGTCAACTCTGGCTCTGTTGCCGTCTCTGGCTCTGCTGTCGTCTCTGGCTCCTCTGTCGTCCCTCGTCCTCCGCGTCTTATTCAACTTGAATACTCAAAGAAGTGAGTATTATGTAATACTGACCGCTGAGTTCAATTAAAATAAGAGTTATTAGTTTGAGGCGTGGGAGATATTGGAATTCGCCTCAGCATAGCGAAACCTTGAGGTTCATGAATTCCACTCATCTGCCCGCCAGGAACCTGAAGTCGGTACTTGGAGGATGCTATTGACATTTCCGTAGTTTCATTCGAGAATGGCCCAGTCTAGCCTTCCAAAAACAACCTTCTTCTCTTCCGATATCTGGTTTTAATCAACCGTATCCAATAACCACTGAAAATTCAGGCAGAATTCGGCCAGGCAGGGCCGAGCTAGTTTCGTAGTAACGCGAACCCTCCGCCCGGGCATTGAGAACGGCACCCGTCCGATGAAAACGGCGCCTGTGCCGAAGATGTACTTGGACGTTCGGCAATCATGCGGCAGTCTGGTCTTACGGTTAAGGTTTGCGCATCCACTCAGCATCAGTTTACGAAGGAACACATAATTAGACTCTGTAGGCATTAGCGGTCAGTGAATTCATGCGAATCTCCATAGACTGCCCCTTGTATTGTGAAGTCCAGTGAGTACTGTAAGTTGTCCAACTATCTGAACAGTCGTGATGGTTGCGTGAGCACTGAGTGACAGTGTTTTCCGAAGGTGTGCGGTTGACTTTCTCGCCCCTCTCGTTGCTCGAGTTGCACGATTTACGGCTGGTGTCATGCGTCCCTGGCTTCTTTAAATCATCTGAATGAGTGCAATCTTTAATGACCGTTTTCCATGCATGGAGCCAAGATTCGGCCTCGGATGCGCTTTGAGATAGTGCACGGCAAATCGCGTCAAAACGGCGCGCTATGTAGTTGCATGCAAAGCTTGCTTCGAAGACAACGATTGAGTCAGAAATTGACGAGGCCCACCGTATGTCGAACTTATGGAAGTTCTTTTGCCTATTCCTAGATTTGAAGATGAAGCCCAGGTGAAAATTCGGACAATATTTTGAACCATTCGGATAGTACTAGCAAGGGGAGTGGCTTGCTGTGTGACTTACTCATGCTTTGGTTGCTATTATAGGCTCGAATTCGATAAGAGGCGCAGCTCGAGTAAGACCGGCTACTCTGTGTTCTCACACATAATCAATTCGTTGCGGGTGTAGCGTCATTTGGACCGTCTGATCTTTTCACTGCCCCATGAATTGGTCTTTCCCACGGCCATGCGCCACGCTCAGGGAATCCTACGTGACCTATTCACGGTTGCTGACTCCAGTTAGTTTATATGGGCATGAACCCGACCATCGACGGCCGCAATGCATATTTTTTTCTCACACCGAACAACTTCATCGACTTCCTCATCACTTGATTGTGGAACGAAACAATAGCTGGTCAAAATGGATGGTTCCAAAGGGAAGGCCGTGGCGACCAGCGCCCCTCCTCCGTATTCTCAGAGCAACAATGACGTTCCGCGATACCAAGCGTCGAGCACTCCCCTCACAATCGATGCCAAGACGCTGGGCATGACAGCCAAGTTTCCGCCCTTATTCAAATGTCACTATTCGAGGGAGGAAGAATTCTATTACCTCGGACCGGTGTCCAGGGAAGAAAGATACTTCGCCTTCTCCGCCAGCGCCAAGATGTACGCCAGCATGCAACCCCTCCACCTCCACAACGGCCCGACGGAGAGAGATCCGATCATAGCCAGGGTGACGCAGAAGAACGTGCGATCCAACGATTTCGCAGCGATTGTCACCCTTCACGACCTGGCGAACCCCCTAGCCGCCGGCGAAGACATCTCGTTCGACAGGCCGGAAGGCTCGAGGGCGAACGTGCTCCGCTTCCGGATGAGAGTCGGCCCAAAGAACCTGGAAGAGGAGTTTCAGTGGCGGAGATCGTCGGGGAATGAAGTCAAGGAGATTGCGCGGCACTCGATCGGGTTGAAGCTGGTGAGGGTGACCGGGCCGAGGATCGGGGCCGGTGGCAGCAGGAGGTCGCGTGCCCCCGGCTTCGCGAGCGACGGATTGGAGGTCGTAGCCGTCATGGCGCCGAGGACGAACTTGGGGATCGCGAATGATTTGCAGTTTTCGTTTTTGGGGACGGGGTTGGACGGGGCCCTGGGAGCGAGGTGGGAGACTGTGGCTGTTATTACTGGGTTCTGGCTGTTCGGGATTTCGCGTCGACGAGACAAGGACTGAGACTCAATGTATTAATACCTTGTTTGAGAAGTGATATCAATGTTGACTTAATGATAATCAGTGGTTTCTCTTCAGATGCGGATTGCTCCGTCTTGTTATGGATCTCCGGCCAATTCACAGCTCCACTTCGGCCCGGGTACGGATGCTAACTCCGGCGTAAATCATCCGAGCACCCATACCCATGCACTGCGGAGTTCCCGCTGGATGATCTGATTGCTTGATCGGATAGGCAGCAGTCAGTTTCCAATTGGTACGTAATGTAGGAATGAGCTTACTCCTACTTTAGTTCTTTCACTCAGCACGATCTCATCAACAGCTTGAGACATCTGTATTGTGTATGAAATGGGCTAAAACTCTGTGGTGAAAATTTCCCGAGATACTCTTTGCAGCAAACCATATGGCGATGTCATCCACCCCAGTCGCATCGACAGATCATTCAGTCATTGAAAGCTGTCAGTACCAGCACTCAAAGGCAGTCTTAAAGAGATTTCGATGTCGAGAAGACCCTCGAAGCTTTCAACGCTGGCACCGAGAAGCAGAGGCTTTGAAGCTAGTCGGCGCTCATGTACGTCTTCGATATTGAGTCTCATGGGTTTGGGGCACCGCTGACGAGGTCTCACAGGACAATATCACAAAGCTGTTTGAATTGGACCCCGTTGCCCTTACAATTACTTTGCGCCACGAGCCTGGCCGCAGCTTAGACTTGCACGTCGACCTCGCCTCCCAAAAATGCACGCTCTCACCTGAAGCGGCCCACGAACTCTGGAAACAAATGTCCAGCGCATTAGCTTATGTCCACTCTCGATCGATAATTCATAACGATGTCAAGCCGGATAACATCATCTGGGACGAGCACAGCAAACGCGCTGTACTGATGGACTTCGGCGCTGCCCTCGTTGACCCTAACCCCAGTACCCTCCCGTACCGTGGCTGGACCCCCTCTGGAACTCTCCCCCATGCACAACCGATATTTATGGGGAAAGTGAAGAACAAAGCTGCAGATGTTTTCGCACTAGGTGGGACTATGTTGTTCGCTTTTGGGCATATCTCCTTGCCTGATGGGGCTTGGATGATTCCGCATGTCTTTGAGAATGGCGTTAGGGAGGAGTTGATGATGAGTCGGTTGACGAAGTTCGAATTCCGGAGGAGATCACTAGAGTTCGAAGATCCGAATCCTTTACTTGTACAGATGCTAGAGTGGGATTTAGATGCGAGAATTACGAGTGATGAGCTTTCAAGGCGTCTAACTTGAACGCAAGGGGCGGCGATGTTGCGTTAACAGAACTAGGATAGATTCAGAACATGATTGGGGCTGTTTTAGACATCGTGGACACCATTCTAGTCACGACTTCATTCCGACTCATATGGTGTTATTTAAGCCAATCGTCTCGTGGGGGTTGCCTCTCCAATCATAGCAAACTGGCCCGGCTTCAATGGCCTCGCATATTGAACTACTACCATTAACGTTATCTGAACTGATGGTACTTGACTGACACAGGTATCAACGGTCATGATACGACTGGAGTTCTGCAAGCCCGTGAGGTTGGCTCTCAGCTCCATTGCGACCACCCATTAGACTAACTCATGATGAATGAAGCAGAATCGATCAGCCAAGTGCTCATGAAGCGCGACACTCCAAACACAAGATCCAAGAACATATTCACATGGTCTCTTCTTAGTTTATTGCCCGGCCTCTGGTGGATAGTCTAAAATTATAAGAAGTTCTCGGACAGTTTCGAAGCATAGCAGGGCAGTAGTTGAATTTCTTGGGTAGCATCTGCTCTCTACCCTAAATCTAGTTCAATCAAACAATAGTTCGGAAAATCGCTCTCTAGCTTCTGTCGGGTCCCAGTCGACAATGCACCTTTCCTTTGACTCGGCCATCTTCCTCTTTACAAAGGGCTCCATGGCTGTTCTCTCTTCCTCACTTAGTAAATGTACTCTCGCCTTCCATAAATCATTCATGAGAACACCGGGTTCTCGATTACCAAAGAATCTCTCATCCAGATATTTCCAGTACATCGTGTCAAACGCCCAACTCTTCCTGGCGCCATAACTGAGAAAGAACCGTCCTGTTTCCCAGCTTTCCCGCATGTATGTGGACAACGGTGCCGGGAGAGGATTAGACCCTGGCAAGTCTGCCTCTGCGTTTCTTACAGCAGAGAGCCAAGTCTTCAAGCGCATCTCATATGTCTCGCTCCAATCGTCGATGCTGGGTGACCACATCTCAGCCGTATCAATGAGGAGCCACCAAGGTGGGTCGAGGATAAACTGCGTAGGTCCAACATAGGTATATTCCCAGTCGATGAGGGCAGCGATATCATCCGACTCGGTGAGAAGTATGTTTCCTGCTCGAAAATCGTCGCCCCAGAGCCGAAAAGAGTCGCAGCCGGAAGGGGCTGGAGAAAGTGTGGAAGCTGGAATCTTGGATGACTGGGCAGACCAGTTGTCCTTGGCGAAGCCGAAAGTAGAGAGCCGGCCTTGTTTGGCCAATTTGCGGAAAATTTGGCGTGCCACGTACTTGTTTCGGCAGTCATCCTCGGAAGTAACAGAATCGTTGCGTTGAAAAACGAGCTGTGCAATGTGCATGTCCGCTAACGCAGCATACCATTCGTCTGCAGTCTCATAAGTTGTACCCTCTGGAGGAAGGACGGCACGAGGAATGTTCGCAAGTCGAACCATATCGGTCATATTGTGAGTTATCGGCCTGCCGGCCACCTCGTAAGAGCCGTCATCGGCCTCGACCAAAGACCCAATCCGTGGGAAGGTTACTCGAGAAAGTTGCAACAGGCAGTGTGCTATCTTGCCCCAGATGAGCTCCAGCGTAGCCTCGGGAATGTTAGGATCCAGAGCATGAGGCTCTGAAGGGTCTTTGTTGCGTCTAGTCAGTCGGGCTGACACGCTACCGCAATTCTGGACATGCTCCATGATGACGAAGGGGCCAACCGTTGAATCCTGGCCATAAAAGAGTTGTCGGGGAATAGGAAGCCGCGTCTGCTTCGAAATGAAGGCTGCCGTGGCTGCTTCGTGAACGGTTTTCTCACGTGGAAACTGAACAAGGCTTGGACAAGGCAGTCGCACGATAACATCTGGAGACGTTCCTTCGAGGCGTATTCTGTAGAGGATGTTGAAACCGCCGAGGATCAAGGGTGATATCAAGGTTGCTGCCTTCCCGAACTTCTCTTCGGCGAGCTTTTCCACTTTGCGACAGGTGCTTTTGAGTCGCATTTCGTTTTGTGCCTCTTCAGAGGCCTCCTCATTCTTGTCCCAGACAAGGTTATCGAGTTCTTCTTGGCCACCATACATGTCGCTGTGAGAGACGCTGCAGCAAAAACGTCGTTTGATGTGATGGTGTTGGGGCTCGGAAAGGATGGGTGATACGGAAAATGCAGCAGGGTTGCAAGCAAGAATAACGACTGGCAAGTGATGCTGATTATAATCACCAGGTTGGAGAGGGGAAGAATATGGGACAGTGGTCAATCCGATTTAGCCCATTGGTGTGCTTACTCAAGCGGGCCATCGACTTACTGAGTCATCAACTCAGAAGGGAGTTCAACGCTCAATACGTATCGTCTTCTGCGCCGCCAAACGCAGGCTTATCCAAGATGAAGGTCCAGATATCGAGCGACACAGATTGGAAGTCATCGTCAAAACCAGTAACACCACCTCCATTAAAGCCAGGAAAGTCATCGTCGTCATCCTTGTCAAGCTCGACGACAAGCCTGCTATTGAAGACAACCAGGAGAACCAGGACAATCAGCACCAATAAGGAGTAACAAGGGATGTCTCAGCATGGGAGCATATTTTGCTGTGGCATGACAGCGACATGACTGAGTCATCGTCGCAGTCTTGTCTGGGGTTGGAGCGGGAAGGATATGATCATAGTACCTGCCCACCGCCATTGTTATCGTCCACCTTCAGTGTTGTATCTGAAGTTTTCATATCTGGAGACAAACTTTTGGTTGAGGTTGGCATGCACGTATCCTCAATAAAGTCATCCAGAAGCGAGATATTCTTTACCAAACTACACATCACCACGTAGAGCACAAGAATCATACTTCTTACAACTTCATGTAGGTATCTCTTTCCGATGAAGTTAGCTTAGCTGCGGTTGAGTTCACATTCAGTGTCAACACGCATCTATTATGAAGTCGATAACATCAATTCAAGATGGTAGCAACCACGTTCCTTATTTTGAATCTACTATCAAGTCTCTTGAATCAGCTCATTTAGTCCATATTAAAGTGTGAAACATATGTTCTAGTTCCAAAAGACTCAGTAAGAACACGATTAGAGCGGTGGTGGGTCGCAATCGCTATTGGCGCAGACACAGGCTTGTTCCAGGCTCCTAGAATCGTCCTCATAAATCAACAGTCATCATACCTCTCCATGCAGAAATCAACTTTCTCCGGTGTCCTATATCGTCGGTCTATACGTCTAGAATAACCTAATATCGAAAAGATTCATCACCTGTCATATCATACTCTTTAATTGCCGAACATCCCGGGCAGAAGTTCACGCCGCGCTGTGGCAGATTCTTTCCACCGACACCTGTACCAACTGTTCCTCAAACTATTCATTGAAGATTGCCCGTTGTCAGAGTCTTTATTCTGTGACCTTGCAAGTCTTTAAATACACACCTTGCCGACTCGACATCCTGTTTCCCATTCAACTGAAAACCAACTCGAATACGTCAACACCGAAAATCAAGATGATTTTGTATACCTCGTCCACTAACCCACCCAGCCACCCAGCCACCACGCCCACCCCCCGAAACTAGTATATCTTCCATGCAAAAACTCATCGAAGAGACCTGGGAAGCCATTGGCAAGTTGTCGGATTTCTTTCTCATAATACTGGCTGGAAAAGGCCTCATCACAAGATCCCGGCGAGCATGACACGCGGTTCAGGTACCATGAAAATATGATCCACCACCTTGTCCTTCTTACGACACAACCTTCCTCCCACCATCGCCGTCTTCCGTCGTCATCAGTATATTCCCACGTATACTCACTAAAGCCGCAAAGAATAAGCGAAGCTGCTACTTTAAGAGCAGCTCGAGTATCGCCGTGTTCCTGACATCGCCTCTCCTTGTTTACAAATACGATACCTTGCACACATCATTAATGGCAAAGGTCCATTCAAGCCTATTCTCTGCGTCGAGGTTCATCATTCGCGTACCGGGCGGCGCCCTTTATAAAGCCGGCGAGAACGACCGGAATACAGGAAGCAAAAGTTGACCATCTCTGTTAACCGCCCATGGATCCTGATCTTCGTGTGTCTGCAGAACCCTCAGGAGCACTCCATCATGAAGGTTACGAAAGTTAGAGGAAGGTGAGAGGGTGGCTTCAACTGCCACCGGATGAGAAGACCACGAGGTATCGATCCCTTTCAAATGCAGTACTCAACGGGGTATCTTTTATATAACAAGCCATTCGACGCACTTGTAGCCAACCCCACGCAGAATCGATGTGGTTTCTCTGTTCGATCGAACTTTAATGGAGCAAATAAAGCACACATCAAACCCCTCGTTCAACACATACACCGTAAGAATCAACCGACTTCCCTATTCGACACCACATCACCGTCTCCCCATCCCTCGGCTCTATCTTCCCTGAAGTAAACACCTCCAATAAACCAGGAAACAAAACGGCTTTTCCGCATCCATCCGAGGCTTGGAAAATTGGTAGAACGATGTTAAACCGGAATCCCCCACCCACTGCACGATCTCGAAGGGGGATGAGGAGAATCTAGACAAGCTACGATTGCAGCCGAACCCATCGCATCTTTCAACGTGTTGTGTGTACTCTTTATAAGAAACCAAGTTATCTCTCTTAAGTAACTCGCACCACAGCCGCCTTCCCCCCGCAGAAGCATAACCCATCCCCGCCCATCCCCTGACCACGGCCCCACACCGGCCCGATCCCGATACCTCCGACATCAACCCCGGTCCCCGGTCCCGGTCAGCGAGCTTATCTATATATAACCACATCCCCCAACCAAGCATCCCCCCCCCTCCCTCTCCTGCCCAAAACTCTATGCACGTAATCCGATGTCCTCCCTCCCGTCGTTCTTAACCTTCCCTCACCGCTCCTCGCCATGCGTCCACCCCGCGAGTAATCACAAACTCTACCATGGATAAGCGTCAGTTTAACCTTACACACTATACGACGCTGCACGACTCTTCTCTTAGATCTAGATCGCAGGTAGAACGACATCTGACTCGAAGCGCGATTCAGTATCCCTCAGTCTGGACAACGAACATGGCCTTCGGCCCCGAGGCGACTTACACAGAAGCCTACACCATCTCGACTCGTGACACGATCCAATCACAAAAAAGCCCAAAGAGGTATTGAACATATTACCATCATCAATTGTGTAGAGGCCCACAGCTCGTAAGCCTGGAAGCCGGCAGAATATTCATCACTGCTTTAAATGGGGGAGTGCAAGGTGTGGTTTCCCCTCCCTTCCTGAAATCAACGCCTAGCAAAATGTCTTGTGTGAACCCCCCGCCCTGTCCTGCCCGCCGTCTATGCCGGTCTCCGAAAGAAAAAAGAATATGTATACAACCTCCTCCCTACTTCCCTCACCCCTTGGTGTTCCTTTTTTTTGGACACCGAAAACCCCTTTCTGAGAGAGAGAGAGAAAATTTTCCATCACCAGACGCCGATCGAAATGCCAAGATGCAACATGACCTGCCGCGCTCCCGGTTCCTGTCGTTGTGTTGTTTTGTCGTGTTCGTATGTACACATCCGTCGTCGAGTAAATGATAAAAAAACAAGAGGCCGAGCACCTTTGCGCCTCGCTGTACTTAATGCCTGTGGTAGGCGCTGAAAGAAAAGGGATGCCGAGGAAACACCTATGATCTTCGATTCTGCTCCTCCTTTCCTAATTTTTCGACATTTTCTTCGGTAAGAGAGTCACCCTGGATGACCGTCTGGAACGATGCCCCGCGCCGGTCGAGCTTCTTGCCGCCTGCCGCGTCCATCAGCTTCCCGGCCTGTGCCTGCATCGCGAGCTCGTCGGTTTCGTTGCGGCGGATGGGCTTGGTAGACTCGACCAAGTCCGGCGAGTCGAACGGCGATGGCTCGTATGAGTTGTTCCTGGTCAAGGGCCTTGGGGTCACCACATCCCCCTTTTCTTCCCTGTCGATTTCCTGCTTCTCCTGCTTCTCCTGACTTTTCTGCACGTCTTGCTTGAGGACACCTAGGGTATCTCTAGACCCGTGATCATGCTCGACGCCTGGGATGTCTGCGTTGCTGCAGTATTCAGCTGTGTCCGAGCAGTCGGAAAGTGAGCCGTCCGAACCCTTCTGTGCGTCCGCTGGCCCATGTCGTCGCTTGACCAAACTCCATCTCACCAACATCCTCTCCAATGTCTTGCTCTTGACCGGTTTCGCCAGGTAGTCATCCATGCCCGCCTTGGTGCACTTCTCCTTGTCACCTTGAATAGCGGACGCCGTCATTGCCACAATGGGAATGTCCCGTACGTATGCCTTGTAAGGCACGTGATGACGCAACAAGTGTGTGCACTTGTAACCGTCGATGACTGGCATCTGTACGTCCATGAGGATGATGTCCGGCTTGGCGTGTTTGCCCTTCTGAGCAGCTGCCATGTATTCGAGGGCGTCTTTCCCATTCCATGCTGCAGTCACGGTGAATCCAAGCTTCATGATCGTCTTGGTCGCGATTTGCTGGTTGATGGCACTGGGAACTGTTAGCACGAGCTCGAAAGGTCGATCGCTATACGACTTACTTGTCTTCGACAACCAAAACGCGAATCTTGGAGCGTTCCGAATGTGGCAGTAGTTCCTCCTCTGAAGCCGGGGGTGTTCGGACAGAAAGTCGTCGAGATGGGGACTTGTGCTTGTCGTTGAGGAACTGAGAAGAGTCGCCGGAGGCAGGTGGCGTGTTGATCAACTGTTCAAACTCTGAACTATTGCAGGAGACGCTCATTTCAGACTGTAAGCGATCGGGGAGGGAGTCAATCTCAACAATGGGATTGCGTTGACGGCCTTGAGGCTTGCTGAATGGAACCCAGAATGTGGCAACAGTCCCGTTGCCGATCGACGATTCCAGGGTCACGTCTCCGTGCATCAGGTCGAGGAGGTTCTTGCAAATGGTCAGGCCAAGACCTGTTCCGCCGAACTTCCTGGCTGTGGATGCGTCTCCTTGGCTGAAGGGCTGGAACAGCTTTTTCCGCACCTCCTCTTCGATACCGATTCCGCTGTCCTCCACGACGAATTTGACGACAATGCTATCGGCAGTCTCCTTCTCTTTTTGAACGGAAAACTTGACGTAGCCTTGATTCGTAAACTTGATACTATTCGTCAGAAGATTCGTGATGATCTGACGCACACGCCCTGGGTCACCAATGACTACCAGATCGTTCTCGATATCCTTGGAGATATCCGACCTGAAGTCAAGATTCTTGCGCTCGGCTGCAAAGCTAAGCATCTTTCTGACGTCCGTGACGATGACAGACAGCGAGAATTGAACCTCTTCGATATCCAGCCGACCGGACTCAACCTTGGAAAAGTCGAGAATATCGTTGATGACAGTGAGGAGGGCGTTGGCGGATCGTTGGATGTTTTCGACGTATTCCATCTGTTCGGCATCGAGCTCCATATCTCGCAGCAATTCGGCCATTCCAATGACACCGGTGATGGGCGTACGAATTTCGTGAGACATCTGCAAAACTGGTCAGCTGATGGAACGCTCCTTTGTGTCGTCGCACTCACGTTGGCGAGGAATTGACTCTTGAGTCTGTTGGCTTCCTTCGCAGCGGCCTCGTTCGCCATGGCTTGCTTCTTCTCCCGGGCTTCCTCTTCCAGATCCTCGGCCTTCTCCTTCAACTCGGTCACATCCATGATGACACCGATGACGCCTTCGATGCAGGTTTCGTTTGTCACGAGACCCTCCTCCGACTTCTTGCCAAGGATCGGTAGGAATCTCGTGCGGTACCATCTGCCATCCATACCGTGTTCTGCGACTTCTTCCGCCTTTGCGCCTGCGAGCATGTCTTCGATAGGTCGGAGGAATTTCGGGCGCTCGCCATCCTTCAGCTGCGGGTTGAGGCGGTTGAAAACCTCGTACATGTCTTGACCGATGAACCAGTTGGAGTTGCTTTGCGAAGTGTCTTCTCCGTTATCCCAAATCAAGGCTCCCTCCAGCATAGTCATCTTGCGGCTCGTATCGACGGTGAAAATCGTGACCTGTGAATGGGCAAGCACGCTCAGAAGCTGCTGCCGCGTTCTCCTTGCTGTGAGCTTAGCCTCGATTCCCTCGTTGACGTCCGTACACGTTCCGAACCACTTCTCAATCTCGCCGGTCTCCTTGTTCCTTAGCGGAAGAGCACGTCCCAACATCCACCTCCATTCACCAGTCTTGCTACGACACCGGTACTCGGTAACGTATGGATCTCCCGTCGCCAAGGAATGCTTCCATCGCTTTACGGTTTCCGGCATATCGTCTGGGTGGAACGGATGCTTCCATCCGAGGCCTAACGAGTCCTCGGGCGTGAGACCTGTGTAGGTGTACCACCGGGTATTGAAGAAGTCATGGTAACCATCCGGTCTCGTAGTCCATACTAGTTGAGGCATCGTATCGCAGATTAGCTTGAATCGCTCCTCGTCCCGCTCTTTAATCTCTGTGATCTCTTCCGTCATCTTCGTGACGTCTCGGAACGTGACAACGCCAGCCAGGAATTCGCCAGTAGCGTCATCTCTGATCGCTTCACCGAGCGCATCGTACACGTGCCGTTTACCGTCGTGGTCCAGAGCTCCGACGCGCATGTTGCTAAAAGGCTGTTCCGTCCGGAGGAGAACCGAAATGGGAAATTCGCTAACGTCTAACTGTCTTGTGAATTCCGCGTCCCACAGAGTCCAGCCTGGCAATAGGTCGAACCCATCAGCAGACCTCTCCAGATCGCTTTCTTGGCGTAAAAGATTGCGAGCGGCCTTATTTGGGAATGTCACACTTCCGTCCTTCCACATTGCCAGGATTGGCATAGTCGTATTGTCGAGAAGTGCGTCCTTCATCAAGATCATCTTCTGCAGAATCGAGGGTGCGCTGGCGTGGGCCGCCGTGGATGGCGGACCCATGGGCGGGAACGGGCTCGACGATAGTGACACCGCACTAGGGCTGACACGAAATGACGGCGAGCTCGAGTCGTGGCTGGAACTGACTGACGGTGGGTTAGAGTTTGATATGGTTTTTCGATCCGCTTGTTCTAGCATGTTCGGTTTCGCCGTGGACTTGCGACTCTGAATTAGACTTGACGGGGGTGACTGAGAGCTGGTAAAGGTGAGTGTGAAGTAGACCTGGTGATCTTCAATCTCCCATATTGTTACAATCATTTTGGCGTAAACCTGATGTTCAGATGCGCCGGATTTGCTTCTGGGATCGAATCCTGGCTTTCCCAATTCTTTCCTGGTGATGATGACATCCACCACAGCGTCCTTGACAGTCGGTGTACTCGGCGGGTGGTCCGGGGGAGGCGGGGCCAGGGAACCGGCAGTCGGAGTGGCTTCCCCACCCTGGCCGAACATGTCGGCAGCATCCTTGGACGTTTGCCTCGCGCCCATCTCAAGCACGAGGGAGTCTAGAAAAGCTTCCCAGCCAACCCAGACCGGGCGACCTTCTTGAATCATGTCGATCCCCACCTGCGAGAGGGACTGCCCTCTCAACCTCTCGGCGATGTAAGAGTTGGTGTCGTCGGACGTATCCGCCATGCCCAGCATCCTGCCCATCGCCTCGTTCGCCAACACCACCGTCTTCAAGTTGGTCAAAACCAGTAGCGGTACGGGCAGATACTGCATGGCGGAAAAGGCGAGCTGTCCCGGGGTGATGTACGGCATCGATATGCGGAACGGGCTCGTCGAGTTGGATCGTTTGGTGCCGGCCGCAAGGTTGAGGTTCTCGCGAAAGAAGCGGCCTCCGCTGCTGCTGACAGAGCTCGGAGCGCCATCGCTGCGGAAAGAGACCGCTTCGGGCTGTGATTTCATGTCGAAGTTGAAACCGCTGTCTCCAGAAGAATGGCGTGAATCTCGTTTGGGAGGCTCTTCGGGTGCCGTCGACGCCTTGGGAGGTATGATCACGGGGCCGTTGCCTCGAGCATGGCCGCTGGCGAGTAAAGGTTCGGGGGGTGGCATTTCGATGTTCGCTCGCGCATGGGAAGTTGCGGGTCGCAGACGAACCTCCGAGTTGGGTGAAGAGCGGTAGGTGGACGAAACAGAAGATTTCGATGCAGCGGACGGAAAAGTCGCAGGCAAAAACTCCACGGCCGAGAGAATACACGGAAGAGCGGCGGGTAACGGAGAATCAGCAGGTCGGTTGCTGTTGCTAGAGTATCGTGGGGAAGGCGAAGGCGAAGCAGAGCATGGCGCGGCACGGCGCCTGTGTTGTGCGTCTGAGGGCGTGCGTTTTGGACTGCCGGAATCTAGACCGGTCTCCGGAGAAGGGCCTGTGGAAGGGAATGCGCTCTAATTGAGTGCGGTCTAGGCGTAGTTCGGCTCTGAGCGACGATGGTGTGCGAGCGCCGTGATTCCAATCTGTTAGTCGAAAAGCCTCCCGGTGCGGTGCAGGCTTAGCAGAGCAGTCTCAGCGGCTGAGGCTGTCGGGGGGCTGGTTGAAAGCGCAAGCAGCTTCCGACACTGTTCGGCAGGGGCGAGACGAGGCGGAAGGAAGCTGGTGGGTTGTTTGAGATGAATTCTCGAACAGCTCCAGGTCGACTGCAAACGGCGGCGTCGAAGGGAAGGAGGCGGAAGAGATGAAAGACGGGGGGAAGGATGTGGTTGTGTGACGACAGCAGCAGCAGTAGCGGCGGCGGCGGAGGAGGCTTAGTAAGGATGGGTGTCTCGCGGCGGATGGGAAATCTGAAATCAGCGGATAGCGGCCTGGAATCCGGAAGTGGTGTGGTATGGTAGGTGTGTTGAGGTTGACGTTGTGGAAGAGCAGAGAAGTCCAGTCGGAGAAGATGAGTGTTGGTAGGATTGAAAGAGGCGGATGCAGGGTGCAGTTGCAGATGCAATGGCAAGCTAGGTGGAAAAGTCGCCGTTCATCAGTTCCTAGTCCAGCTCCAGGCACAGTAGTTCGTAAGTGAGCCGTGCAAAACTTTTGGATCTTGGTCTAAAAAGAGAAGGAGAACCAGTAAAAGACAGAAACAGGTGGTGAGGAGTAAGATCGGGTGCAGAGAGGGGAAATGAAACGAATAGAAGATCAAGCTCAATTGGGAGATGGAATGAAATCAAGGCTGGGGCTAAGACGAAGCAAAGCGTGGTTAGGTAGGTAGGAAGAAGATGGAAGATGAGGATCCAGTTTGACGGTGGTCGTTTCTGGTCTACTACTTTGGTTCCTCTCTTGGTGTCACTGACGGGCGGTACGGATGGATGGATACACAGGCGCACACACACTGGAAGGCAACGGCATCGACATCGACAGTGGAAGTGGCAGCAGGAGCTCTTGGTTGACAAGTTGGATGTCAATGGACGAGGAGAGGGCATGGGGCCGTCATAGTCCAAACTTTGTTTGAGTGAGAGAGCTAGGTTCCTAGCAAAGTATCCGTACTTTGGTGAGTGGTGAAGCGTCAGGATGCAGGAGAATTGGTCGGAACCCATGCACGTCCGGGGCGGGCTTGCAACATCAGCTTGGGGGTCCTTGCCGCTGGGCAGGGGACTGTGGACCAGGGACTTCAAAGAAGATGTGTGTGTGTGTGGGACGTGGACTGGACTGGAACTCGAGAACAGTTTGCACAGCGCACCGCTCCACGCTCGTGGCCCAAGGATGACGATGTTTGTGTGGAGAGAGACAGACCAGAGGGAGGGAAGGCAAGGGAAGGGAAAGGTAAAGCAACCCGGAAGCGAGTCCGCCGCACGCAAACCTAACCTTCTGTGTGTTGTACTATGTAAGGTAGGTATTCGTACCTCCGCCCTCGAAAATCCACCTGCGAAACAAAAAGGCATCTGCGATGATTGAATACAAGTGTTGGTGGCGGTCCATCGAAGGGAACATGAATCAAAAGTACTCCGCCCTGCTGGTTTGCGGAAGGTGGTACTCGTGCCTGGTTTCTGTGCGTGTACCCTGCATGGACCAGGTCATCTTACATAAGGTATCCTTGTATCCGAAGTGCCGCTACGTACCGAGTACTTGCAGTCAGCTACAAGAATCCGGGTCACCAGAGGATGGGAAAGTTGGAGTCGGTGCACAAACTCGAGTGCGGCGAAATGGCGGATTCGAACTGTCAACGACTCGACTGGCCACAAAATGCCTCCCCGGACTTTGGTACATGGGTAGGTACGTACACTTATCACCAGGGCACCTCACCATCTTCACCAAACTGAGTATCCCTCCCGCAGAACCCCTCCTGTCGACATCACAACCACCACAACTACGGATACAGACTGTAGCAAACAAAGAGGAACCGGGTGCCAATACGTGTCTACCGCGTGCGTGAACGCCCCATTCATTGAGCCGTGTTCCTGTTGAGCCCTGCGTGTCCACTGCCACTGCCGACTGTCCTGGGCTGTCGCATGTCCACCATTACGCCCTGCCCGCTGCGGTCCAGTGGGGTCATTAGCGGTGCCTGTCCGCTGGAAATGTCGGGCGGCGTCGTCGTGTCCACCGGAAACCCCGTGTCATGGAATCAACGCCTTTCTCCTCCGCCTTCGTCCAGGACCAAAGCCCTCGATCCAGCTCGACCGTCCCAGGAGCCCAAAATCTTCACCGTTCCCGCGAGGCATCTCCCTGCCATTTCCTCAGGCACCCACGTACCCTTCACTCACGTTTCGATATCCGTTCGGGGTCCCGCCTTTTCGCCCTGCAATACCCTACGGTACGAATACTGCAGCCCCAAGCTCAAGCTCTCGTGCCTTACCTCAGCTTGTAAGGTATGTACCTAATCTCGCTGACATCCGCTTCCATCACCTTCGCCTCCCGATGAGCTCGATGCTGCACTGCACCTCATCAGTCGACTTCCGAAGCCCATCCACGCCATCCTGCGTCACCCACCTCATGTACACCTCGCTTCCTGCATTAAACCGCCTCCCGAGACCCTTCTCAACGGCGTCTACCTGCATGGAATCGCCTCCCATCGGTAGTCCATGATGGTTGCTGCCACACACCCACAAATCTCCACTCGGCACCTGTAGAAAATAAACGACCACTGCCTGAAAATCATGAGATATCGCAAACCGAATGAACCCGGGTGTTGGGATGACGCGTCTGACAACTCCAGTCCGATCATGCCGTGTCATCCTCACCCAGCACCCATCTCGTTCACCATCAACACCGCTCGTCAATACGATTCCTTTCCTTGGGGGAGCCCGTATTGAAGAGCGGGTACGGGAGCCTTACGCCGTAAAAGTCCGCAGCGATGACGGCACCAGACGATGCATCCCAGCGGACGAGGCGAACTGCGAAAACGGGGCTTCTCCGGACAGCCAACTTGGGAAAAATTGGGCTTCCTGCCAAAACTTCCCAGCCCCCCCAGCCGTGATGGGCGCTCCTTGCAGCAACGGACCCCGACCAAGCCCAAACCGAGACAGCAATACCGCCAACGACAGGTCGATCTGTTCAACATTCGGGGCTTTTTGCTTCCCAGGGACGGCACATTCGCTGATCATTTCTTTGTCTTCACCTGACGTCCCTGGCTCGGCTCCGTTGTGTCTGTCTTGATTCGGCAACCCCAACCGGTCAGAACCTTTCAAAAGTCTGCGTTTTGTTGCAAGAAGTTTATTCAGTCGACGCACTCTTTCAAACTGACATGTCCAAGTCGTCGACGAAACACCGCCCTTTGTGACTCGTGCTCGGATGTACGCCAACTCTGTCAGAGACCCAAAGCTAAGCTTCTGTCTTTCGTGGTCGCCGTCGCCGGTTTCTGGTGCCAAGACTGTAGACCGCATGTCGGTGGATGAAAGACACGAATCGACCATCCATGGCAAACGCCTGGTGTGCTGGTGTAGTGTCTGAGGCATCTCCATGTCTGGCCCGGGCTGGGTGAGAAGGGCAGAGAGGGCCTGGTAGCGAGCCTGCAAGCTTGGTCTTAGCCCGCCGCCACCCTTGTCGCGAACTGCTCGCTCCCATTCCATCCACCCAAAAGTTGAAGATTCCCGATTTCAACCATCGTCTCCGATGAGCTCCGTCGTCCCTCACATCTGCCGCGACGGAATGAGGCCACAATGATGAAGACAGCATAGCAAACGACTTCCATCACTCACGGCGTCGCGTGTGCGGGCGATCCCGCCAGTCTGGCGTTCCAACTGCGCCGTCGCGGCCGCTCTTCTAGCATCAATGCATTGTGTTTGTGCGGTTGTCTGCATTCGTGCATTCGGAGAATACTGTCGTGTCCATTGCAATCAATTCTCGCCAATTGCATATTCGAGGACCACTGGTGACGACCTGCAATATGATCAGCTCTCGGTAAGTCCTTTTCCGCTTCAAGCACCCACTCACAGACTTCACACTACTCGCGCACTCCTCAGTGCAAAAACCTGACATTGCCTGCCTGCTACACTGAATTCGGATAAACGCAAGAAATGGCTCTGACTATCCTCGACCGACGTGGTTTGGTGACAAATTTGCCCTGCGTCTAGACCTCACGGTCACTCCATCGATCGAAGATCTGCCACCAGAACAGGCCTAGCTTGCAAGGCACTCAAGACGCCTAGACCGGGATGGCCACAGACTCGACCAGGGCCCCTGGTGCTTCTCTCCATATCGGTGCGCCATCAGTGCCACACGAGCTCCACGGAACAACGCAGATCATCTGACCCTAGCTGACAGTCGAACCAATCATCGAGTGTGGGCACCACTCCGTTCGAAAGAGCTTTGCTGCCCAAGCGTGTCAGACAGCGACGTCATGATGCCATAAGCACCTTCGTTTCTGTGTGATTTGTCGCACTGAACAGTCAGAATGGTCCAGAATACGCCAATCCCTCGTGAAATCTGCGTCCGCTGCCCGTGCTAGCTTTGTTTGACATGTGCCTGGTTCGCGCGACCCGTGCCATACAATGACTCGAACTCTCATTCCGCTCTCTCGCCGTTGTAGCCCTAATGCTGAGGGAGCCTCTTGTCACCTATTATGTCATTGCGTCCGGAGTTGCGACGCAGCCTTCTGTTTCTCGCTCAAATGAACAGACGACAATGCTTGGCGGGTCTCTTCAGCTTACAAGGGTATCATCGATTATGTCGTCATATGGACCCTGAAAGATCCAGAATGAGAAGACCCCTTCTGTCTGGAAATTGGGGACGTTATGGTTCGTCTTCCGATAGCCCCGCTCTTTCAGGCGGAACTGTCCTTCATCACTCCACATGTCGAACACGTCCACCACTGTCTCTCCATGACGGTGCCGCAGAAAGAACACTTCCAAGTCAAGGGCTTCGCTGGGGCTGATACACGGTTAGCCGCAACGCTCGCGCTGCCACCGTTGCTTCCTCTCGGCGGACTGCCTGTCAGGTCTATCGTCTCTGCCGGCGGTCTCGCACGAGACGCTACCGGTGCTGATGCCGATGCTTGCTGACGCTCTCGTTTCTCTGCATTGGGAGTCCACACATGGCGCTGAGGATCCTGGCCCTTTTCGGTGCCGCACGCCTCACAGCAGAGGAAGTTTGCAGGATTGTGGAGAGTGCATATTACACACGTCCAACCACGTTGCGGTTCTGCCTGGGGGGTCGGTGCCGCAATCACCGGTGGCCGGGTTTCGGACCTCGGTACCGGAGGAGGTCTTGAAGGTTCCGGGATCGGGGGAGGCACGCTGTTGCTCCTCGGTGCAAATTCCTCCATGATCGTGCCACCGCCGTTGCCGGTCGGGTTTTGTGCACTTGGCGGAACGTAGTAGTTCCCGTACCGCTGCTTTTCCTCCTCCTGAACCAACTCCCATAGCGCCTGAGCAATGGCTGCTTCATTTGCAGCATCCTCCTCAGCCTGAGTACGGAAGCCGTTTCTTGTTGCTGTCTCGGAAATTTGTTCGATCTCCCGATCATTGTGATTCAAATTTCCGCATCCTTGCAGAGTATTGTTTCGGCGCTCGATTGCACCAACAATAGTTCGCCGAATATCTGATCCCTGTCGAGGCCCTGAACCACCAAGACGCTGACCGGAGCCAGCATTCAACGAGCGGCGCTTCTCAGCCGAGACTCGGGCGAGTCTGCGAGCTTCGTGCATGGGTAGACGACCACCTCCAAGACGGTGTCCATCGGAAAGGAAACCTTCGCCCGTGTAGCCCTTACGAATGAGCGCCTCATGTTCATCTCGAAGCTGGTTCCACAAAGCATGGAATTTCCCGTCATGAGGTCCGAAAACAATATGGGAAAGCTCGTGTAGCATCGTGTCGACGACTTGCTCAATTGGGAGAAACAAGGATCGGTCGCCGGGGTATCGTAATCTGATGAGGATTCTCTGTCCCCTGTTGACATTCAGGCCTGGATCTGCGTCAGCGCAGTGCCAAACCTGGTAGAGCGAGATGACCTACCAAGGAGATTTGCTTGATCTGGATAGAACTCTGCTAGCTCTCGTACTTTCCAACCTCTGGCCCGCATAATGGGCTTCACCAGCGACGCCACCTTCTTGAGCGTTTGTAGGGCATCGCTGGCGCGCGGGAAGTCCGGCAGGTGAGAGTACAAAAGGACGAGGGCATCGTGTTCCAACATTTTCGCTCAGCCCCTGCAGTTGCGGTTCAAGGAGAAGCGAATGATGACGTCCGGTCGGCTTGTATCGCCGAACAGGAGAGAAAAAAGAGAAAACCCGATGAAGAAGTAGGCAACGACAGGGGTATCAGAGAGAGGAAAAAGCGCATAGCAGAAGGGTGAATGGAAACAAACAGAAAAGGAGTCATTCGCATCGTAAGCAGTGACACGTACCAAGACGCGTAAGGCTCGATGACTTTCGGTGATAAGGTGTAATTGTTTGCTTGGCGGTCAATGTTGGGCGAACAACTAATTAGACGCTGGGAATATTCCAGGCGGGGTGTGGCGGGGTTGTTTATGACTAAGCCCTGCTTAGCTGCGAGTAGGAACCTTCGCGGCCGGGCAGTGACATTCCCTGGTCGTTCTTTCCATCTTCGGAGTCAGCTATCCGGCTTTCACCTTACCCACGAACCAACTTTCCATTGTTGGTGAACCCTGAATCATCAAAATTCCGTTACTCATTGGCCGGTCGACTAATCAGCCTCCCGTCCCGTCAGGGTGGTGGAAGTCCGGGAAAACCTGATCTGGCCGTGTCAGATGTCGAACAAAATCAAGGCAAAGGTGTCTTGCAGAGATGAACCTGCAGCGATCTGCCGCGCCAAGTCACAACACCATTCGCTTGCATCCATCTCAAATTGGACGACCTCTCTTCGACATCTTCCGCTTCAACTTGGTATTCCGAATACCTGGCCGACCCCGAATCCGAAGTCTTTCATTCGCACTCCTCGTGGAATTCGCGGCAGTATCCTAGCGCCAGAACCTGCTTGTTGCTGGACTGATATTGATTGCCCCTTCCTTTGGCGCAGAAAGCCGCACCAATACTCGAGATTTATGATGGTCATCTTTCCCTTGCGGAAAGCGAACAAACTAACTGGCGGTTCCCTTAGGCTAAACGAGCTGATGTTAATCAGGATCAAGACGTCGTTTCAGTCATGCATGAATTCCACCACATCCCGGAGAGCACCCCTCATGGGATTCCCGTTCACTGGTCAAGTTTAAACTTCGCAATGGCGCCGCCGATGTTCACCACTACGTACAACCGTTGGGTCGACTTCTTTCGTCGCATCTTGCTGCCGACTTCAGATGATGGAATTTTATCTCGCATCGCGACAACAGACACAGTCGGCCTGCGATTCTCGGTAACCACTCCGGAACCCGGGACAGGCGAAGTCTTCCATGACACGTCCGGAACTTCGGCATCACGACGTGGTTGACTTTGCCGACAGGGGTCGCATGCCCGACTTACAGTGTTTCGGAAGGCAAGCATACGGCTTCCACCGCCAACCGTCGTCCTTTCAAGACAGTGCCATTGAAGAACATGATTTGAGATGACATGATTGATCGACCGTCGCAGAATGTCGACGGATGCGCCTCTTCTAACGCCTTTTTCCCGGCCTCTGCCGGCGAACTCGAACCATTTTACCCCTGGCCTTCGTCCTTCCCGATCCCGCCGCCATGCCGCAAAGGCGGGCTGTTCTTTTCTATTTGCGATTCGTAATCGCTTGGGTAGGATCTCCCACTTGCGACTTGGCAATCGCGCATTTCGAAACAGTCCCTCCGAAGTCGATCTATGCGTGGGCGAAATGGGGAAGCGAACTTGGCAAAAGCTTGTGTGCATATCTTCCCCATGGCTCTCCGCATTTTAAGGACTTGTCATCTGTTGCTTATTCTGTTCGACGATTTCTTTGCTAGTTTCGAGGGTTTGTATAGAGCTCCGTGAGCTTTTCCTGACCTGGCTTCACTCCTTCGCCGGGCCTTCACTTCTATAGGTGGCCATGCGCTTCACTCATTCGGCTGCAGTCGCAGCATTCGCTCCCTTCGTAACCCATCTAGTCGATGCGGCTCCTTCGAAGAAGTCAGATGCGAGGTTTGACATTGCTACTCTAGGAGGTGCGGCATTCCGAATCGAGCAGGTTCCCAACCCAGACTTTTACTACGGATCTCGACGTGGGCCTATTGCACTGGCCAGAGCATATTCCAAGTTCGGACATCCCATCCCAGACGATCTTGCTGGGCTCATCGACCAGATCTTGGGTGAACTTGGCTTGTTGAAAGGATCCAAGGGTGGACACAAAGGAGGCAAGGGAAAGGGCAAAGGTGGAAACGGCAACAATGGCGCGGGGGCCTCGAAGGGCAATGGTACGACCACTACACCAGGAGCTGGTGGTGGAAACAAGGGGAACGGTACCGCCGGTAACGGTATGTTCAAATCTGCTGTGGTTAAACTTGCGCTGACACTCCTCAGGTGAGGTCGCCGCAATCCCGGCAGAGTTCGACAGCCAGTATCTCTGCCCCGTCCAGATCGGCACGCCGCCTCAGACCTTGAACCTCAACTTTGACACCGGATCGTCCGACCTCTGGGTCTTCAGCAGTGAGACACCAATCACCCAAGTCGTGGGGCAGACCATATACCAGATCAACGCTAGTTCGAGCGCCAAGGCCGTCCAGGGCGCGACGTGGTCCATCTCCTACGGCGATGGAAGCTCGTCCAGCGGAAACGTCTACACGGATGTTGTGACCATTGGTGGCGTCACGGTAGAGAATCAGGCCGTCGAGTCGGCCAACACGGTATCGGCGTCCTTCTCCCGGAACCAAAACCAGTCAGGACTCGTCGGGTTGGCGTTCGGGAACATCAACACCGTCAAGCCTACCAAGCAAAAGACGTTTTTCGAGAACGCCATGACCAACCTCGCGACGCCTCTCTTCACTGCCAATCTCAAGAGAGCAGCAGGTCAGTGTCATAGCCACCTCCCCGCTCTTGTTCTCAACTAACCACCTCCCAGCCGGCAACTACAACTTCGGCTTCCTCGACACGACCGAGTTCACCGGCGACATCGCCTTCGTCCCCGCCAACACGACCCAGGGCTTCTGGCAGTTCACCGCCCAGGGCTTCACCGTCGGCTCCAACGGCAGCGCCGCCGTCTCCGCCCCGCACCAGGCCATCGCGGACACCGGCACGACGCTGATGCTGCTCCCGGACGCCATCGTCTCGGCGTACTACCAGAACATCGCCAGCGCCAAGTTCGACAACACCAACGGCGGCTTCACGTTCAACTGCAAGGACCCGATCCCGTCCTTCACGGTCGACATGGGCAACTACAAGGCCGTGGTGCCCGGCGAGTTCATCAAGTTCGCGCCCGTGGACGGGCAGACGATCGAGACCTCGACGACGTGCTTTGGCGGGATACAGAGCGCCGCGGCGCTGCCGTTTGCGATTTACGGGGATGTCTTCCTCAAGTCGCAGTTTGTGGTTTTCCATGGCGGGAACAAGGAGCTCGGGTTCGCGAATAAGCCCTTGTGATGAGGGACGTTGGTCTTGGCCAGTTCGGGTGTCTACTTCATGATAAAAGGCTTCGTGCAGGCTCATAGTATCATTACTGATAGCAAACAATCATAGATACGAGAAGATGGTAGCATAGAATCAGATACAGACATGGATAATGTTTCCTTTTGCCATTCGCCTGTGGAACTCGCTTTCTTGCATACTGGTTGAGATTGTAGCCACTCGCAATATAAATACAAACGCTTACTCAGTACTGGCTCAACCAATGGAAGTTTTCGATCACATTGGACTTTTCTACGTGACGGAGAATATGGTGCTCAACAACAACCCGAATGTAAAAGATGATTCGATATCTGCCACCGTCTATCTGGTCAACCAGGAGCTGGCTCTCGGTCTTGTCCGCCTAGGTCTCTGAGGTCTTATTGCATGTCAATACTTCGACGGCGTCGAGTTCTCCTGGGCCCAATGCCGAACGCATAACCTAATCAGGGTCACGTCTTGCGTACGAGTCGTTGAACCGTGGAATACAGGTATGCCGAGGTGCTCTGTATGTACGGTACGGGCATGCAGGGGCCCGTTGAGATTGTAACCGGTTTGCCCTGTGATGCAGGAGAATGAGGTCAGGTGCTGGGAGATACTGAGTGAACTCTCTCTAGTCCTCTAGCATCGAGAAACGCGCCTAGCTGTCTCGACTTGAGTCGCCTTTTAGGCAAATGACATGATCAACAACGCAAGCATCTCATAATTTTCCACCCCACAAGTCTTCACGGTTTAAACAATTTCGTCTACTATAAAACAACACCTAAGGGTCCCGCCCTACCGGTCAGAAGCGAGCTCCATCAGCCTCTGGAATAGTATCGATGTGCCTGAATCACAGAGTGTCTTCTTACGCATGTCCGCCGCCGCGAGACATGCTTTGGGCGCCATATGAGGTAGTGTGTTGACTTCCAGACGCCATGGAAGGATGAGTGAGCGGTTGGAGTCTAATAAACGAGCATAGGAGACGATGGGGAAGGACGAGGATACTCTCTCATACATCTGACCTAAGACATCCATACAATTTGACAGCAATATACTCAAATCTGACTTTTCACGGGCGTAGAAGAAAGAATGACCATGTCGCAAAGAACTCGCAATGTGCTGAAATCCCGTGTTTCCACGCGAGAAACACGCGGTCTTAAAGGCCGAGAAACTGTCCTACGCCGAGTCGAAGAAGGCAAAGTACAGCACGAAAATCGAGAGAAGCTCTTGAATAGATCAGTTCCAAGCTCGCATACGAACAGGGGAGCGACGAATAACAGAAAACCGATCCGATTCACCTTCATCGTGCCAGCATTCATCCGGTGCTCAAGATAGATGATGCGTACTTGGTGCATGTGTTTCTGGGTGATATGAAGCTGAGATCGAGGAACACAAAGCCCAGGTGAGCTTTGAATAACTTACATATACCTGACAGAGTGAGTTTCAGGAGTTTCTAAATTGCTGATCCTGCCCCCTTCCCGTGGCTGTAACTTCACTTTTGCAGGACCTAGACAGCACTTGTCTTACTTCTGATATCTCATTTCAAACCCATATGGTTAGCTAAGAGTCAACTCAAAGCAGCCTCACATAAGCTGAAGAAACACTGGGAGGGGTGGTTGGGACATGCATGTGCATCTGGGGTTGCAAGAGTTGTGATGCATTGGCTTAGGAGCTACAGGTCGCATAGTTATGGTCCAGGTCTAGGTGCCCCTTTCATCACAGGCTCAGCATGGCCGTGAAAGATGGCTTCAAAGAAGCTGGGACAGCCAGTGCTGGCTTTTCATAAGTACTTGTATTGAAGACCTTTGCTCATGCAATGATGAATGGTGCAGTATATTCCCCGCTGGCCCTGAAGTCAATCACCTGTAATCACCGGTCTATCCTTCGTCCGCTGTCTCTCAAGCATACCCAAGGCATGGAACAATGTCGCAAAAGCTCTAGCGCTGAAAAGGAAAGGGTAAATGGGCCCAAACCTCCGCCTCCTCTTCACATACCGAGGCAACTCTCGACCACGTGTAATTGACAATCTAACCTGAGCTGTTCAGGAAGCTGAGGTAGGAGTTCCATCCGATGCTGATAACGTTGACGAACAGGACGCGGTGGTGCAGCGGGACCAGCTTGAAGTTGATCATCTGCACGAAAGGCCAGAGCATGTAGTTGGAGGTGAGGGCGGTGGTGTAGTTCTTCTCGAGCTTCTCCTGCGGGGGCGTACCCTCGAGTGTGGCCATGGAGGTGAGGAAGACGCCAATCATGACGGGGGCGAAGACGCCCTGGTCGACACCGACGCGGGCGAGGATCTCGAGGTTCTTGTTACGGAGGACGACGTTGTTCTGGAGGAACTTGAACCATGTGGTGGCGGCGGGGCCGAAGATGACTGGCGAGAGGGTTAGCGAAGCTGTTTTTGAAATTCCCAACAGCTTGATGCTGAGGCGATGGATGGTGAAGACTTACCTCCGCCGTAGAGGGCCATGCGGCCGGTACGGGCCCACTCATGCTTCTCGAAGCCGCGCTTCTCGACGAGCTGCTGGGCTGTGAGGTCACCGGTCGCAAAGAGGATGGCGGTGGTGATGCTCTGGGTGAGCAGCGGGCGGGCCGCAAGTCTTGCCTGATACCTGCGAACGTGGTCAGCTACCCGGTTCAGCCATATTAAGCTTGAGCTGAGGGATGAAGCTCTTACCAGCCGAGCATTGTGAAGGTCTTCTGAGATTGGTGGAATAAACGGAGAACGCGATGGGCCGGAATTTTCGATTCAATCCAGAAAACAGGACGACCAGAAATGAAAATCGACGTCTAGAGAGAACCAAGGGCAAGATATCGGGGCCGCGGAACAGGACAAGTCGTTGAGCGAGTGAATTGGGGTTGGGCCAATGTGAGCTGGTTGGACGAAGTGAGAGGCGAGAGGTGAGAGGTGCGGCTCCAGGTTTGGGGGAGGTGCTTGCCCAGCAGGGAAGGTGGATGATGATCGCTAGGTGTGCTTCCTGCACGTGACGGCGGACTCTTAATTTCGGTCAAAAAACCAACGAGAATCACAGAGGAGATTGATTGCTGGGAAACAAGAAACGACTTTGATTCAGCGGAAGCTCCTGCGGTTGACCGTCGGTCCAGAAGCAACAAATATGGGATTTATCACTTTAGGGGGTTCGATAAGGGACTTTTCCGATACTGAACACGATGCGATTCGGGATTGCCCAAGAGAGTACTCCGTCGAAGTGCCTAATGCAATAAACGAGGTGATGTACCATCCGGCGAGTGCTCCCCGAGATCCACGATGTCCACAGTTTGGCTGGGTCTGGGGTGCAGGAATGAAGTCTGGCGTCTCGTGTCCAAGATATTTTCATTTTGTGACGTGAGCGGCGACTACTCGTCGTCTATAATGAATACGTGGAATCGTGCTACAGGGAGTGTCGAGGGCCTTGCTGTGGTAAGCGACTGCCAGCGAGTGCAGAAATTTCGAATCGAGCTCCTCCCACCGCGTTCCTTCCACGATGGCGTGCTCGAGCTGTGTCAGGCCCGAATCGTTGACAAAGCGTCGACGAAGCGCCGATAACTTGTTGACCGATCGTCGATGGATCGTTGAGGAGTCGTCGACAAATCGCTGACTTCAGGGATAAACGTCGTCGAGAATACCTTGGGAGCGTCCTCCAGGTCAAGAATCAGCCAGCGCAAGGAGTCATCGACGCGTCGTCCGCAAATCGCCGGCTCAAGAGACAAACGCTGTCGAGAACACCTGCAATGCATTCTCCAAGGTGAAGGGTTCGCCAGCACCCAAGGCAACGACGCATCAACGAAGCGTTGCCGACGAGAAATTGACAGATTGCTGGGCGAGTGTCATCGAGACCACGCACCTTGGACACGTCCCCCATCGGTCAGCCAACACGGAGCAGTCACAAAATCATACGGGCAAGCAGCACATTGTCACTGCCAGCGAATTCGTGGAAGTCCGTTGGGCGTAGGCTGGTGGTGGTCGCGTCTTCTTCATACCGCTGCGCAGAGGCAACGGACACAATGAAAACAAGGAAAATGCATCAAAAATTGCACCCACGATGGCCCCGAAGGACAATCGAGAGAGGTCGACTCCGCGATGTGCAATGCAGGCCTCCCTCTCTGCCAGCCGGATTTCTTGATCCCCGACGGACTGAATAAGGTAAGTATGCTTCAAAGGAAGCTCCAAATTCAAAAGCTGCGTGAAGAAGACGGGTTTATATAGATTTCTGGAGAGGACCGCAATCAGTAAAATTGGATGTCACGTGGTGCAGCAAGGTCGCGCCGAACCCTTTTTACGTAAGGCAACAAAGCCAAGTGGGCACCTGCGTAAACCTGGAAGTCCAGTGACAGGCAACCTGGATGATTGAGGCGTCGAGAGGCTGCAAGCCCAGGCAAGTGCTGTCCTCTCCAGGGCTGTCTCTTTCACCTGTGTCTCCCGTCTGTCACCAACCTGGAAGCTGTGTCTCTGTCGCCGAGTCTCCTGTCGCCTCTGTCGCCTCTGCTGCCTCTTGTCATCCTGAGTGTATTCCAACTGAATATCCACTTATTGCCTCATCTCGGGCCCGTTCTATGACTTAAGTGCTTATCAGCGTGCCGTGGCAGGAGATTGGGCTCGAAACGATGGTTCACCCGGCTCCTTCCCGCCGGCTGGGACGGTAATCGACACATTGATGAGCGCGGTGATGTCGGTGAGGCTGGGCAGGTTCATGACGACGACTAGGCCTGATGAATCGACGACAAAATCTTGCGGCAGGCAAGGAACCTCTTGGGCCCTAATGCGCCATGGCGGCGGCACACAAAGCTTCAGCGGTGTCGACGATTGGTAAGGATCGGTCGGGTCCGCTCGTGAAGGCCAGCATTTGTGGCAACTGCATGTCGTCGACACTACGATCATGCAGAGCCAGATGCTAAAAATTCTCTAGGTTTACTTTGGCTTTTATTGTTCTAGAACGTTCCGGTGTTCTGAGATTCTGGATGCAATACCCGTGGACATGTCCCCGCCTCGTGTTCCGCTGTTCTAGATGTTCCGGATGTTGTCGATGTTCTGGTATTCTCGATATTCTAGATTTCCTGGATGTTCCGGGGTTCTGACTATTCTCGATGTGCTGGTACTCTCGATATTCTAGATTTCCTGGATGTTCTGGGGTTCTGACTATTCTCGATGTTCCGGTACTCTCGATATTTTAGATTTCCTGGATGTTCTGGGGTTCTGACTATTCTCGATGTTCCGGTACTCTCGATATTCTAGATTTCCTGGATGTTCCGGGGTTCTGAATATTCTCGATGTGCTGGTACTCTCGATATTCTGGATGTTCTGGGTGTTCTGGTGCTCTCGATATTCTCGATGTTCCGGTACTCTCGATATTCTGGATGTCCTGGATGTTCCGGTGTTCTGAATGTTCTCAATGTTCTGGTGTTCTGGTGCTCTCGATATTCTGGATGTCCTGGATGTTCCGGTCTTCTTGATGTCCCCCATGTTCTGGGTGTTCTGGTGTTCTAGATGTTATGGTATTCTGGGTTGTCCTGGTGTTCTAGTGTTTTAGATGTCCTGGATGTTCTGGTGTTCTGGATGTTCTGGTGTTTTGGATGTTCTGGTGTTCTGGATGTTCTGGTGTTTTGGATGTTCTGGTGTTCTGGATGTTCTGGTGTTCTGGATGTTCTGGTGTTCTGGATGTTCCGGATGTTCTAGATATTCTAGATATTCTAGATATCCTGGAATGTCCTGGAATGTCCTGGAATGTCCTGGGATGTCCTGGGATGTCCTGGGATGTCCTGGGCTGTTCTAGATATTCTAGATATTCTGGGATGATTTAGGATATTCTAGATGTTTTGGGATGTTCTCAGTTGTTCTGCTGTTCCAGCTGGTGAAAAGGAAGGTAAGAAGGTACCTAGGTAAGAGAGAAGGCAGGAGGGGAGGTAGGAAAGCTGGTTTAAGAAGCCTACTATCTAGTACCTATTGTAATGGCCTCCACTAGATAAACTTAAGCAATCTACCTTAGATGATTGAGGCATTAAGAGATAGGAGGCTGTAGACCTATATAAGTTAATGTAAATAGTCACTATATGGGCTACTATTGCTAGTACTAGTGCCTCGCATTGTTCTATATATATTTAGGTAGGTTAATAGGAGGCTTCAACCCGTAAGACTAAAAGCGTCATTTTCCATCTAATAGAAAACATTGTTCTGCCTCCAAATTAGTGGCTTGAGATCGTTGGCGTTGCTAGGAAGCAGGTAAGTCTGCGATTCCTTGTTTGCTACACGCCGTTGGAGGCCTTGATATCCATAACTCGACGGTCGTATGGGCGGATCCGTCATCTATGGCTTGACGAAATTTCTACCGATACGGTCACCGGCGACTTGTCTGTTCGGAAAAGATGATGCCGCTCGCCATGTTCTGGAGGAAACGGCGCTATGTAGTGGTAAGATACACCAGAGATCGGAGGGGATTGGTGTTGGAGATTGCGGCTCATCGGCCAACCCCGCGCCAGTCCCGGCAGGGCCAATGAGCTCCGGTGGCGGGGAAGATGAGGAGAGCCCCGGACGACCGGGGCTGACGAGCCAAATCGCCCTTGTCAGCGACAACAACTCGTTGATGACTGAAGGCTGTCGGGAATTGCCAAGTCCACGCAGATGCACACGTAGCGCCGAGACCCGTGTCCCTTATCTTTCAGTCTCACCACTGCAGCAATAACAACCAGGTGGGTTCTCGCCATCTCCTCACGAACCCCACCACGACTCCGCGACAGAGTCTAGGTCACTGCAACGTTGCACATCGTCAGGTAGACGAGGGGGCAACCCAAACATCGAGCAGACTTCGCTTTAAGACATCAGAGCTGAGAAAGACTTCGCTTTCGTGTCAAGCTTACCAAATCATTTCGCGAGATACCTCCAAAATCATGACCTCAGACTTACTCGAGCGCCTAAACCGGGACGGCTTCGTAGTCATTCCCTCGATCCTATCCCAGCAGCAACTCACCAAACTCCGAGAAGCCACTCAAACAGCCACGGCGTTGGCCCGGTCTGGAGGATGGCCTAACGTACGGACACTGCCCAAGCAGTTCCCGCCATGGCCGCTCGCCGGCCCCGAACCGCCGAAGGAGGGCATCTGGGGTGTGCAGGGAATGATGCACCCGGATATGCCCAACAACGACGTCTTCATCCGGACTTACTTTTCGGACGCCGTCATTGAGCCGACCAAACAACTGCTCCAATGCACAGACGATGACCTGGTCATGGAGCTCTTCAACCTGCTCATTCGGCCAGACCACGACTTCGAGTTACGGTGGCACCGGGATGACATCCCGGCCACAGCCACGGCCGAGGAGGAGCTCGACCGGCTCAACAAGCCAGCTTTCTCTGCGCAGTGGAACCTCGCCCTGTACGACGATTCGAGTCTCATCGTGGTTCCTGGATCACACACAAGAGCGAGGACCGACGTTGAACGCAACGCAGATCCGTACGAGAAGGAGATCCCCAACCAGCTCCTGGTGGAGTTGAAGGCTGGCGACATCGTGTTTTATAACAACAACATCTTTCACCGAGGGGCCTACGTTGCCAGCAAGGAGCGCATGACACTGCATGGGAGTGCCGGTCATGTGAACGGCAGCACTCTCCGGGCGCGTAATGTGCTGCAACACGGATTGAAGGGCTGGGCTGATAAGATCGACCTCGGAGCGCTGGATGAGAAGGAAAGGGCTCGCGCTGAGAACATGCGGAGAATGCTTGTAAAGATGGGCGAGGAAGCGGGGGAGGTGGGATACTCCCTCGAGGGGTGAGAGTGATAAGGAGTAAATGGATCTCCTTACGAAGATAATGTGCAGATGCTGGTCGAGTATGCAAGGAATATGGCAATTCCAAGGACGACAGGCTTGGGATTGTTTTGGGGACCAGCGGTGTGTCATAATCGGTGAATTGCGTGAGTCTTGGTCATGCGTTCAGGGCGCTTATGGTCCCGTGACTGTTCGATAAGTCCATCGAGAACAACACCCAAAGACAGTCGGTCCGCAGCTGATGTAGAACGTTCATTCCCATCATTCCTTGAGATTTGGCAAGTTGACACTTACAACACGAACGTTGTTTCATCTCCAGCCCAACATTGTTAGTTCCAGAGCGCTTGTTGCGTCGAAGAGCCCACGGGAAGCGTTGGTGGCCTGTGCACAACGGATGCCTAAGTAACCAGGTGTCCGCGGACCAGTGAGCTTTTCCCGTTCTGCGGCCAAATCCGGGTTTGCCATCTATCAACCGACACTGTCGGCAGCAGCCTCAGCCTCCTCAACAACCTCCAAAACCACCTTTTCCTCCCCGATCGCTCGGTATTCGCATCCCGGCGACAATGTTGCCCTCATCGGTGCGGCGCGTGGTCGCCTCGACGCCCCAGTCTCCCCTCGCCGCCTCCCTGAGCACGTCCGCTCCGAGAGCGGCTGCGGCGACATTCAACCTGCACCAGGTCCAGAGACCCGGCGGTCACCAGAGACGATGGTCCTCCTCGAGTCCGTCGAGTCCCAATAACAACGGATCCAAGGAAACTCCGGGTCAGAACGTCCATGCGTCGACCTCGTCCAACTCAAACACCAAGGCCGGCGGCGAGAAGCGGAAACGAAAGAGCAAGGACAGCGCCGAGAGGGATGCCGCGCAAAGGCTTCCCAGCGTGCCCAGCACACAACACCTGTCACAAGAGGGTAGGTCTAGGTTCGAAAAAGATCGAGATGTTACGCATACTGACTGACAGCGCAGCACTGGGACTGTCAACGTTCTTCTCCCTCCACCGGCCGATATCTGTGACCCACAGCATGCCCAAGTCGATCACCGACGAGGCTTTTGCCGCCATTTTCAAGTCCCGAACCAGGGCCAGCAAGACTACCGACGTCATCAACACGCTATCACGAGCGACCGAGGATCTCGAGGGCGCCATGGCCAAGATGACCGTCCACCGGGAAGTCGATGCGTCAGGCGAGCCCGTTCAGAAGATCGATCTCAAGCACCCCGACGGCACCGAGTCGAGCGTCTACGTCCAGCTGAACGCCATGGCCGGCCAGTTCGTCCCATTCCGCCCCCCTCCCCCGCCCCAGCAGGAGGGTGCCACCGAGGCCCACGCCGAGGCCGCATTCGAGGACGTGGTCGAGGAGACCACTCACCACCGCGTGTACAAGGCCATGTTCACGATCGAAGAGACGACGGACGCCGACGGCCAGGTTCAAGTCCTCGCCCACAGCCCAAAGATCATGTCGGACGAGGCGCCGCGCTCCTTCCGCGAGCGCATGTTTCTCCGCCAGATGAGACTCGACGAGGCGAACGGCCGCAACACGATGTACGCCCTCAGCGTCAGGCGCCAGCGCAAGATTAAGATGAAGAAGAAGAAGTACAAGAAGCTGATGAAGCGCACGCGCAACCTGCGCCGCAAGCTGGACAGAATCTAAGCCGGGGTGGCCGTATATACAAGCCCGCGGTTTTCATACTTTTCTTGAGCATTTTTGGGGAACCGGTCTCTCATAATTGGTGTTCGGCTCGGCATAGCTAACGAATTCATCTCTTTCCCTTTGATCAGTTCCAAGGCTACATAGAAAGAGGGAGATAGCTTCTGCATCAGATAGCAATTATCAAACGTTGCATCCAGAGCCCATCACTCATGATTGTGTCGCGTCTCCCCAGACACTTGAGACCCAGATGGTGCAAAGACATCCTGTACAACACAAAACGTGTATTAGTAGCTATATGAGAAAGGGAAGGAATTCATGGCTTCAAACATTCCCCCGGATTGCGCCTTTACATCGTACGTGAATTTGGTGAAGATCTTACCAGGTGTGGCGGGCAACATGCAGTGGGGTGATTGTAGCGGAAAAGTTCCTGCACCCCACCTTTTCTGCCCACCTGCTAGCTGACCGCCCGGCAGAAAATGTTCTCTCCGCCAAATTTTTGGATTTCTGAGGTCCGCGACGATTGCTAGTTTGCGCCGAGCACAGCACGTCCGCACCCTTCTCTTGCCAGCCGTACCCGCTACCTGCGAGCTTCAAGATGTCGCGCAAGGCAGTGTAAGTCTCACACCAATTACTTATCCTGTTTAGTTACTCACAGATTATGACAGAGATCAGCGGATTCCCGCCCTCATCCGCAATGGCATCCAAGAGAAGAAGCGAAGCTTCTTCGTGGTCGTGGGTGACCATGCGAAGGATACCATTGTCCACCTCCACTACATCATGTCGCAATCGGACGTGAAGCAGAACAAGTCCGTGCTCTGGGCATACAAGAACAAGCTTCTCGGCTTCACCAGGTAAGATGATTTGGTGCACTTACACGAGTTTCCGACTAATGACTTTCCTGCTAGTCACCGCAAGAAGCGCGAAACCAAGATCAAGAAGGAGATCAAGCGAGGCGTCCGCGAAGCCAACAACGAAGACCCCTTCGAGCTTTTCGTATCTCTCCACAACATCCGATATGTCTACTACAAGGAAACCGAGAAGGTGCTGGGAAACACCTTCGGCATGTGCATTCTGCAAGACTTCGAGGCCATGACGCCGAACATCCTGGCGAGGACGATCGAGACGGTTGAGGGAGGTGGTCTGGTCGTTCTTCTCCTGAAGGGCATGAACAGCTTGAAGCAGCTCTACACCATGTCCATGGACATCCACTCGAGATACCGGACGGAGGCCCACGAGGACGTTGTTGCCCGCTTCAACGAGCGCTTCATCTTGTCTCTCGGCGGCTGCGACTCTTGCTTGGTCATCGATGACGAGCTCAACGTGTTGCCCATTTCGGGCGGCAAGAACGTCAAGGCGCTGCCCCCGGCAGAGAACGACATGCCCAAAACCGCAGCGCAGCAGGAGCTGGAGGAGATGAAGGAGTCACTCCAAGATACCCAACCAGTCGGCTCCCTGGTTACCCTCGCGAAGACGGTCGACCAGGCCAAGGCGCTGCTCACATTCGTGGACGCCATTGCAGAGAAGACGCTGAGGAGCACTGTGACATTGACGGCTGCCAGAGGTCGCGGAAAGTCTGCCGCCATGGGTGTCGCGGTGGCCGCCGCCGTCGCGCACGGTTACAGCAACATTTTCATTACTTCGCCTTCGCCCGAGAACTTGAAGACCCTGTTCGAGTTCATCTTCAAGGGTTTTGACGCACTCGGCTACGCGGACCACGCCGACTACTCCATCATTCAGTCCACGAACCCCGACTTCAACAAGGCCATTGTCAGAGTCAACATCCACCGCGCGCATCGTCAGACTATCCAGTACATCAGGCCGCAGGATGCCCACGTTCTCGGCCAGGCTGAGCTCGTTGTCATTGATGAGGCTGCTGCTATCCCTCTGCCCCTGGTCCGCAAGCTGATGGGCCCCTACCTCGTCTTCATGGCCTCTACGATCAACGGTTACGAGGGAACTGGTCGTTCTCTGTCGCTTAAGCTCATCAAGCAGCTCAGAGAACAATCAAGGCCTGGAGCTAAGACGAATGGCGACACAGAAGTTGCCGACCGATCAACGGGCAAGACCGCCAAGGACCAAGGCTCGAGCCACCAGGCCAGCCGTTCTCTCCGTGAGATCACCTTGTCTGAACCCATTCGATACGCCCAGGGTGACTCAGTCGAGAAGTGGCTGAACAAGCTTTTGTGTCTGGACGCCACGCTACCCAAGGCCAAGGCCGGCAGTCAGGGCTGCCCCGACCCGTCTCAGTGTGAGCTTCTCAAGGTCAACAGAGACACCCTATTCTCTTTCCACCCTATCCCCGAGAAGTTCTTGCAGCAAATGGTGGCGCTGTATGTTGCCAGTCACTACAAGAACTCTCCCGATGATCTCCAGCTCATGAGTGACGCCCCCGCTCACGAGCTCTACGTGCTCATTGCTCCGACAACAGATGGCAAGCTCCCGGAACCGCTATGCGTCATTCAAGTTGCGCTGGAAGGAAAGATCAGCAGACAGAGTGTCATCAACAGCTTGAGCAGAGGACAACGGCCTTCCGGTGATCTTATTCCTTGGCTGGTGAGCCAGCAGTACCAGGATGAGGAGTTCGCGTCCCTTTCCGGTGCCCGTGTCGTCAGGATAGCTACAAACCCCGAGTATGTGTCGATGGGATACGGAACCAAGGCGCTCCAACTCCTTACCGACTTCTACGAGCAGAAGTTCACAAACCTGTCTGAAGACTCCGACGTCAGTATGGAGGAGACCCTGACGAGAGTGACAGACACCGAGCTGGCCAACACTTCTCTGCTCGCGGATGACATCCAGATCAGAGACATCAAGAAGCTCCCGCCCCTGTTTGCCAGATTCTCCGAGATTAGACCTGCGGCCCTGGACTACGTCGGTGTCAGCTACGGCCTGACGCAGCCCCTCCACAAGTTCTGGAAGCGTGCCCAGTTCGCTCCCGTTTATCTCAGACAAACCGCCAACGACCTGACTGGCGAGCACACTTGCGTAATGCTCCGACCGCTGGAGAACACCGCGGACCGCACATGGCTCGGCGCTTTCGCCAGAGACTTCCAGCGTCGCTTCCAGTCTCTGCTTTCCTACCAGTTCAGGGAGTTCCAGTCGATCGTTGCGCTCAGCATCGACGAGTCTGCCAACGCTGGCGCCAAACTTGATGGCGTTGAGCCTACGGCCCTGACCAAGGTCGAGCTCGATAGGCTCCTGACGCCTTTCGACCTGAAGCGTCTCGAGTCGTACGCAAACAACATGCTGGACTACCACGTCATTCTCGATCTCGTTCCCACGCTTGCCAGCCTTTACTTCACTGGCAAGCTCAAGGCAGACATCAAGTTGACTGGTGTGCAGCAGGCCATACTGCTTGCCATCGGTCTGCAACGCAAGGATATGGATGTGGTTTCTCAGGAGCTGTCGCTCCCCTCATCGCAGCTCCTGGCCATGTTCATTAAGATTCTCCGCAAGGTCACATCTCACTTCAGCACATTGGTCTCTGCCGCCGTCGAGTCTGAGCTGCCCAAGGCCGATGCTATTGGCGTGAGCAGAGAGAACGCTTCCGGCGCCCACGACGATGAAGTCGTGGACAAGAGGTTCCAGCCCCTCGAGACGTCCCTCGAGGATGAACTCGAAGAGGGAGGCGACGAGGCTCTTGCCAAGCTGCGCAAGAAGCAACGAGAGCTCATCGACTCCCTTCCTCTTGACCAGTAAGCTTTCCACCACGCGTTTTTCTATCACAGAGGAACAACTTCTAACCACCATCCCAGATACGAGGTTGACGGCGACACTCCCGCGTGGGCTGAGGCAGAGCAGGCGGTCAAGGACGGCAAGTCCGGTGTGGTCAGCGTCAAGTCCAGCAAGACCAAGCGCAAGGCGGGACCTACGGCGGCGGACGTATATGAAGAGGCCTTTGGGGAGAAGACGCACAAGAAGGCGAAGAAGCACAAGAAGGACAAGAGCTGAGGGGTCAACAAAAGGTGAACAAAAAAGTGTAAAAGCATTTGTGGGGTTTTAAAACGGTTTTGTCCTGCAACATGGGCTTCTGTATGGAGTTGATCTGGCTTCTTTTTGTTTAGATGAGGGAGGTCTTTTTTTGATCTTGATAGGAGATAATAGCATGATCATCTGAAGAAGCATCCAGCTGTGGTGACTTGGGTAGCCAGGTGACGGTGAATTTCGCAAATGGAAGGAAGGGGTCAGGTGGGAGGTGCCTTCCTCGCGCCTTCCTATCCCACCTTTCACCAACATCGCGCCTTCCACCTCAGAATCCGACTTTCAAATTTCAGAACCGCCGACCATCTTTACATCTTCCTGCGTCACCTGCAATACCTCATTCTGCGAAACGAATTCGACACCACGCGCCGCGATCCTCCTCCAGACACACAACAATACCCAGCGCTCCTACCTCGTCGCAGCAAACACCAAAATATTATCATGACACCCAGCACCACCACTTCCCACGCTTGAAACCTCGCTCTCGGCGCAAACATCTCTCACGCAAACCCATCAGACGACGAGGAGAAGAAAAAAGGAAGAAAACAGAGAAATGTGCACCGAAACCATCGCCCTCTGCGAAAGCTGCGGCTTCCACCGGCACATGCACTTCCACCACTGCATGGCCTGGATCTGGTCCTACCGCGAGATACGATGGGGCTTCTGGACGCCCCTCGACAGCATCCCCAAGCCCGGCGACTGCCCCTTCCTCGACGGCGAGGCCAAGACCGCGATCCTGCCCGGCCGGTGCCCCAACGAGCAGTGCCCCGGGCACGCGATCAAGGCGGCGCAGGACAAGGAAAAGAAGAGACAGAAAACTATGGATACCAGGACCGACGCGGAAAAGATCGAGGCCCAGAGGATCAAGCTGGGCTTCAGGCGGTTCCGGCCGCAGCAGTTCGGAGACCCGCTGGAGGTCGGACGGCCGCACCAGCGGAAGCTGCCGGTCGTGATGCTGGACTTCAAGCCCGAGGAGGGGTCGGGGTGGGGGCGTGTTGTTGGTGGTGGGAGTCGAAGTCAGAGCCAGAGCCGGAGCGGAAGCGCGCAGGGAGAGGAGGAGCAGCAGCAGCAGCACACGGGCACGAGGCCGATTCCGATTCAGAGACCGTCTTCAATATCTGGCATTCGGCCGCCTGCGAGGAGACAGAGGAACTTCAATGGGCCGATGATGATGCCTCATTGATCGTGGGGTGAGGACATGATGACACGGATAACGACGAAACCAACGAGAGGGGAGAGAGTTGATACTCTTATCTCACAGTATACACACGTCGCGAAGACGATATTGCTCAAGAGAAGCGGCCGACCGAGCCTTTGCTAATAGTTAATTCACCACTCTCAAACCATGACTGCGTGATATCGCGAACCTGAAGCTGTGAGGTGAACGAAATCCCAGGTTCCATGTTGTGGTGAACCTCGGTGCAAGTCGGATTCACGCCACCACATACGCCGCCAGGAAGCTTATCAGGATAGAGTTCTGTTCTTTGAATATTGAATGTTAAATGTGTACTCGTTGGGTATCCGTATGGAGGAAAAAAAAGATCTTGTGAGTTGTATTTGTTGGTGTAAGTCAGCCAAGCTGAAGGCATTGACCAATCAATGGAGATCCAGTCCCCGTCGTTCGATCACCCGTCCAGAATGTTTCGCCCGCAGGTCTGCAGCACCCGGGGCAACTCGGCAAGGATCCTCGCTGAAAAACAACAAGGCCCAGCGAAATTTAAGCCTGTTTTCGTCCGCCCCGCCCCCCTGAAGAACCAATTTCGGCAGCCGGGGTGCGTTCTAGGCGTCGCCCCTGTTGGCGCGTTGGCGGGCGATACGATACCCCACAGCGCCCATCATTGTCCACTAAGCAACCTTTTTGGGGGAAGGGGGGGATCATGCACGTTCAGCTCCGTCGACCTGGGGGTGTGTTTTGTTCCATGGTGGAAGACCTGGACCTCTTTTTTATAATTTCCCCCATCCTTCTCCTTGTCAACATTGGATCGTCCCATCTCCTACTCTCCCCTTCCCTTTCATCCGATCTGGCCCGCCGAGAGCTTGAGCCATTGCAATTGAATCGTATCCGTCGACGACGCGATATTGTCCCTCGTTGAGATCAGATTCGAGATCACCACCCCCACGTTCATTCGTTTCGGCCGTCACTCGCTCTTCCTGCCAAGAAAGAAGAAGAAAAAAGCAAGCTCATCGCGAGCACCGCATCTCACAACACCCAACAAAATGCACGCCCTCGCCCTCGCCCTCCTCCTCGGAGGCGCCGCCGCCGCCCCGGCCCCGACTCCAGCAGCAGCAGCACCTCTCGTTGCCCGCGCCGACGTCCTCGCCCCCACGGCCGCCTGGGTAAGCATCGCGAAGGACGGCGTGCCCACGACCGTCACCCCCGTGCCGACCACCATCTCCGGCACCTCGACCCTCGCCTCGGCCGCGCCCAACGCCCTCACCGGCAGCGTCTTCACCATCACCGACTACCGCCTCGTCAAGGTCACCACCAGCACCGGCGCCCCTCCCGTCCCCACCGCCGATCACAAGAACGGCCAGGGCGCCTTTGCACCCTGCAACAACAAGGACGGCGACTTCGCGCCCTTCTGCGACCCGTCCAAGGGCAGCGTTGTGTATACCGACACGACCTACTATGGTATGTACAGTCTCGTGTGTTGATTGGGCAATTCGGAACAGCGATGGGATGCTGACTTGTGGACAAGTGACTTGGGACTCCTCCGTCCTGATCAAGGGTAACCAGACCGACGTTCGCGTCAAGATCAAGGGCAAGGAAGTCAACGGCACGACCGTCGGCGACATCGTCTTCAACAAGGACACCGAGACCACCCAGCTCGCCGCCTACGGATACTACGCCTGGACCCCGACCGGCTCCCTCATCCCCAAGGGCCAGTCCAACGCCACCGTCGAGCTGCTCATGCAGTACACCATCAACGGCGTCGCGCAGAAGGACGTCACGGGCCCGCAGGTCCTCGTCGCCAAGCGTCCCACCTTCCACCCGGAGGGCGCCAAGATCCCCAAGGGCGCCGAGCTCTACATCGCGCTGCCGACCGTGTTCGGCTTCCTGATCATCTGCGTCATCGGCGGCTGCCTCTGGAACCGCAAGACGAGGAAGATCGGGCTGGGCAACATCATGAGCCGCTCGAGGCACGGGTACGGCGTGGGCAAGAGCCGCGCGCAGAGGCTGGGACAGAAGGTCAGGAAGAGCGTCTTCCGCGGCGGCAAGGACCGCGGCATCGCGCTCAGGACGAGGGAGATTAGTCCCGATGGGTACGAGTACCGCGATCACCCGGTCGAGCACAACCAGCACCAGCAGCAGCAGTACGGTGTCGGTCGCCCCAGGAGGGACAGCGATGCGCTTGGAAGTCTCGCGGGCAGCCCGACGGAGGACCGGTTCCCGGATAACGGCGTGCACGGCGGGAACGCTTTTAGGGAGGAGATGAGGAGGCAGGAGAGGGAGAGATATTAGGCATGATGTCTGATGTCCTCCCATGGGGACGTCTGCGCGTTATGTCTAGACGACAAGAGCTATGAGACGACGATTTGAGATCTCTATACATGTAATATGTAACAATAATGAACTCACGAGAGAAATGGTCTACGGGCTATGTAATGAGTTATTCCTACTGAACACAAGACGATTCTTCTAAAGGGCGATATGACCAGATACTGTTTCCTCCATCCAACCGCTGCCATCTTTCTACGGAGAGCTTGGTCTTTGACACCTCAAGCTTAGGCTAGGCTTTGAACTCTGTCTGTGTCTAACTATGTTTATGTTTCCGCTGATTCTTCTGACTCTACTCGACACCTCGCCATGCCAAGCCAGCACGTATTCAAAGACGAAGAGTTGCTTCGTTGTAGATATAAAGCTCATCCACTTCTAAGATCAACTCTCCCCCAGGATATGGTGGCTCTAGCGACGTGTTTTTGGGACTTACCTTGCCTCGACTGCAAGTCCGATGTCGCGGAGTTGCGAGACCTCGAAACATGGGGTCTCTCTCCGGTGACAACTGCAGAGAGATACTTTCGCTTTAGGGTCGTTGGTTATCCTTGCTATTACCCTGGACGTATTCTTTTAGAAATAGCTATGGAGGGTTTGTTTTCTGAGTAATGGGTTGCTGTCGTTGTTTTTGCGCCCTTTGCTGATATTTGCCTAGGGACTTTGGATTGTGGGCTGAACAGGTCGAACCACCACAAACGCAGTCCGCAACAACAGAAATCGACAAGAACCCAGGCTTGTCTGACGGGGTCATTAAGCTGACCATCATGCACCTTTTATCCCCCATTGACGAGGTCTGACGTGGAACACAACAGCTGCTTTTCCCGGTGCCAACCTGCGGCTACTCCTAGCAGGACGTAGCTGGGATTTGTGACGTTCTCACAGAGTCTCGCTGTTGAAACCAACGAAATCATCAGCTCGGGCATGCTCAAGCACATGGGGTCTACGGCGACAGGTGAAAGATCTGCGGTTATAAATGAAGACCCAAGGCCTTTGAGCGGATGATTTATCGCGCAAAAATCCGACAGGAACCATCCATCTAACTCGATTCATTCGGAGATTCGGCGAGTCTGCCGCCAAGGCAATGATGTCCTTCCCCAATATGAAGTCCTGAGATACAGCTGACGATATCGGGGGTTGCTTTTGCTTTCGATGAGTGGCCGACATCGTTGTTGTCCTGAAGGTATTCTGCGAGGAATAAGCTAGGAATGATTCGGGATTCGAGTGATGGATTGTTGGGTGTTGTTCTTGTTGTTTGTGTTCCATGGCGACATGATGTTTGACTGGACGAGACTTGGATCGCTACTTCCGCCACTTTGCAATGAAGCAATCGCCAGATACGTGGACGAGACATATCTTCTTGGGTCGTTGAACGGCTCAGGATCCCCGTTTTATCCCCCCATCGAGATTGTCGTTGGCCGTAGAGTGTCTCTGTTATTTAAAGCGAAGCGGCTTCGCTGGGACCTGTTTGAAGCGACAGACATCCACATTCTGCCGCTTCCAAGGTGATATAGCAAGCTTCGATTGTAATTTCTCCTGAAATCGTTGGCAATGGCACGGTATGTTATGTCAGGTCGAGCTGTTTGCCCCTCTCCATCGAGAGAACTGGAGTCTCTTTCACCCGCTGGATCACCCGGTACTGTTGTCTCTGATCAACTTCGGGCGAGTATTTGACTTGATGTTGACTAGTTTGATAGAAATCGCAATACTTCGTGCGACAACCCAACAGAAAACACCGTGAATCACTCGTGATATCCGATGCCGGTCGCGAGCAAACGGAACGTTTGGCTCAAAGCCCAACCGAGAGTCGGAACGAATCATCAGTCATTACTCGTTATCTGGCGTAACCCAAGGTTCTCCGAGGCTTTGGAGTCAAGCTTTGTCAAGATATCCAACAGTCTTTTGAAGTACAACCTTGCGCGAGCCTTGACCTTGTCATTACCACTAGTTTGAATGAACTCGAGAAGAATCGCGCCTACGGCCCGGATTCTTTCTGCCTAAACATACTTGAGTTGAGATTCTCGTTCCGAAATGAACAGTAAAGAACTCAGCTTACGTTTGGTTCGCCTTTTACCTGGAGATACAAGAAAGGAATATCCTCCAGCGCCTGCACGAACTGTTGAATCGCCTCAAGCATCGCCATGGCGGCAGACTCTTCTCCGAAGCCGACAGCTTCGCACGCCTTGTTTTGAATGCATTGCCGCACTACTGCAAGTCTCATACAATAGTATACCATCATAACGGTGCATCTCTGAACCCAGAATGATGATGTCTGAGAGGTGGTAGCAGCCGTGCTGTCGCTGCCGTTGACGAGTTTGCCTATGCATAACCACTCGGGAAGGTCATCCAGGAGTGTCATGAAATTCAAGTACTTCTCTGCCAAAGCTGATCCGCTTGGCAGCGGCCTCGCAGCATCATAACCATTGATGTCGGAACTCAGGTTTGCCCCCAGGCCTGAAACCCGCCGGATGAAGTGGAACCCTTCGAGCAAGCGTCTTTGAAATCTGTCGCCGCACCCAGGTCGGTTTGCGTCTAATAGTGCTACGTCTGCTTCCCCAAAAGAGCGCAACGTCACATCCTGATCTGACAATGCCTCGTGCAGCACGACAGGACGAGTGCGTAGAATCATCGCCGCCTTTTCCGAGGCAAAAAGAGTCCAATAATTCATCCTCAGTAGCTCTGATTCTACCGGATCGCTTCGACGAACAGACTCCTCGCGATAGAGGCAGAGACTTTGAGCCAGTAAGGTGGCATGGCCAAGGACCTGCCACGCGGCGCCTGTTTTACCGGTGATGTGTTGAATGGCGGTGGAATGAAATAATCTGATCGTTAAAGAGGCCGAAGTCGGATGTTCGAGGTCGTACAACTCGATCAGTTTCAGGGCTTCGTGAGAGGCGGTGAGAAACGGCTTCGCAATGAGATGACGGAAAGGAAGCAAATCGTCAGGAAGAACAGAGGAGACGGACGCACAAAGAGCAGTCAGAAGAGAGAACTTCCTCCTGCTATTGACGGCCTCCGGTTCTTCCGTCTCTCCGAAAAGAATCGAGTCGTCCGCCCCTGTGAAAAGAAGTGATGCTGCTGCTCTGAGTGTAGGTTCGTGTACCACGGGGGCAGCTGGAAACGTATACTGCATGTACAGATCGATGCAATAATTGACAAGGTCAATAACCCTGGTAAAAGACGTTGCCATCTCAATAGACGATATGAGTCTTCGCAGGATGTACCTGCAATATTTGGGCTGGTAATCCGGTTGTGAAAGGGCTGGGCCAGTCGTGTTGTTCTCTACCCCTTCTGGTGACAAATGACCTCTGTTTCCGACGGGTACCGACGAGAAAGGGTCTGTATTCGGGCCGGGGGTTGACGCCTCGACGGAAAGAATGCAATCTTCCGCGTGATCGACGACGGCGGAAGGTGACACACTTTGCTCACCACATGCACTTTGTGGCGAGTATCGTGGGACTTTGGGCCCACGTTTTCTCCGGTCGCTGACATATTGGCAGGATAATCCCGATAGTCGACATTGAGAACAAGGTTGGGAGGCGTCGCACCTGGTTTTGCGTCTCCGGCAGCTCTCGCAGGCTTGCTTACTGATCAATCGTGTAGGTGGCATTTCGGCTTTCTCTGTCTCTCTCTCTCTGAACTTTGGCCACGATGTGACAGACGCCGCGGGGAAAAGATGGGGTAATCCCGTCCGTTTTCCTGATTTTCAGTCAGGGAAATAAACCACCTGCTAAAACTGAGGTTGGGATGCAGATGAAGAGCGTAGATTTGCAAGAGCTAGACGCGGAGTAATTATGGATATGTGCGAACGGGGAAGAAGTCGAACGGGGAAGTGGCACGACTGTTGGCTACACCCTGGAAAGTCTCAGGATATTAGAGGAGTCTATCTATACGCGGATAGAAGCTTTTATGATTTGGACAACAAATTCGCGATATAAGTAGTCAACCAGTTCAGTCTGCGATGAAACCGTCATTGACATCAACTTGAGAAAGGGTAGTTCAACCCCTCCCGCGAGTCGACGAAGTGACCTCCCTATCTGACTTTATCTGTGTAACTTCCTTTCCAGGCAATGATGGAAGACATCGCGAGCGTTCTCTCCCAGCTTACCATGGCTGAAAAAATAAAGCTACTCTCGGGCGCTGGTGCTTGCAGCACAGTGCCTTTGTCTCGGCTGGGCATACCGAGTCTTCAGGTTCTTCTTTGATCTAGTCTTCTAGAATGAAAGAAAAATACTTACAATGAAACCGATGAACAGACTTCCGATGGACCCCATGGCATTCGCGGTGGCGGTGGCCGATTCTTTAACCCTGTACGTTGACTTGTAGCTTCGATTTTCTAACCTGTGGTTCATCAGGGGTGTCGGACAAAACTAACATATCATCGATCGTATCAACAGCCACCAGGATACCAGTCTCCTTGCGCAACCGCTATGGGGGCCACTTTCAACACGGAACTCTTGAATGCTGTTGGACGACTGATGGGCGACGAAGCTATTCGAAAGGAGGTAAACGTAGCGTTGGCCCCAACAGTATGCATTCAGCGGTCGCCGTTACTCGGCCGAGGGTTTGAAGCTTTCGCTGAAGACCCTATTCTCAGCGGCAGACTCGCGGCGCAGATAATTGAGGGGATCCAGAGTCGTGGCATCAGTGCCTGCATCAAGCACTATGCAGCGCATGATCAGTCGGCAAAGGGCCTCGAAGACAACATTCACATGAGCCTGCGGACACTTCGCGAGGTCCACTTACTACCGTTCCAAGTGGCTATGACTACATCGAAGCCATGGGCGGTGATGACGGCGTACCAGAAAATCAACGACATTCATGCCAGCGAAGACCCTTTCCTCATTCAACAAGTACTACGTGCTGAATGGGGCTTCCAAGGACTCGTGATGAGCGATTGGTGGGGTACGTATAGCACGTCAGAAGCCATCAACGCAGGCCTTGACTTGGAAATGCCGGGACCAAGCATCTTCAGGGGCAAACAACTCCAAACAGCTGTTGAGGCGCGCAAAGTGTCTGAGAAGACTATCGACAACTCCGTGAGGCGACTTCTACGATTGGTTCAACAGACCTATGCTCGGAGTTTGCCTGTTGTACAAAGTGGTGGCAACACACTCGAGAGTCAGGCTACGATGCGGAAGGTAGCTGGGGAGTCAATCGTTCTCCTCAAAAACGATCGCTCAATTCTGCCACTAGCTAAAGACAGCGGTAAAAGCTACGGTTTAATCGGCAAGCTTTTCGAAACGCCAGCGACTGCTGGTGGCGGCAGCTCGGAAACTCTGCCTTTTTATGTGAGTGCGCCTCTTGATGCTATCATCGAGGCCGTCGGAGACGAGAGAGTTCAGTATGAGCCCGGATACAACTGTATGCTACCCCAAGTAACCCTTGGCTTCAACTGAGCTATGATACTCACGCTGCGACTACCTAGATCATCGGTGGGCTCCTTTGCTTGACCGGTTTCTTTGCCTCCCAGGATCAAACAAACCAGGACTTCACTTGGAATGGTTTGCTGAGAACCCTGTCCATGGACGAAACGCAGAACTACTGCATGAGGAGACTACAACATGCTCTTCTATGTATTTCAGCCAGATGACCTTTCCCATGGTACCAGCACGGCATTTCATCCGGATAACATCGACCTTTCAACCCAAGAGGTCTTGCCTCTTTCGATTTGCTCTCAGCGTTTGCGGAAGAGCGAAGCTTTGGATCAACGGGAAAGACGTCATCGATCTGTGGACAAGTCAGCCTCCAAAGACGGGCGACACACCATGTTTCAACAAACTGTCGATGGAGAAATTTGCCGATATCGAAGTTGTTGCTGGTCAGAATTATTCGATTCAGATCTTGATGACGAACGAGTTGCTAGTCGATCAAGTGGGAAGCCTGTCCCCGGGTGGTGTGCGGCTCGGAGGCAACGAGCTCATGGACGAAGACAAGGCCATTGATGACGCGATTCAACTGGCCAGATCAGTCGACGTTCCCATCCTTTTGGTCGGCTTAGGCTCCGACTTCGAGTACGAAGCATCGGATCGTTCCGATTTGCTCTTGCCAGGGCGTGTGAATGAGATGATTCATCGGGTCTTAAGAGCTAACTCGAACACGGTACGTTACTAGAAATTCTTTTCTTTTCTTGATTTCTCCAGGCATCAGTCAATCGACTTAGCAACGAGTAGTCCTGACGGGATGAGATCTAGGTCATTATCAACCAGTCAGGAATGCCCATTGAGATGCCATGGATCAACTCGGCAAGTACCGTTGTTCAGGCATGGCTTGGGGGGCAAGAGGCAGGTCACGCTATTGCCGATGTTCTCTTCGGCGATATATGCCCCTCCGGCAGGCTGTCCGTGACGTTTCCGAAGAGAATACAAGACACCCCAGCCTACATCAACTTTGGGAAATCTGATAGAACCATCGTTTATGGAGAGGGCGTGTTTGTTGGTTATCGGTACTATGAGAAAGTCGATGTCCGGCCAGAGTTTTACTTTGGATTTGGTCTGTCGTACACGGAATTCGCCTACTCGAACTTGGCCGCACCTACAGCGTTCAGCAATATCAACGGCGAGATCCAAGCTGAAGTAGCTGTCGATGTGACAAACACTGGACAGTGCAATGGCATGGAAGTTGTCCAGATCTACATTTCTGACCTCCACGCAAGCATTCAGCGACCGCATCGAGAGCTCAAAGCCTTCTCCAAGGTTGACCTTCTTCGGGGCGAATCTCGCACATGCCGCTTCCTCCTCGACAAGTATGCTCTGTCGTATTGGTCTGAAGAGGAGGATGCGTGGAAAGCGGAGGCAGGGGATTTTGCGGTTGTGATTGCGCGTAGTGCGGATCCAAGAGACGAGGTTTTGAGAACCACCATCAACCTCTCCGAGACGTTCTGTTGGTCCGGTTTGTAGAGATCGTGTCCGAGATACTTGTCTGGTATTCATGACACAGCAACTAAAACACAAGGACGAGAAATGAGATAAAATTGCAGGTCGCTATTTCTATCGCATCGATCGCAGTTTACCAATATCAAATAGAACTTGCAATAGCAAGCATAGCTCTTACGCTAGGTAGCTTGTGACGGAGCAACAGACTATTTGCGGAGCAAGAAGATCAACTTGAAAAACTGGCAGCGTGTCAATCCGCGCGGTCAGCCGTCAACTGCTCTCGCTGGAAGTATTGTGATCCAAGGGTTCATCTCATGCGTAATAAACATCAATTTGATTCATCTGAGATCCGTGATAAGCCCTTCCGCTACTCAAAACATCGAGATCATTTGATCAGGTGATCAAAGTACGCCTTTAAAAAGTAGGCAGACAACTTTGTGTGTCGTCTTCGCTCTCGGCTTTCGAAGTCCACCCAAGTGACTCCGAATCGCGAGGTAAATCCAACAGCCCACTCCCAATTGTCCATGAAACTCCAGGCAAAATACGATTTGATGACCACGCCCTCTTGAATAGCTAACACGATCTCTTCGATATAGGATCTGAAAAACTCGATTCGAGCATGGTCTTCAAGAGTCTGGTCGTCACCTACAGAAACAACTTGATCATGCTCTCCTTTGATAGTCGTTCCCTTTGTAAGTTAGACCCGAAAAACTTTCATCATGTTCTGGAGTCCAACTTACATTTTCTGTGATGAAGATTGGCACTCTGTAGCGAGCCCAAATCCACCGAAGAAGCTTAGCCCAACCCCACGGGCAGACTCGTAGCCAGTGAGTGTCGGTTTCTGGGCCCCGAGGCTTTCCCATCTTGTTTTGATCCAGGAACTGAACATTCCCGCGGTAGTCGGTCTCTTCAGGCGGGCTGTTCAAGTGTCGAGCAAAGAAGGTCGTATAAGAGTTCATCCCATAGAATTCAGAACTCCCTTTGACAAGACGCTTTTCCTCATCCGTAAACCGCGGCAGTCGCTCACCAAGTTGAGCCCTCATGCTTTTAGGATAGTCACACTCTCCCTTTCCATAGAGGGGTTCAGCAAACCAACCGATCTCAAAATCTTTGGCGCGCTCCGCCGCCTCGACATCGCGAGGATCATTCTCGTCCCAGGGCTCATACCAATTTCCATCTAACGTGATCATGATCGTTCCTCCTTGCTTCGGCTGGAAGTCTTCTTTGTACATGGCGCAGACATGGCCGTGCGAAACAAGTTGTGTATGTGCGACGGTATAGGGCTCCGATGGACTGGATCTCCCTGGCGCGAAACGGGCCTGCGCGTAACCCGCACGAGCTGTGAGTCCAGGCTCGTTATACGTGATCCAATGCTTGACACGGTCGCCAAAACGCTCGAAACAAATGCGCGCGTATCGAACGAAGTCTTCCGTATAGCGGCTTTGGTGTAACATTCCGCCGTATTCGTCCAACAATGCTTGCGGCATGTCCCAGTGGTATAAAGTGACCCAAGGTTGAATGTTAAAACACAGAAGTTCATCAATCACCTTATTATAAAAGGAAATTCCGGCCTCGTTCACGGGACAATCCTTCCCTCCCAAAGGAATGATTCGGGTCCAGGCGATAGAAAATCGATATGATCGTGCTCCGTATGCCTTCAGTCTGGCCACGTCCTCCTTCCAGTGGCTATAAAAGTCAGAAGTCACCTCTGGAGTCGAGCTATCTCGGATCTTGTTCGGGGCCCGACTGAAGACATCCCAGATCGAAACGCCCTTGCCGTCCGCGTCCCATGCTCCTTCAACTTGAGTGGCAGCAGTGGCATAGCCCCACTGAAAGTCCGGAGGTAGGGTATCTCGAAGCCGAGGGTCTAGGTCGAAAGTATGTTGTGCCATAACGAAAAGACCTGAGAAACAAGAACAGCCTGTTAAACGGCGAAGGGATGGGCGGGTTGATTGTGTACGAATCGAGGGACCTGCAAATCAAGGCACCCGCTTCTCTCTATATATCGATCTCCGGCATGCACCTGCACTCTTCCTTCACTGGATTGGCCGGCGCTCTCCGAAGATCACGGAGTAAATATGGGGCATCCTCGGGGATATACCCCGGGAATCCACAATTTGTCCTCGAAGTGTGATACTACCTAGTCGTGCCATACAGCTGATGACCGCGGGATATCGTTCGTATCCTACCCCATGAAGAAGTAGAGTCTCATTGGACAGAGCGAACACGATGTCAGACCATTCCATTTAGCCTACGGGGAGATGTGCAAGTCAGCAGCCAAAATCTAGACTGAACAGTTGATCCAGGCGCAACTGAGGCCAGTTAAGAGGAGAGATACATCTATAAGACCAATCCCTTTATTGCGAAAGTTAACAACGTGCTCGTCGAACACAATTTGCAGAAATACATCCATGTCAATCGTCAAAATGCCCGTAACGACCGACCCCCCTGAAAAGCCCAACGCCTCGATCCACGAAACGGACAACATCGCGGCACCTGCAACTAAGAATGTGATACACGTTGAGACTTCCTCTGCAGCTCTCACCGAGGCCATGGCTCAGAATGGCAAGTTGTCCTTCAAGTCAATGCTTCACTTATATATCGTGATGACCGTTGGGTACTTGGTCTCTACCATTCAGGGGTTCGGTAAGTGCACGCCAGCTAGCTCGTACGAGTGTGATTACCTCAAGGAAACGAAGAAGCTGACTGATTATGCTCAAGACGGATCTTTGATGGGGGCTATCAATGCCATGAAGCCATATCAAGAGACTTTCGGACTGAATGGCGCGGGATCGTCGACCGGTGTTGTCTTCATAATATACAACATCGCTCAGGTCGCCGCTTTCCCTTTCGTTGCTTACCTCGCCGATCAACACGGTCGTCGGCCGTGTATCTTTATTGGATGTCTCGTTGTGATAATTGGAACTGCTATACAGGGCTCATCTCGCACTTTGGGCCAGTTTATTGGGGGCAGATTCGTCCTAGGAGCCGGTGCCATCATCGCACACGGTGCCGGCCCCGCCTACACAGCCGAATTAGCCCATCCAGCATACAGAGGATTGACTGCTGGTCTGTATGTTTAAGATCGAACACCAAGTCAACCGTCGACTGCTTTTTGGCTAACCCTTGACCTACAGATACAATACATTTTGGTACGTTGGCAATATCTTGGCCAGTTGGGTCACCTACGGGACAAACTTGTCAGTCTACACCAGTTTTCAGGCACTTCCATCGTAACTTATGGTAGCCACTAACACGTAAACAGGCACCTCAAGAATGATTGGGCTTGGCGCATCCCCACCATTCTTCAAGCCGGTTTCCCAGCAATCGCGATGGTTCTTGTGCTTTTTCTACCTGAGTCTCCACGGTGGTTGATATCGAAAGACAGAACAGACGAGGCTCTGAGCATTCTCGCAGAGTTCCATGGCGAAGGTGACCCAAATTCTGCCATTGTGCAACTGCAATATCATCAAATTTTGGATGAGCATCGGGCACAAGAAGCTGGCCGCTGGTGGGATTACCGCGAGCTCGTTGCAACACGGTCTGCTCGGTATCGCATAATGCTCGTTGTTGCCGTGGCATTCTTCGGGCAATGGTCTGGCAACAATGTCATCTCGTATTTCCTGGTAGGTACAAAGCGCCATGTACTCACTTGATGCCCATACTGACCCTTGCCTCCAGCCGGAGATGTTGAAAAGCGCTGGTATGACCAACCCGAATACGCAGCTGCTTATCAACGCCATCAACGCCGTGGTCTGCTGGATATCCGCTTTTGTCGGCACCATGTTCCTCGACAAATTGGGACGTCGAGTTATGATGATGGGCGGCTTAACTGGATGCCTTGCAACATATATAATGTTGACGGCTTTCACTGCCGAGTCTGCCGACAACAAAGATTTGGTGTACGGTGTCATCGTTTCAGTTTATCTATTTGGTATCGCGTATGGTGCAGGCATGAATGCTTGCGCTACGCTGTATCCAATGGAGGTACTGACAAATCGGACTCGCGCCAAAGGATCCGCAATCAAGTTCGTGTTTCTCAACATCGCAACGATGACGAACACGTACGGTGTCAGTGTTGGCATACAAGTTATTGGATGGAAGCTGTATGTGGTATACATTGTCTGGATTGCATTCGAAATTGCCTTCATTTATTTCATGTATCCTGAAACGATGGGCAAAACCCTCGAGGAACTGACAGATGTGTTCGAGGCGAAGAATCCTCGTAAAGCAAGTATGAGGAGGGTCATTGTCGAGTTGGATGAGAATGGGCACGCGGTGGATGTCAAAGGGGACCAGAAGCAGTAGGAGAAGGGCTTACCCCGTATGACTTCAATGTTGGCCCAATCGACTACAGTCAGGTCGTGACAGAATGACAATATAATCAATAGACTATCAACGCCTAAACCAGACTTGTGCCCTTCGGATTGTGCAACCCAGGCATTTCTGTCGATACTTTAGAGTAATAACCGGTAAGGAGGGCGAACCATTTTGATGTCAGATCCAGCAATAGAGCCCTTCCAATCTCCTGCTTGGTGTCGGTCTCATTCAAGTCGAGCGTGATCGAGACGTCATACTGGTAGATGGGCATCTTGTCGTGATGGAGACATCGTACTAGTAGATTGACATCTTGTCGTTCCATGACTTGACGCGGAATTGGTTAACCTCGAGGTTGCAAAGCCCGCCATATGTGTTGAAGCTAGGGCGCTTGGCGAAGGGCGTTCCACCGGCGTTCTTGCTATCAGCGCCGCCTGTGTACGCCTCCGCCGGGAAGTCGATACTGATGTTGGCAAATATGACCCAGAAGCTGGCTGGGAGCCTCGCGGACGCTTTGAGATGTGTTTCGTTTAGCATGTTGAGCTGAAGAGGTCGTGAAGTTACATACGTTTAAACAACGAGACCTTGTCGGGTTTTTTGTTTTGTTTTTAAGATCACTGCTCGTGTCGTTCGGTCTGGACAAAAGAAGGCTCGATGATTGCTGAAGCAGCTGCGATGAATAGAGACTTGTACTCCGCGAGAACTTGCCACAGGTATCGAGGTCTCGAGCTGATGGCGCGTTGTTGACAAGTAGCCTCGTTGTATAGGTGTCATCCGTCTTCTTTGTCGTCTGGGTATCCGTCGTCGCCATGCAGAGATGTTCCAGTGCAGTGTAGGAAGGCGGTCTGTTTGTCCATGGTTGAAGCTCTCTGGGCAATGGCGTCCGGGAAAAGGTACTTCCCTCAGTCCTCAGATGTAGGGAGCCAAAGTGAGGTGGGAAGGAAGTGAGCAGAAGTTGGGTGCATTCTTTCCAGGAATCTGTCGGGAGCGGAAAGAGGGCCCCCTGTATACAGCTTTCCTACCTCAGACAACAGAAGGGTATATAGACTTCAAGACCTTCACGGCTCACCCACGACTAGTTATTGGTTCCTTCTGATGAGTCCATTTAGCCTCAACCGTATGTTTCTAACAGCATGGTCCTTTAGATGCACGACATCAAGTCAGCAGAGACGTGGACGCGGCTCATCCTGAAAGACTGGCACCCGATTCACAATCTCAGCAAAGTCTCTCACGATATCACAACTTACATTTTGCAATTTCTTGTGAACAACCCCTCTGATCCTACGAACCCATTAAGCTTTGCTCGGCGGATATGGCAACATTCAGTGCTTCTGGCCGGGCATGGAAATATCTGGTGTTTGTGTGATCTACTCGAAGTCCGTCAAAAACTCCGACCACAAAGCGAAACCTCAACTCCCCTTGTAAAAGCTTCACGCTATGCTACGAAATTCAACCGAGACGATAAAATGTTTTGTCGGTGAAGTCTCTGCCTGGCCGTTGCAACGTCATGTTCTCTTACTCATGTTTCACTCTTCCAAAGAAGACAATATATCGCGTAATGTCTGAAGTGAGGTCATTATGATCTGGTCAACACGAGAGATGGACTCCATCTTCGCATCTTCCCTGAGTCAAATGGTTCCGACGCCGAACCCTGATGTTTCCAAAGTCGGCGTTTAATAGTCGCCTCGCGATCGACTTGATCGCCATCGTTCGAAACAGCCCTGGTACTCGCACGCAAGCGCTAAACCACAGTAGGACATTTGTTTGAAAGCGCCCATCAACGGGCAGCCCCGGACAGCCGGTGCTCTTACTTCAGCTTAGGCCGCCTGGCGGCGTTATATCTCAAGGCAAAATGGGAACCCGGCCGGCTTCGTCTGGACATCCGCCGACAAATCAAACCAGCTAGGCGCTCCCGCTGAGAGTGGGAGAAGAGGGATGTTCCCTCGTCGGATGGCTGTGCTGTGAAGTCTAAAAGTGCAGGGCGCATTGAGGATTCGCCAGCAACGAACCTTCGGTCTGTAAGGTGAACGCGGCGAAGGGCGCATGGTTCGCCCGGTGTATGTGATTCTAGCAGACCTGGCTTGAATTATCTGGACGGCATCCATTAGACCATCTAAGAAGTAGGTTGCGGAAGTCAACCGTTTGGTCGAGTCATGGCTTCGAAATGCCCCGTTTGCTGTCCTCCTTCTCGTGGAAAGCATGCCGTCACTTTATGGATAACTTCGGATGAAACCAGAGGCATTGTGGTGTTGTCGATGGCAGTCCGGCCATATAACCAGACCTCTCCATGGTCGCTCCAAGACCTGTATCCTTCCACGTACATAGAATATCAACAGAGAACACGCCCTTCCGTTCTCTCCATCCCAGCACAGTCCCGGCGTGTGCTGCTCCTTCATTCTCAATATGTCGTTGGACAACCTCACCTTCAAGAGCCACCCGTTCGCGGTCGTCAGAGAAGCGCCCTCGATCATCTTCTCGCCATGGCGGACCTTCGACAAGGTCTTCACGTCCCTCGCGGGGTACCCGACGTCCGAGTTCGAGTTCGTATACGGCCACACGCCGCTCTCGACGCTCACGGAGACGTTGGTTATGGTGGCGCTGTATCTGATAATCATCTTCGGCGGGCGTGAGATGATGCGCGACCGAAAACCCATGAAACTGAACACTCTATTCAAGATCCACAACCTGTTTCTGTCTTTGCTCAGCGGAGCTTTGTTGGTTCTCTTCATCGAGCAGGTCGCCCCGAGTTTATGGCAAAATGGCCTCTATCGCAGCATCTGTACCGGCGCTGGCTGGACGCAGCCATTAGTCGTTCTATACTATGTAAGTCATTGAATTTCTGTCCCGAAATGCATCTGGCTGACGCTTGGATGAAAGGTCAACTACTTGATAAAGTACTACGAGCTCATCGACACCGTCTTCCTCATGGTCAAGAAGAAGCCCCTCACCTTCCTCCACTGCTATCACCACCCGGCGACCGTGTTCCTTTGCTTCACTCAGCTGATCGGGAACACACCGATTTCTTGGGTTCCCATAACCCTGAACTTGCTGGTCCATGTCGTCATGTATTGGTATTACTTCCAGACAGCGCGCGGCGTTAAAGTCTGGTGGAAGGAATGGATCACTCGGCTACAAATCACACAGTTCGTCCTCGATCTCGGTAAGTCTGAGCTCTCTTCATCCCTCTGCTCCGTGGCATCTCAAACCGACCTTAACACCCTCACCAGGCTTCGTTTACTTCGTCTGCTACGACTACTGGGCCGACAAGTTCCACCCCTGGCTCCCGCACCTTGGCAGGTGTGAAGGGGAACTCATGGCGGCTGTGTCGGGATGCGTCATTCTCAGCTCGTACCTGGTGCTCTTCGTAATGTTTTACATCGCCACGTACAAGAAGGCCAGCAGTAAAAGGGCTGCGCAGAAGACCAAGTCGGGGAGCAGCGAGAAGACAGCTGTGTCGGTGGCCGCGGGCAAGACCAACGAGGGCGAGGTGAAGACTTGAAATATACTTTGCTGGAGCGTATGTGTAATGCGGGATATACCCATGGGTGGCCTTGGTTTAGCTCCTCAATGGGGCGCGGGATCGGACGAAGCTTCAGACATCGGGAATGTTGGTGGGGTAGACCAGGAGTCAGGGCTGTAATGTGGTGATGAGCTCTTTAGGTCGCTGTATATACAAATCTGGGAATTCTGCTCGTTGTGAATCTGGGGGTCTGGTGTAGTTGAAGACGTTGAACCTCCTTCTGCCCATCATGATGATGACGATGATGATCCACGTTTCCGGAAGGAGGTCGAGAAGAAGTTCAGGGCTAGCAATACTGTCGATCTTGACGGGTAAATAAATGGAACTTCCCTCCCAAAGTAGGGAAGCGCAGGGAACATCCAAGACATCTCAAATGCAAACTAACCCATTATCAGACGAATCTCAGCACATCCCCCACACTCACTCTTCTCAAGCTTTCCTCCATATCGAAATCTTGTAAAAGAACGCGTGTCAACCGACAACGAAAAGACCATGTCATGACACAGCATCAGCTTTCACATGTTACATACGATATGCGAATCTCAAGGGTACCAAAATGCCTTACTCAACTCCGGGTTCTCAGTCAGCACAGACTCCGGAACAGACTCCGGTGGGCGTTTACTGGGTGAGCGATGGCATTGCAGGACGGTGAAGTTTCGACAAGGACCTCCCTGCAACGTTTTCGTGCTTCGTTCAGCTTCCCACAACCGTCGTTGGAATCGAGATTCCCCCAAAGCCTAGAACCAAGAAAGCTGCGACGTAGGGTATCAAGTCTGTGCTGGCAGACGGGTCAAGCCCGTCCCGCGCTGCATTTGAACCGCTGTGTAAGGCCTGTGTCCGTGTACGACATGCCGTGTTCTTAGTTTCTCTTGGTTCGTTAATATCGATTGTTCTCATATTCATTCGCACTGAAATGTGTTATACTGGCTCTCCGGAAACTACCGTTAGGCCTCACAACCCGGCGCCGATAGAAGTCAGCTTGTGACGGTCCTCTGAACACACAAAACGCCTGTCCAGTTTTACATTCGTAGTTTGCGCTATTTCCTGAGAGAGACAAGAACGTTTGTGTCGCAAAGAACGAAGCCAACGCGATCTCACCCTCGCGATCGAGCCAGCCAACTCTTCAAACCCGACAGGTGGTTGACATGCCTTCTGATGGCACCAAAATAGCTAGCTCCGTTATCCGTAGTGTTCTCGAAACTCCCAATTGAAAACAATCCTCCCAGACTGAACCTCTTCCAGACCCGCAAAGCCAATTTTCTAAACATATAACACGGCTACACCCGCGATGAAGAGGCGTTGGAAGACAAAAAGCCCCCCATCCAAAAGATCCAAGGCTATCTCTGTCCCAAAGATCCCATTGTCTCGGTCCCCAGTTTTCGTTTCAACGAACATGTTTCAACTATTGTCAAGAATCCCACCAAAAACAGCCCTTTAAAACATCGAGAGGACACGACTCTATTCCCTTCCTTCCACCTCCGATTGGGCCCGTCCGCGTCCGCACCGGCGCCGGGCGGAGCAACACCCCCCGTCTTCCCCTCCCCTCACCTCACCATCCCTAGCGCAGTGCACTTCGGTTTTCTTTGTTTTCTAGTTCAGCTCCATGACATCAACCGCGTAGGTCCCCCTCCATCCACAGATCCGAATCACACCCTTCACGACTCTTCCAAACCCGGTCAAAAAAAAGCCACCATCGACGAAGCTAGCCCAATCACCGACGAGACTAAATCCCAATTACTCGTTCCTGGCGTTTGTCTCGCAAGTTCTGGCCCCGTCTCCCCGTTAGCCGGATCGCAACTCCTCCCTGTCCTCCACGGCCAATCGGATATGTTTCTTGCGCAAAAAGCTGTCAGCGACGCTACTGGGAAACCGCGCCGTTTCCAGGGTCGCCGGCCCCGGCTTTTCCAGCTAAACTCGAAAGGCCGCTTAGAGGGATCACGACGGCGATCTCCCTCCTCCTCGCGTCCTGTTGCTTTTACCTGCCCGAAGCGATGGTACCGGCCGCCCAGCTGAAGACGTTTCGTCGGGTGCCCGCTGACGCCACCGACGATGAGGAGGAGCTGGACGTGGCTCTTTCAAGGGCAGGATGGACGATTGCCGAGCGGGAGAACGGGGGAGAGAGGGCGTTTTGCTTTAAGCTGAGGGTGATGCCCACGGACTCGCGACTGTTCTAGCCCTCCCGCCTGTCACCTAAATCAAGCAACCCGTCAAGTCGTGCCCACGGACGCTCCAGCCCTCCTCGCAATCTCCTCCATCCAGTTGGGAGCGCAGTGGCTTGGGAGAGTCGTGTGTACGTGTGAAAAAGCCGCCTCGTCAAGATGTCTTCCAACGAGCCGAACAACAACTACTTGCAACGCCCCTCGCTCGGGAACAGGGACGACAGGCCGTCGTCGGATTTCCTGGGTCAGGAACGTAACCGCATCTCCATCGAGCCGACCAACTACCTGCAGCGCCCTTCGCTCGGGAGCAGAGACGAAAGGCCGTCATCCGAGTTTCTGGGCCAGGAACGCAACCGCATCTCCATCATCGCGGAGGACTCGGACGAACGCACGTCGGGGTCGTCGCCGGAGCTGGAGCTGGAGGAGAAACCCTCCATCCCGTCTTCGTACTCCGAGGATGACGACGACGAAGAAGACGACGATGAGAAGATCCTCCCGGAGTCCCTCACGGAGGACTGGGAGGAGAAGATGTCCCGCTTCTCACAGGCCAACACGCTCGAAGAAAAGCGCCGCCGGGAATCGGAGAGGACGGTCGTCGGCGTCGCCCTCCCCGACGAAAAGGCCAGCCGCAGGATAAGCACCGCGAGCGCGGCGTCGTCCGTCTCGCAGTGCTCAAACTGCGGCCACCACCGCCGCGCATCGTCCGTGACGCTGGCGAGCCGCGCCATGTCGCCCACGAACCCAAACCGCAAGTCTTCCGTCCAGCGTCACAGCTCCCTGCGGATCACGCCGCGGGTGCAGCCCATGTCGCCCACGGCGGCGGCCGCGTCCGAACAGCAACAGCAGCAGGGGCAGAGGGCGCTGCCGTTCGCCGTGAAGAGGGTGGCTTCGCACGCCATGTCGGACGTGCAGACGACGCGGCACGTGTCGGGCGAGGGGAGCGCCTTCTCGGAGCCGCATTCCGAGACGGCGTCGATCATTTCGTCCATCTTCGCGCCGCCTCTGCGGCACCTGGCCAGTCATCCGTCTCTGAACGGATCGTCGCTGGGGTCGCCGAGGAGGGGCTCGATCCTCACGCCGGTTGCTGAGCAGAGGCATCCGGGTAAGGCCGGGGCGCGGATCAGTCGGTTCACGAGACCTTTTGAGCCGGATATCGACGAGGACGATGGCGAGGACTATCTCCGGCAGGTGAGGAGGTTGGAGGCGTTGAGGGCGCAGCAGCGGATTTCTCAGGTCCTTGCGGCAGACGTATTCGCCGATAGAGAGGACTGGGTTGAAGGGTGGCCGCTGGCGTTCATTGTCATGGGGATCTGTCTCGTGGTGTTCTTGATCTCTGTGGACAGGACGATCATCACGACTGTAAGTATTATGCAGGCTTCCCGATGGAAGGCGTGTGATGCTGACGAAAGCAGGCCATTCCTTTCATCACGGCAGAATTCCAATCGACGGCGGACATCGGATGGTACGGCTCTGCCTACCTGCTCACCTCTTGCGCGTTCCAGCCAGTCTTCGGCAAGGTCTTCACTTTGTTCTCGGTGAAATGGTCGTACATCTTCGCCATGTTCATGTTCCTGGGCGGTTCGCTCATCTGCGCCCTCGCGCCAAGCTCGGCGGTGCTCATCATAGGCCGCGCGGTAGCTGGATTCGGGAGCGCTGGTATTCTCACGGGCAGCTTTCTCGTAATTGCGACCGCTGTGCCCATGCGCTTTCGGGCGGTCTACATGGCCGTGGTCGGTTTAATGTAGGACCTTCGTCGTGAGAGCTATCAACACTTGTTGACATTGATCGCAGGTTTGGCCTTGGAGCCACTGTCAGTCCTCTCCTTGGAGGCGTCTTTACCGATCTTGTGGTAAGTAAACTTGGAAAAGTGACACTTGTACTTGACGCTTACCAGTCACAGACATGGCGTTGGTGCTTCTACTTCAACCTTCCGATCGTAGGAGCCACCATGGCAATTTTCCTCCTATTCTTCCACCCGAAGCGACTGCCTCGCCCAAGGAAGAGTTTCATGGACCGCCTCATGGAGCTGGACTCCGTGGGTATCATTCTCCTCCTGGGCGCCGGTGTCATGCTCTTCTTGGCCCTCGAGCACACGAACCAAGGCGAGCCGTGGTCAAGCACCAGGATCATCGGTCTTCTTTCCGGCGCCGGCGCAACAGCTGTAGTCTTCGCGGCATGGCAGTGGTGGAGGCAAGACGGCGCCCTCATACCACCAGCCATCATCACACAGAGAACAGTCGCCGCCTCCTGCGTTGCGGCCTTTGCCACGTACGGGGCGCTGATCATCCACTCGTACTTCTTGCCCATCTGGTTCCAAGCTATCCGCGGTGAAGACGCGCTCTCTTCGGGCGTGGACATGATCCCCTACGTGGCCACCATTGCGATATTCTCCCTGATTTCAAGCGTCTTCGTCTCAATCGTAGGCTACCCCGTGCCGCCGGCAGTCATCGGCGGCGTAATCGGTACGGCCGGCTCCGGCATTCTGCGTTTGCTGACTCCGAACACACCGACAACTCACTGGATAGGATTCGAAATTCTCGTGTCCGCCGGTTTTGGCATGTCGATTCAGCAGGGCTTCACCGCCGTCCAAGCCGTTCTCCCGCCGGATGACATCTCCATCGGCACTGCCGCAGTGGTAGCATCTCAGTCCCTCGGCGGCGCCATTTTCATATCTGTTGGCAACACATTGTTCCAGAATCACCTGCTCCAAGCTTCGGCGAAGAGGATAGTCCCCGGTGTCGACATCCGCCAGGTTTTGATGGCTGGCGCAACGAGTTTCCGGACGATTGTTCCAGCAAACGCGCTGCCTCGGATGCTGATCGTATATAATGACGCTTTGAGGGTTGCTTTCACCGTGGCCATCCCATTGGCCGGCGTGGCGACGATTGCGGCGTGTTTTATGGAGTGGAAATCGGTAAAAGAGAAGAAAGCCAGATAGTAAGAAGTAGTATACTCGGTGGCCATTGATGGGGGCAGTTGTGATGATACCTAGCAATTGAGAATTGAATCTTGAGCATACTCCCCCACCTGGTCGAGTGATGTGTGAGGGTTGCAAGACGTGATGCAGATTGGGGGCCAAGACCGAAGAAATGTGCCTTGCTTACCCGCGGAATCTGTTGGTTAGCGGAGAGACACGAGCGGGAGCTTGCTGCAAGCCACGCCACGCCATTGCATCGAATCGTTGGGGCTTGCAGAATTGCAGGACCAGGATTAAGGTACAGCTGGACCTGAATTAGCCTCGTAGGGACGATTCCATGGGCGTAGGCGGGCGAATGAAACTGCCTAAGAAGCCGAGATTGAGATGTGATAGGTCAAAGGAGCAAGGAATAAATCAGGGATGCGAATCCCACACGATCATCGACCCCAAGTTTCTGCGCCATTCTGGAGAATATTGTGCTTCCGCGGCCTGGGAAGGCGGACAGCACAGGAGGTGAGCTGAGCTGATGCCGAGAAAAAGCAACGTCGCTCACGGCACGGCAAACTCGCTATTTATCAGTGTGTGTCCCAGACACTGTTGTTCTGGGTAGTTTTCTCTGCTCTCTTCTCTCGACGTCTGTGAATCGACCACCCAACCGCGAAAGATGCATTTGACGCAGTGGGCGCTCGCGACGGTCTCGCTGGTGTCCTTGGCGTTCGGCCAGACGTGCTACTGGCCGAGTGGTAGTACGGCATCTGCTCTGCAGCCATGTTCAATATCCTCTGGCAATGAGGTCGCGGCATGCTGCTTCGCGAACCACTACTGCATGACCAACGGCCTCTGCCTCTCACCGACCGAAGGGACATGGTATCGCGGCGGGTGTACGGACAAAGAGTACAAAAAGACAGGATGCCCCGAGTTTTGCCACACCAGTGATATTGTTGGCGGAAGTAAGTTGAACCGCATCTCGCTTGGTGAGTATGTCTGACAGACTCTTCACCAGTACCTGGCCGGCACGCCGCGGTATGGGCATGCGCTTCCAAGGTCTTCGCGTGTAGCAGCCTCGACAACTGCGCGAAGCAAAACTTCACCGCCGGCATATACAGGGCGGTGATGAACCGAGCCCTGCAGACGGATCTTGCGAACGACACAGCTTCGGCGACGGCGACAGCGACAGCGACGGCCACGGGTACTGAAGCGTCCAGCACGGAAATCGAGACTGAGGAGGCCAGCACCACGACATGTCCAGCCGACGCGCAGGTCAGTCCAGGAATATCGACGGGAGCCGCGGCGGGGATTGGAATCGGCGTCGGCCTGCCGCTGGCCATTGCGGTGGCCGCGTTGACAATCATGCTCTTGCGCGAGAAGAAGAAGGCCCGGGAGGCAGTCGCCGCGAGCTACCAGCAACAATCCGGGTACGGCCAGCAACCCTACACCATCACACCGTCCCCATGGGGCAAACAGGAGACAGACTATGTTCCGGCAGCGGAGGTCTCCGGCCAATCGATGCCTGAGCTGGATAGCAGCGTCCATGGCAGACATGAGCTTTCCCATTGACGCAGGTTTCAACAGCGGGAGGTAGATCAAGTTCACCGAAAGAATGTCTCAGTAGATCAGCGGGAGCTAGCAGGCGGGTAGGGCAATCCAGCGGAAATCTGGACTTGGCGATCAACGGTCTCGTCCGGCCATCCTCTGTATGTTTTCCAGACAAAGGACATGAGCAGAGAAACGGCGTCAGCGTAGAAGAGTCCCGCTGGGGCCATCAATTTTTGATCATACTGAATGAACATGAACATCAGAACATTAGTGTTTGTGCTTGCACAATTATTATGCGGATATGTTTAATTGCATTTAGAGCTGGATTCTCCAGTTTTACGAGCCGACCAATCACCTCTCTTCGGATGGAGCACCTTACCACCTCACGTTGCGGTTGCTAACAATGCGGCTTTCATGTTCCAAACTTCAAACTGACAACTTCCAACGCCATATCAGGCCCTTCTTTTCTCGGCAGATACCCTCACGAACTAAGAACACTACACCAGGGAACTCGAGGCTTTAATATATGTTTATCGTGTTAGGAACAGCGAAGGCTGCCCACCAAGCTTCCACTGGTAACCTTCGTACAACACATCGCTACTAACAGAAATCGAATTTTATAGAATCTCACGACAACATACCATGAATACCTCGACGACGACGCGCGCTGAACCACGTCTCTGGTATCACCGACTCTCAAGCTCCATCCCAGCGCGTTTACTTGCAGACGCTGCCAGCATTTGCTCTTGACACCACCGCCATCCAGCCACACGCAACTGTTACGGTGGCCCTTCAGAGATGCCCCCTTACGCTAGCGCCCTTCAGGGCTGAAGCCTCCCCTCAACTGTCGCTTTGCCAAATTACGTGGCGCGAGATCGTGCGGCTTACAACGAGTGTTGCGCTATCCACGACACGGCTTCTTTGTAAGGTGATAGTCATCAATGATTCGGTCAGGGCTCAGTCTCGTTCTGGCCTGGGTCCAAAGACCGTTTGGCCAGAACCGCTGCAGAAATAAGCACCAACTTCGACCAAGTGGGAAGATAAACGCTTCGCTTCAGTCCCGTTCGGGGATACCCGTCTCTTTCGGCAATGGGACTGAGTTGCACTTATCTCAGCATGGGAAGCCCATAGCCGTGCCGTACGTATGGATGGCTAGTCAAGAGCCAAAATGCCGCTTGGCACCGTGAATAGAATAAGGCGTTTCCTGCCATCGTGGCCGCCGTCGATCCCTGTTTTAAGATCCTGAACACTCCCGAATCTTCACCTTCTTCTCCTTTTCCGGGTGTCTGCACAGTTTCGCTGCCCTGTACTCCCTGTCAACCCCTTCGCTGGGCGCGCTTGACATCCATCCCAGACCTTGTTAGTTTCCTACGTACAAGATCAGCTTCAGTCCCGAAGCTCCGTGACGCGACGGAATGGACGACCACGAGTCCCAATACCACCAGCAGCAGCTCGAGTGGCACCGGCAAAAACAAGAGCAACAGCTCAAGCTGCAGCAGCTACAACCTCCAGACCAGGATGGCCGACCCCAATCGTCTCAAACATCATCCTCGCCGCCGCCTCAGTCCCCCAAGTCCTTGCGGCAGCCTCCCCTGACAACGCCGAAGAATGTCCAGGATGAGTCGGGGGAGAAGAAGAAGAATCTCTTCGACGACCAGCCCGGCTTGGAACCAGCCCCATGGTCCACCGCACCTATCCCGTACACAACGCATGCCGACCTGCAAAGCCCCGTCGGGCAATGTTCCGCGGTCCAGAGCCCAGCGACGCTGGTCCCCGGGGTACAGAGTCCTGGATCGCAGACTCCCGGCCTGGATTCGAAATGGTTGGAAAGTCAGCTGTACGCCGTGCCCCCCGACCCCGAATCCCCGCCACTGCCCCCGCCGAATGAGAAACGACGCATCCTCGGCCTCGCCGTGCCCGTCTTCTGGGCCGTCGTCATTGGCCTGGTGATCATAGTAGCGGCCGGGCTCGCGGGTGGTGTCGCGGGTGGGCTCATTACCCAGAAGGCCAATGCCTCGTCGAGGTCAGTACATCCCTAGCCTTGCAGCATCACCTCACCATTACTGACTTTCTATCAGCTCCGTCTCACCAGACGCCCAATCTGACCCAACCGCAACCTCTGCACTCTCTATAACCTCGAACCCCTCAGCAACAACATCCGCAACCGCAACCTCAGCAACACCCCGAGCCTCCGGCGGCGTCCTCCCCGCCCCCACCGACGGCGGCTGCCCCAAGATCAACTCGACGAACTTCACGCCCACCGACGCCTCGGGCGAGGCCATGGGCCTCAGCTCCGGCGCGGGCCAGACTTTCCGCCAGCTGTGCGAGGTCAACTACCCCTCCGGCGCGGCGTATGGCAACCCGGGGATCTACGACATCCTGAAGGCGTACGTCTCGACGTTCGACGAGTGCATGACGCTCTGCGCGGCGCACAACCAGGCGTACTACCTCAACCTGAGCAACGGCAACGTCGGGAAGGGGGGCTTCTGTCGGTCCGTGGCCATGATCAAGACTCCAGGAGAGTACTGCTATCTGAAGAATGGCACGGGAGTATCGGATACCCAGGGCCACCCGAAGGACTTTGTCAGCGCTGTTGTCGTTTCCGGACTGGACGTATGATCGAGAATTGGGTGGAGTTGTGTGTATATAGGGGCGACTGGTAGACGTATATTAAATGATGTTAATAGACTTGAGCGTTCGATCAATGGATGATAACATTTTCCTGTACTGTCAACAACGGGGGCAAGTTCAATATTTTTGGGACCGTCTTCTCGCAGTATCTGATAGCCAGGGTGGGAGAGACATGGACGCCTACGCCAATAGTACAGTCACGCAATCATCGCACCATACAGGAATGAGTATGTTTTTGTATTCTCCTAGCAGATCCTACTGCCACGAAACTGACAACCCCAGGAGAAGAGCTGCCTGGGTCGTGTTCAACCCTCGTGCATCAACGACCAACTTCCCCTCTACCCTCGCCACAGCTCACCCCATCCCTCGGCCGTCTCAAGTCGAAGCAGGCACCAACGACATCTACTGCTTTCCCGAACCGCCGTAGCCGGACTGGGTCTTGTCGCCGCTGGGCGAGGTGTAGGTCGAGCCGCCCTGGCCGTTGTTGTGGTAGGTGCTGCCGTTGGGGTTGGAGTAGTAGTAAGAACCGTCCCTGTTTCGTCGAAAGGAGTCAGTCTCACGAAGTCTCTGAGATCACGCCCGGTGGCAGTCCGGTCGTCGGGGAGTTGGTCTTACGTGTTGGAGTAGTGGTACGAGTTCTGGTTGGAGGCGCTGCTGCCGTAGTCGCGGGCGCAGTAGTGGTTGCCCTGTGACGGTTGTTAGTTACTCGTTGAGTGCAGCTTAGTTGAAGGGGTTTCGGGATGGCCTACGTCGTTGTTGGTGCCGGAGCTCTTGTACGTGAATCCCTGGTTGCTAGGCATCTTGACTGCTGTTCTTGTGAATGTGGATGAGGATTTGGGTGTAGATGGAAGTGAAGTTTCTGTGTAAGTGCGATTGGGTGCGAGTGTGATGGATATAAATACGAAGCCGGAAGAAGGTCGACGTCGAAAGAGTGACGTTTTAAAGGGATCAAGGCCGCCTCCCTAACTCCCATCCCGCCTGCCTCATTCACCCCGCATCGCAATCAATTTGCTTGTGTTGTGACCGTTTGGAAGCGGGGGGGAGAGCTCTCTCGTGCAGGGGCAAGCTCTCCAGCAGGGAAGACGTTTTACGCCCCGGCGGAAAACGCAAGCGAGAAATTCACGCAAGGGAGGTAGGAAAAAAAAAGAAAGCATGCTGGAGACAAGCAGGAGCAAAACGCGCAAATGAGACACAATCTGGGTCTGGCGGCGGCGTCCTGGCCCCCGACGGCACGCTTGACGCTATCGTGAGATGCGACAGGGGCTATCCTGGTATATCTAGATCACATCTCACGAGGACATGCGTACCTGCGATCCACGTCGGCATCAACCCGGGAAGGGGGGAAGGGCCTCGAACGGAGAGACTGTTTGTCCGTAAGACACTATCAAACTTGAGCATCAAGTGTGTCGCAATTGGCATGCGAACAAAAGCTTGGAAGTTGGCTCGTTTGCATGAGAGCTGCAGAACATCCCGGGTCGCAATCGGGATGGAGTGTGATGGGAGGGGGGGCTCAGCTGCATCCTTCCATCGCGGACATCCATCCGGTGGGATACCCTTCACTTTAAGAACTCGCGACGTGAGGGAACGACGAGAGAAAATCAAACGGTGAAAATCATGTTCTGCGCCTGGTATATGCGAAAAAACAACACAAGAAACCTCCCCCTTCCCAATCATAGCATCATAGCATTTCTCCAAAGAACAAACACGGAAGCAAGCCTGCCCGAAAGTGATATCCCCGCCCGCCTGTCCCAACACCATGTCACATCCCGTCGTCGTCAAATCATTTCATACCAACGCTAGACAAACAAAAAAACAAGCAAAGGTCAGCACATCTCTGTTCATCACGTAAAAAGAAGACCAGCCAAAACACCCCCCACGCCAGTCCCAAGCAAGCGCAGGCTTGCCGGTGCTTTGCCCCTCCCCCTCATCCGCTAAAGATATTCTTCAACCCAGAGAGAGCTTGCTTGGGGGTACTCACTTCTTGCCGTATCCGGAGCACGTCCGGTACCCACTGGCCGTAGTGATCGTCGAGGAGCCGCCGTTGCCGTCGTTGTAATATTTGTTGCCGCTTTTCGAGTCGACGTAGTAATACGAGCCGTTTCTGCGCGGATTTCCCGAAACCCCGATCAGCTTTCTCCTTCATACCTCTATGCGCCTCCCTCGTTGCTCCAATCCACCCTTCTCGCCCTTCTTGCGGCGCTTCCATATTCGTGGGTGTGAGGGTCGGGGCTTACATGTTGGAATAATGGTATGAGTGCTCTTCTGAAGAGCTGCTGCCGCCGGGATCTCGAGGAGCGTATTGTTTGCCCTGTCCCTTCGATGTGAGCATATCGACGAACGATAGTCTCTTTCAGACCTCGGCAAGACGAAATAGAGTTTTGGGCGGAATCGTTGGTGTTGGAGATGAATATGTACCTGTGTGTTACTCCCAGAGCTCTTGTACGTGTACCCCTTGTTGCTCGGCATGTTGGAATCTCGTTGTGTTGGAAGACAGAGAGAACTCCCTATTCGACTCCGGATGGGCGGGTGTTCAATTTCATGAAAAGACGGACTTTCACCGATGGATCAAAGGACTCTCCGGGGAGGGGACGGCGAGGCAGAGGAGAGGGGGGGGGGCGGCCGGAGCATTTAAAGAACCATCTAGCGGCCGGGTGGAGATGGGAAAGGTGAATTTCGTGGTCGTGGTCGTGTATTACATGAGGAAACTTTGCTGGTGCCCGCCGTCCGGCACACATGGGCTGATCAGTGATTCACGGCGATGCGTGTTTTGAAACGATACGCTTGTCGTTTACCCCGCCCTTCTTGGGTGAAGGTACCTCTCAACAACAAAAACAGCCCACGACACGGACGGCGGGATACTTACTCATACACACAACCTACACGCATACACACATACACATACGACTCGGGCCCGTCGTGCTGTCAATGCCTTTGGGTAGGGACACAGTCGGGGACTGGGACTGGGACGCCACACGCAATCGCGCAGCACCGAGGGACCAACGAACGCACATGGAGAACTCCATTCTGCGAGGCACGACGGCAAGGCAAAGTGGGCAGGGCAGAGCAGGAGCAAGGCAGAGAGCAGCACGGGCGGATGGGGAAGACCGTGTGGTTCTGTCGTGGGCCAAGCGAGGCGAATGAGATGTGCTATTAGCGTGCGCTGGCATTGCATCTGGGCCTGACTTCGGGCTTATTTTTAAGCTCCATGTGGGGGGTCGAAGCTGTCCGTAGGTAGCTTTGGACGAAAGCCCAGAGGTGTCTGAGGGGGAGGAGTGGTCGAAGAAAGACTTGGGGGGACCCAGATGTGGGAAGTTGGGACGACATGACACTTGATTTTATGGCGACGACGGCGGCCCAAGGGTGATGAGGAGGGAGGGGCGCTTAGGTGGCTTAAAGAAGAAAACCACAGGTGTGAAGAAGCGTCCGATCCCCTGGCCATCCCCCCAGCCATCCCCCGTCGCCGCTCGCCGCCGCTGCCGACGATTGGCAACGGAGAGGTGTTCCAATGGTTGGGCGTGGACGATTGCTGCAAGGTCCGGGAAAGCCCGGCCGGGCCATACGTAAAAATGTCTCGATCGAAGGGTGGGATATATCTCCGAGACCCAGCTTCGGTGCCTCGGACCTGGCTCCGAGCGGCCAACCCATGTTTGCGCTTGAAAATCAAAAGTCTATTTTTTAGGTCTCTCTCAACCCTTCCTCGTCTATATGTCTAGGGGCGTCTATTGTTCATAAGACGCTGATATATGCGGCTCAAAGATGATGATCGAGTCATTGCTTGTTGTCCTTGGGGTCGCCGTCCTCCAGCTCGGCGATGTACTTCTCGGCGTCCAAGGCGGCCATGCAGCCGGATCCTGGGAATCACAATTGTCAGCACATGTGATCCTCACGAGGGCGCAGCAGTCCACAGACTGCCGATGGGACATGAACTCACCTGCACTGGTAATAGCTTGTCTGTATCTCTTGTCCTGGACGTCACCGGCGGCGAAGACACCCTCGACGCTGGTCAGCGGGGTGCCGGGCTTGGTGACGATGTAGCCCTCGGCGTCGGTGTCGAGCTGGCCCTTGACGAGGGTGGTGGCGGGCTCGTGGCCGATGGCGTAGAAAAGGCCGTTGGCCTCGAGCTCCTCCTCCTTGCCGGTGACGGTGTCCTTGACGACGAGGTGGCTCATGAGGCCGTCGGCGCCGCCCTTGATCTCGGAGCCGACCGAGTTCCAGCGGACGGTGACCTTGGGGTGGGCGAGCAGGCGCTTGGCCATGATCTGGGAGGCGCGGAGGACGTCGCGGCGGACGAGGACGGTGACGTGGCTGGCGTACTTTGTCAGGAACATGGCCTCCTCGGCGGCGGAGTCACCACCACCGATGACGAAGAGGGGCTTGTTGCGGAAGATGGGGACGGCGCCGTCGCAGACAGCGCAGGCGGAGACACCGTTCTGCCAGTACTTGTCCTCTCCGGGGAGGTTGAGGCGGCGGGCGGAGGCGCCGGTGGCCAGGATGATGGCGTCGGCGGTGTGGGTCTCGGAGGGGGAGAACTCGGTCGAGTACTTGAAGGGGCGGGAGGAGAGGTCGAGGTTGGCGACGGTGTCGGTGATGATCTCGGTGCCGAAGCGTGCGGACTGGGCCTTCATCTTCTCCATGAGCTCGCCGCCCATGACGCCCTCGGGGAAGCCGGGGAAGTTCTCGACGTCGGTGGTGGTGGTGAGCTGACCACCGGCGGCGATACCGTTGGCCATGAAGCCTTCATAGAGGACGGGCTTGAGCTCGGCACGCGCCAGGTAGACGGCGGCGGTGTGCGCGGCAGGGCCGGAGCCGATGACTGCGAAGAAGGCCTGTTAGCATGAAGTCGCATTGAGGATGAAGCCATCGTGAGTCCAGAGGTGAGGGGAAGAGGGGCCGTAGAGGTTGGGTGACGTACTGACGACCTTGGAATGCATGTTGCGGGCACTCGTCTTCAATTCGGATGGATTGGCAGTGTTCTTTTTCAAGGTGGTAGTGGCTGCTGCAAATGACAGGCCGGTCGCGCTGGAGCGAAGAAGTGTTCGTCGGATGGTTGAAGAGAACAGTTTGACGGTGATATGCGCGTTCGGAACACGCAGTATCCTCTCCAAAAATGGCGGGGTATCTTTAAAAAGGGAAAAAAGAGACACAAGAGGGGGGCGGAAGGGGGGGTCCTCCGTCGGTGGAGGGGCAACAACGAAACACGCAGACGGAGGAGACGGGCTTTGCTTCCAATCAGCTCGTGGCAAGTCCAGCACCTCTTTGCGCGCTATCGTTGACGATATCTTGCTCCTGCCACCACCAATGTACTATCTAAAGATCCTCCCGGGACGGCCTCTGAGTGGACGGCGACTGGTTCGGAGTGGGAATCGTAGCTGGTGCTGCAGTTGGATTTCTAATGGTTGCCGGGATTTGTCTCTCTGATGGTGGATTCCAGAATTTTTCGGGCGGCGGCGCGATTCAGGGACCACAGGAGGCGACGCAAGCCGGTCTGCAGCGAAATGCGTGATCGGAGGGCCGGCATCGATGGATTACTTAAGCGCCGAGTCCCGGGTCTCGATGCCAAATTGCGACCCACTTACCGAGGCTCGCCCGAGCGACATATTTCCGAGCGGAACGTCTGCTCGTTCTCGAATTCCGGGCTCGGCCCCGACATCCACAAGGGTTCTCACTCGACTGTTGACGATCTTTCATCTTATCAATCAATCTCCAGTATTTGGAATTCTGATTTCGTGACGTCAATGAAGCCTTGTCAGGCTAGAAAGGTAAATAGCCAAGTCCGTTGTCGGCGGCAACAGCTGATGCGCCAGCTCATTGAGTACGATGGGATTGCGAGTCACACTTACTTCAGGTTATCTCAAAACATTTGGCTTCGGCCGACAGCTTGTCATGGTACCTCAAGTGCTTGCTCGATTGCCAACATCTTGCGGGCGAGGCAGAGATGAACCAAGCCGACTTAATTCTACAACACCAACATTATCGCATCATCTTCCAATTTTCTTCAATCCCAAACTGTATCATTATCGAGCCACATTCGAGTTGTCCGTGGCGTTGCCAACGGTATGTTGTGGAATGTGGACTGTATGACAAGTGGTAGGGATGCGAGCGAGAGTCACGACACGGATGCTTTCGCATTTCGGCTTCTCCAGTCGTTTGCAGTACAACGTCGAAGATGAGTCATGGTATAAAGTCTGCGTTTTCCGTCAACTATTTTGAATTTTGAACAACCCTGAAGACACCGCATGCTCGGCTTCATGAGTGGTTGGGGATTATTAGAAGTTCAGTACGTTGCTCGAACAATGTAGAAGCTACAAAAGACGACGATTTTCGAAGATCGGCATCGTTATGCCATGATTAGTGCTCTGCCGAATACACCCTGGACAAAGATGACCAAGAAAGACGATGTTTCGAAAGCCAAGATGCGGCTGTGCTTGTGTTATGATCAGTGTCGTAAGTCATAACAACCGCCAGTTATATCTGCCAGTCGAATTCCTTCTTAGTTGACTGGATGATCAGCATATCCTGCATCACTGCGAAAGATTTCTACTATGACGTTCTCAAGCTGTCGAATATGAAGATGGCAACAGAGCACGGCTGACTGAGCCCTTTCTTTTGTGGCTCAACTAGTCCATGGAGCCGGTCTCAGATGATTCGGGTAGACAGGACAGTTCGCGGAGCTAAATCAGGCTTTGAGGAAGAGCATCATCGTCAGTTGAACGGGTGAGGTATATAAGTTTACCCAACAACTCAAAAAGAATTGCATGGCGACAATGTTCCAAAATTCTCCGTGCCGCGAAGTCTGCTGTTGGTCTCATAGTCGACAGGCATGGTCCTAGATGGTCACCCGACAATCTCGATTTCACCAGAGTTGTTGACGACCGAATCTCGTCCCAGGACTTCTCGCTTCAAACCCCTCTATCCGTTGATACATGACGGGATAAGCCACGAGTCTTGATGACGGGCAACATCTCGAATTGAAAGCCGACGGGACCTACCGCACGGCCAACATGGACACGTCGTCGTCAAGTCCAAACAGGTAACCTGCTTCGAACTTGCAAATACCATCGCCCACGCCATTTCTGACCTACTTTGTTCCCAGAGGGTTACGTTTGAGGTTAGCTTCGACTTATATACCTATCAACTGGGGAATCGGAATGCATAGATGGTGTCTTTCTAGCATTGGGATGTGACTTCGAGACCGGCAGTGATGAGGCGGTTTGGATGCTGCACCCATGAGAAGTCCAAAGCCTTAAGTAGCCAATCTTTCCTTCCCAAAAGTCCACCGAGAGAGATGATTAAACAAAATCCCGGGCTTCAAAGTGCTTTAATCTACTATTTAAAGGTGCCAACTTGGACTTGAAGCCTTCTACCAAACATTATTGCAAGGTTCTCTTCTAGGTTGAAGTTTAAGAATGTGTTTTTCAGAATTCATGTGGGTCGATTATTCCTCACAGAATATGTCCCGAGCGGTGATGATGAGAGATAGAGACGCAAACACGTTTCGCTAAGCGTTCCATGTTAGCTTCATTGACGCGACAAGCATCGTATGATCGTGTTCCTAGCTCTGTCTCTGCCGATTCGATGAAGCGTATGAAGATACCAAGCTAGGTGGGCTCTAAGGGCCCGACGCAACAGTCGACTGGTCGACGGGCCAGTACATGTCAGAACGAGCCTCAATATATACCATTAGAGCCAGCACAAACATGCAAAAGTCTTCCTGCTACTTGGGTGCCTGCGTAGTCATCTATATATACCCTAGTCCATCAAGAGATATCATGGGTCACAGCATTGTCTGTTCGGGTGGTAATGCCGTGAAACAAGCATGGGGAAACCGCCGCAAAGCGCATTCAGAGCCGGGCAGCCCTTTCACGCCACATATAGCTCAGTTTGACTCTCTGCCTTGCACCTCATAGAATACTTTCCAAGCAACGACAGCGGAGCCCAGCGGCAGAATCGCCTCGCAGAGAGTGATTGAGAGTATATTCAAAAATACGGTGGTAACAGTAAGCACTTCACCGGAATAAGTTTGATCATCCCGTCGTCAATCACATGGGCACAGGCGCCTGGTGTCACGGTTTAAGGCGGTTGCACCCAGATATGTGGTTTTGGGAATACCAGGGTACTTATACTTCATCAGAAGACTGCGTGAAAGAACCGTGTGGTCAATATACTGAGTTATGTCAAGACGCTGAGAACGTAAGGAAGGGGACAATGAGAACAAAAGTCCAAGCCGCAAGATCAACGACGTCTTGATTGAGTAGATTGTCAGGAGGCGCTTGAGAAGGTCGAGAAACGAGCGGATGAAGTACTATTGGGGCTCTCATACACATAATGATACGTACGAAGCGGAGGTGTTTATTATGAGCTCTTTGAATCACTCAGTATTGTCGAGTTGCTGCATTCTGCCACCGGCCCTCCAAGCGGTGTCAAACCGGAGCCGCGGCGGTAGAACAACAGTTTCAGTTCACATCGAAGTCCCATCGACTTCCTAGGAGGAAACGGGAGCTTGTCGGAGTGTGCTCAGTAGTATTCGGGGGCAAAGACTTAATCTCGGAAAACAACTGCATGCGTGCAAGAGGCGCGAGTCGGCGAAGCACGCCGGGACGGGGACCGGGGCACTCGGCCGGAAGTGGGGCCCCAAACACGGGGCTTCACGGTGTGCTGTGGAGGTTCCGATTTCCCGGTCTGGAAGGTGCGAAAGACGAAGTGATCCGGGTTTCTACTGTTGACACCGAGGAACTCATTTTCTCTGCACCACCTAAAATCATATGGCTAGGTGCTTCGTATCAAGTCCCGGAAAATCTCTAAACCGTTTCAATTCTTTCACCCGATCTGACAGCACCAAGTAAGACTCCATCATCGAGGATCGGATCGAATGCTGAGTGTGTAGCTGATGAGTCTCTGAAGCTGCTAGTATTCACGACACGATCGGATGGAAGAGAGTTCACAGTATACCTCAGCCTAATTCTGTCATCATCAGAAGAAAAGACCAGAATTATTCAGGCGCTTACACAAGGCATCGCTGTCAGCTTCAATGCCTTGCCCAGCACTGCCTCAAATGCCCGAGTACACCAGCCTCGAAGCCTCGAAACAAAAACATAAACCTTACTCGTCGTCATCCCGCGAACACAGGATTCGTCCGTTGGTCGGGGAGTCACCCAAACAAACGTCAGCTCAACAGGCGCCCCTCGGCAGCCGGAACATACCTATGTCGTCAGACGACCCCCAACAGGACGGAAGAAAAAGAGATCCTTCCCCCCTTGTTTGAGAGCCCGCCTGTGCTGTGATGTCAAGAGCTGCGGGGGTCTCAGCGACAATGGTGAGGCTTTGATAGGTGCGATCAGGCCCGCGAAACAGCTTTCGCAGCGAGGGCAGGGATGTCCCCCTTCCCGCGCACCTCGACGAGCTGTGACGTCACCGGCCACTCCTTCCTGCACCTCAACAACACCTGCTGGATATAAGATGAGGTCAAGCCACCGTCGCCATCGCCACCTTGTCGATCCATAAAGAAAGACATTGTCCAACTTTACGAGAAAGCAACTCTCGCATGATCGACAAAAACACAAAACTAAAAGACCTCCCCCTCATTAACAAACTCGTATCCTCATCCTCATCCTCATCCTCGTCTTCCCACACACACTACAACAAACCAAACAAGCACCACCTCAAAATGCCCGTCGGAAACAACGACCAGAACAACGGCGTCACGGGCGCCGCCAAGTTCGTCACCTCCACACTCGGCAACACCGTCGGCGGCGTGACGCGCACCGTCGGCAACGTCACGGGCGCCGCGACCAAGGGCGTCGGTGACACCATCTCCAGCGCGGGCGGCTCCGCGGGGCGGCCTGTCGGCGACGGGATCGGCAACCTCGGCGGGGGTCTGCAGAATGCGCTGAACTCGGTCGGCAAGGGCGCGGAGGACGCGGGGCAGTGGAAGAGGTCGTAAGCAGGTACCTTGGGAGTTGATGAATTGTTAAGGAAGGATATGGTGGTGGAGGTTCTCGTTATGTGTTATTAGGAGCGTATAACCGACGAAATTGTAATCACGTTCAAGCTCATTCTTGTGGTCATTGTGAATAGGTAGTGACACCTGCTTTGCCACCAGCCGAACGCGGGTAGTAAATTTAGCAGCATCAGAAGCAATGGCTATCATGTTGGTCGTATAGGCGTAGTTCTATTGAGTCGTGCTTTCCATCCGGCATTTCACTTGGTGTTGATACATATTTTACAGGATCTACGTTTACATAGGCGGCTGGCAACATGTTGAAGGGGTTGCGACTCATGTCTCTTTAGATGCTTGGCGGAAAAGCAGATGATAGTTCTTCAACTGGTCGGCCGTAATCTTACTGGGGCCTCCGGCGAACTCGTCAACGCCGTTGTTGTTCTTGGGGAACGCGATGACGTCCCGAACAGAAGACGCGCCGCTCAGCACGGCCACAAAGCGATCAAACCCGATGGCGAAGCCGGCGTGCGGCGGGCACCCGGCGTGGAGCGCCTTGAGCAGGTGCGAGAACTCCTTGACCTTGTCCTCGCTCATCTTGAGGATCTGCCGAAAGATGAAGTCCTGGACCGCCGCGATGTGGATACGCCGGCTGCCGCCGCCGAGCTCCACGCCGTTGAGCACGAGGTCGTAGTGGTCCGCCTTGGCCTTGAGCGGGTCCGTGAACAGGAGCTCAAAGTCCTCCTCGGAGTGCGGCGCCGTGAAGGGGTGGTGGGTCGCCGAGAAGCCCGACTCGCCGCCCTGGCCGACGTCGCCCTCCTCCTCGGGGGTGAACATGGGGAAGTCGGTGACCCAGAGGAACTTGAACGAGTCGTCTCTGTCGATGAGGCCGGCCTCGACGGCCGCGTGGTAGAAGGCGATTCTGGCTTCGCCGAGCTTCGTCGAGCCGCCCTGCTGAGGCTGGTCCTTGCGCGCTTGGAAGAAGACGACGTCGCCGTTCTGCAGGTCTGAGAAGCCCGCGTCTTCGGGGAGGAAGGGGAGGATGCTGTCGAGGCCTCCGGGGCCGAGGGATGAGAAGCCGTTTTGGGGCTTGCTGCTGTCGAAGATGAGGGCGGTCGGGGCGCCATCGGGGTTCTTGGAGAGTCTTTGAGGGATGGATTGCATGAACTTGGTCACGAACTCCGAGACCTCGGCCTTTCCTATGTCGCTATGCGGGCTGAATTTCCAGGCCTCGACGATGGGAGATTCGAGGTAGGTGATCATGCTGACGAAGTGCTTGTCGAGGTGCTCATCGACGCGGCAGATCTGGGTAGCGTTAGTCGAAGAACGAGCAGAGCGCATGGGACAAAACTGACCCTATTGGGAATTCGTAGGTCTGGCTTGTCGGATCCATATTGATCCATGCAGTCTGTGTACTTCATCCTCAGGAATGGTGTTGAGATGGCGGGGTATTCTTGGTAAATTGGTGCTGTGGCACCGTCTTTGGCGCTGTCTTGGACGCTTTGCTCCCAGTTCTGCTCTACATTAGTCTTGGCCGGCTTAATGATGTGAGAAAAGTGCCTACCTCGAGCGAGGCTTTCCTAATTGGTGCGAACGAATCTTCTCCGACCTCCATTACGTATTGCTCTCGCATAGCCTGCCATGCCTGTCCGACAATGTATTCGACGTCTTTCATGATAGTCTCGCCCGTCGCGAACGACTTTTCCATGTCGAGCTGCCAGGACGTCAGCCAAAGATCTGCGCGGACGGCGAGACACACAAACCTGGGTAAACTCGGGCTGGCGGTCCGCGCGGTGATCCTCGTCGCGGAAGCATCGCGCAAACTGGTAGTAACCCGACATGCCAGATGCCATCAAGACCTGTTTGTATTGCTGTGGGCTTTGAGGGAGAGCGTAAGCATACTTTCTACGGCGCGTGGGCACGATAAACTCCCTCGCTCCTTCGGATGTGGACTTGAACAGGATCGGAGTCTCGACGTCCATGAAGTCGCGGTCCACCATGGCGTGCCCAAGTGACGACTTGAGCTGCGCACGGAAACGCAGTCTCTCTCTGAGCTCATTGTGAAAACGGAGTTGCAAATGACGCTGCTCCGCGGGGAAGACCGTATCCGGGCCGATAATGATGTCTTTGGGGAACGGGTTGAGGTATTGTATTGATTCCATATCAATCTCGAATCGTTTTGCGCTGGAGGCATCTGTCACAACACCCGAAACGAGGACCGCGCTGAATTGACGAATGTCGTTCAGCATAGCGGAAGCCTCGTCCTTTGCGCAGATCTGTCCAATTTGCTCTCCATTGCGCTCCAAGTGGGCGAAGATGAGCTTCTTGCCGACCTTTCTCTTTCGACCGATGTGTCCGCAGACAGTGATTCGGGTTCCTGGTTTGGTCCACGACTCGGGGCTCGACATCTGAGGGAAGGCAACTGTAGATGAACTTGTTAACCGAAGAACTCTGAAGCTGTATACCCTCGCCGGGTCTGCTTACAGCATTGCTTGAACTCCCCGGACAAACGCGAATGCCTTGACTCAGCGCTTTCTGATTGTGTCGATGCCAGACGATGGCTCGGCCGACCTGAAGGGGACCGAGAGCTGCATTGTGAAGGGTGAAAAAGAGAGGAGCTCCGACTGAAGGACTGTGATCGTGGAATTTGAGGATGCAGAGCACCCAGAGCTCTACTGCGGCAACATTGGCGCAGCATTAGAGGAATCGTGGCGAGTGGACGGGGCTATTCTAGTTTGCGAAGGTGCGGGCTGGATCTCGAGTGTGTTGCGATCAGGATTTTAACAGCGGAAGAGCTCAATGGCGCATGCAGATCGTCGGAATGGAGAAGAAAGTAAATGCGATATTGAAGCTATCGCACCTCACCTCAGCCCACCAAACGATTTCGGAGCCAATGCGCGCCAGGGTGCCGGTGGACTGCTCCTGCAGGGCACAAGGTGGTGGTGGGCTTGCACCTCAGGCAGGTACTGGTCTCCACCTAAAAAAAGTGATTAGCGCGGGGCAGGCTCCCCGTATAAAAAACTCCAAGCAAGCTCCAAAAATTCTCTTCCTTTCCTCTTCATGATTCTTCCATTTCAAAAAAGTGTACGTTTGGTCTGCCCCCGGCCTCGCGCCAGACACCGTTGCATAGCCAAGTTTACTGACAAAACGATCCTACAGGTGATGAAAGCCGCGTGGTTAATATGATGCAGCTGCCGCCGTCCGAGGCATCCAAGCTCTCCCCTTCGGGCGGCTTCAGGGCGAAGGTGCTAAGGGCGGTGGCGGCCATGATATAGGCGTTCGACACGACCTTGTTACTCTATCGAACGCGATGAAAGGCAACTCTGATTTTTCACGAAATGGAAGAATTCTGTGCATTTGCGGCCGGGCCAAACCCAGACCTGACAGCGTCAAGTGAAGCTTAAGGCATGGTCTGAGGTTCCGGTTGGTCGAGGTGCGCAGACACGACACGGTTCGCGGCTGGATGCGTTGCTACGTTTTTCCCACCGCGGCGTAAAAGGTGGTCGAGATTGTCGATTGGCTCGCAGTCGCAGCACATCGGATGTTCCTAACCCTACACGCGCCCTTGCCGGCGGAATGATCCCCGTATGAGGGATTGTTGGCTCGTGTCAAGGTGTGGGAGGCACGGATGACGGCAAGTTGAGACTGGGGAAGCCAGTGACGGGGTGGACACGAGTCGAGAACCCGGTGTACAATAGAGAGTTTACCTCGTCAGTGCATACACACTGACGGGGATGGCGGCCTGTGCGGTCAGCCAGCGATATCCCAGACCTTGATGAATCAAATAGAAGACCGATCATGAGAAGAAAGAAAACGGGCCCGGACGCGAGAAGTAGCGAGTGCGATGTACATGACAACGAACCCACGTTTCCCAACCGTGTTTCAACGTTCAAGGTGCCGTTCGTGAACGCTGCCCGGTGTTGTGCTGATGGACTGCTGAGCTCATGGAAGGGAATTCCTTTTTGTGGAAGTAGGGGTTGCTGCCGAGCATAATGATTTTGGAGAGGGTGTCTGACTTGGCAGCTGACTGATGGATATCGTATCCTCCGGTCAGGATACATTTTCGTGTTGTGCATACTGTTCATGGTATTTCTTTTGGCGAGGTAAGACAAGACAGCCAAGGGACCAACCCGGCACATCGGAGCTGTCAGTGTTCATCCGTGTCAGTGAGAGGATTGGATCTTGGGCCGCCTCAACGGGGGGTATTTGGGGTCATCCTGAGGCCCACCTCACGCACACAAGGTAAGGTAGATGGCGCTAAAGATGATGCAGTAGCTTATTACCTTTGCGTAACACCTTCGGTAAAGAATCTCTTCAACGATACGCCGGTTGGTGTAATTCCGAGGCCTGGAGTGCTCGTTGTCACTCACTGAGGTGGAATGCCACGGTGACGGTGCCGATGACCATCACGAGCCCGCAAAACAGGGTATCCAGGGGACACTTGCTGGCTTTGCTACCGGCCTAACCGAGCACGTACCTAAACGTGAGGTGCCCAGGTAGGTAGATACCCTGAATGCAGGTGCATTTTTGCTGCGGTGGTAAGGTAGCAACACAGGTGAGAAAGGTAAGGGTGAAGGGATTGGATGCCCAGGAATAGAAGGCATCTTATCCGTCAGGTACCTTAAGTTCAGCAGCCAAAAAAACGCCTTACGTAGCAGCCCGACTAGCCGATGGGCAACGGGCGCTCTACCACGTCAACAGTAACATGCCTCCAGCTACCTTACCGGGAGTCCTCCTCTTACCTGCGCTCTCACCTCACCGTGCTGCCATTTCCAGACCGTGGCCCGTCCTCCTCCACCCCAAATCCACCACTTCCCGACCAACGTGGCCAACGTCGATACTGACGCTGTCCGCCTTCATTTCCCCCGGTACCCAACCATAACGCTGCGAATCTCATCAGGCGCACATCACGATAACGATATTCCAACTCTGTATTCTTAATCATCCACCTCCGCAACCGACTCTGCGCCTTGTCATGGCCCTTGGTCGCATCCCGGAACCCGAACAAATCAACCTGCATTGAAGCTTGTCCGGGCCCAATTTCGCCGCGTTGAGGGTTTCCCTGGCCCTGCAACCCATCTCCGTTGCACCCCGTCGCCGGTACTACTTCTCGCACCCCGACGACGCCAACCACGAAGCCACCGCGTCTGCACCTCATTCGAGTCCACTCCTTGCGATCATCCCTTTGGGACGAGCAACCCGCTTGAGATAGCTCATCGCGGCCCGTCACGGCTGGTCTTTTCCCACCGCTACCCATTTTCGCGGCTTTCGTCCGATCGTCAACGTCGACTCGCTTTCCCTCCCTCCCTCGCCTAGCTCACCGACTGCCACGAGTACCCGACTGCGGCAGACCGCTACGACCCGACACAATGTCGAGCTCCTTTGAGAAATCCGTCAAGGGGGCCACCAAGATCAAGGTGGGTTGAAGGGAGGCTTCGGCCATTCCATGCCGCCACTCGGCGCGCTGTCCCAAGCACGACCACGCTGACTTTGTTTCCCCAGGCTGCGCCGCCCAAGACCAAATACATCGAGCACATTTTAGTAGCGACGCACGCTGGCGAGGCCGGCGTTGGGGAGGTCTTTCGCGCTCTGCAGTTCCGCCTGAGAGACTCGACATGGACCGTCGTCTTCAAGAGCTTAATCACCGTCCACCTTATGATCCGTGAGGGTTCGCCCGACGTCACACTTTCTTTCCTGGCGAGACACCCGAACACGCTCGCCATCAGCAGCTTTACCGACGGTACGTTATCACCCTGTTGTGTGATGCGAGGGTATCCGATTGGAGGACGCGAAACTGACGGCGCATTATAGCCCAGACTCAAGGTCGGAACATCCGGCATTATGCAAGCTACTTGAGCTCCAGAGCCAAGGCCTTCCGCGAAACGAAATGCGACTGGGTTCGAACGAAGGAATCACGCCTGGAGAAGCTCTCTGTGGACAAGGGCTTGCTCAGGGAGACGGAAATCCTGCAAACCCAGATCACGGCTCTGCTGAAATGCGAAGTGAGTGCCTGCCAGTTCGGGCCGGATTGGACCAGAGAACTGACGATTGGCAGGTGCTTGAAGGCGAAATCGAGAATGAAATCACAGTTACCGTCTTCAGATTGCTGGTCCTTGATTTGTTGGCATTATTCCAGGCTTTGAACCAGGGGATGATTAATATTCTGGGTAATTCTCCCACTCCCGACGTCTTGTATGACGACTGACACCACCAGGAACATTCTTCGAAATGTCAAAGGTCGACGCCGAGCGAGCCATGGCCATCTATCGCAACTTCACCAAGCAGACCGACTTTGTAGTGCAGTACTTGAGCGTCGCACGGCAATTCGAGCATCAAACGAGAGTCGAGGTTCCCAAGCTGAAGCACGCGCCGGTTAACTTGGGTCGCCAACTTGAGGAGTACCTCCATGATCCCGACTTTGAAGTCAACAGAAGACAGTACATTGCTGAGCAGCAGGCCAAGAAGAAGGGAGGAGGGGTTTCGAAATCATCGGCGGGGGCGGGAGCGGCTTTTGACTCGAGGCCGACACCAGCAGCGAATAATCCCTTCCCGAGCATGAATGGGTCATCGCAACCCAAGACCGAGACCGCCAAGGGTCCTGCGCCAGACCTGATCGATTTCTTCGAGTCAATTGAGCAAAACCAAACAGTCATGGCACCCAATCAGCAACAGCATCAACAGCAACAACAGATGCCTATGCAGACAGGTTTCGCGACTAATAGCCCGTTTCAGCCACAACCTACGGGCTTCCAGCAGAATGGTTTTGCCGCGCAACAGAACGGCTTTGCGCCTCAGCCGACTGGTTTTGGAACAAACCCGTACCAACAGCAGCCGCAGCCGCAGCAGCCCCAAAGCACCAATCCTTTCGGGCAGCCGCAACAGCAGCAGCAACAACAACAAGCGCCACAGCCGTTGCAGCCCAGCTTCACTGGAGCTGGGTTTGGTGGCTTCACCCCTCAGCAAAACTTCCAGCCCGGCGCATTGGGTTCTATACCGCAAGACTCAGTCGCAAGCTTTCCAACGGGTGCAACTGGCATGCTGAGCCCCCAGGCCGGGCAACAAATCACTAATCCCTTCCGAGCGTCTATGCTGATGGCTCAGCAAACCGGCATGTCTACTAATACGGGCTTTTCCTCTCCCGCCAGCCCCCAGCCGAACCTGCAGAGGCAGTCAACAAATCCCTTTGCCAGGTCTTCGCCTCAGGCACAGCAGCCGTTTCCGCCAGCTCAGGATAACTCCCCCTTTGCTCAGCAAACCCAGTCGACAACCCAGCTTCCAACCATTGCTCCTCTTCAGCCAATGATGACTGGCACAAACCCCTTTGCCAAGAACTTTGGCAGTTCTCCATTACAGCAGCAGCGTCCTGCTACGAGCTCTGGTGCTCTTGTGCCACAACCCACAGGAACCACAAACCCCTTCCGTCAAGGCGCCTTTGTCAACCACCAGACCGGTATGGGCTGGCAGCACAACCAGCAGAGTATGGGAGGTGGCTTGGACAACCTTGAAACGGTGCCCGTCTTCCCACGACCAATTCAGCAGTCACCATGGCAGACATAATTCAACTCGTATTTAACAACTGTCTGCGCACCTTTGGGTGCAAAGTCCGACTTCCTTTCTCTAGTTTCTCATCTCAAGCGAGGCGTTCAATAAGGGTTGCTTGTACAACGGAGGATGCTTAGATGGCGAGGGCCTTACAAAAACACACATAACCGAGCCGGATGGTTGCAAGGATCAAAACCAGCATCCATCAAAGCTAGGGTTTCAAAAATGTATTATCTAGTAAGCAGACTTAGAAGTAATTCTTGCATAAGATGGGCTTTCCCCCCATGATTTCTTAGTTGTCCGTAGATCACTATTCTTGCGAGGATGAGCCAACGCCTTTTGCGTCTCATCCGTGTCCAAGTCCCCAAAACGCCGTCGCTATGCATCTCCCCAAAAGCCATGAATAGCTGCATCACTAAAAGACATCATCCACATCCATCCTCTGGGTGTTCTGGCCCGTAGCAGCAGCCACAGCAGCCTCCGCAGTAGCGACCTTCTCGGGGCCCTTCTCGTCGTCAATGAACACAGCCAACCCGGAAAACGCCTCGAACATGGCCCTTCCAAGATACTCCTCCGCGCTGTACCCGCCCACGACGATCTCGTCCTTCTTCCTCGCCTCGTCCACCCAGTGGTTGCGGTACTCGTCCAGGGGCCCCAGCGCGTACCTCTCCATGTCCAGCTTGAGCCCGCCGAAGGGGTCGTACGGCTTGTTCTCCTCCACGACCCTCTTCTTCTCCCGCTTCAGCCCGCGGATCGACAGGTCCGACGTCGTCGACGTGGCGCTGTTGAGCGAGCCCACGGCCGCCGACATGCGGCCCTGCCCGCGCTTCTTGAGCAGGATCCGGTTCAGCGTCTGCTTGGCCTCGCCGACGTCGCCCGACGCCAGCCCGTCCAGCATCTCCTCCCGCATGCGCTGCTCCTTGGCCTTCTCCGCCTGGTCCTCCTCCGCGGCCTCGGCGCGCCGCCGCCTCGCCTCCTCCCTCTCCGCCTCGAAGCGCGCGACGCGGTCCGCCTCGGATTCCTTGGCGAGCCTCCTGTTCCGCTCGATCTCGGCGCGGTGCGCCTGCTCCCACTCGATGAGCTTGGCCTCGGCCGTCTTCTTGTCGGCGTCGGAGCCGCTGATGAGGTCGAACGTGAGGGTCTCGACCCACTCGAGGTACTCGTTGTAGTCGGCGAGGGTCTCGAAGTCGTCCTCGACCTTGTTGAGGACGGCGGCGACGCGCCGCCGGATGTCGACCTCGCGCTCGACCGTCAGGTCGTTGAAGTAGGCCGACTTGAAGCCCTTTTTTCGGAGCGTCTTGTGGCAGCCCGCGTAGGGGCACTGGTTCGGCCCGTCGGAGAAGATGCGGGCCACGCAGTTGGCGCACATGGGGTGGTAGCACTCCGGGTTGATGAGGAACTCGAGGTCCTTGTTGAGGTAGCGCATCGTTTTGCAGACGGGGCAGATGTCGTCGTTGGGCGTGGGCGCCGCGGCGCCGTTTTGGCGGGCGGCCGACATTTTTGAAAGAACGTGTCGGGCTCGGTCGGTGGTATAGGATGTGTGGAGGTGAAGAAGGTTTCGATGCTATCGAAGCATTGAGCTTCCTGTCGCGTCCGCGGCTAGAGACTGTTGGATGGTGTTGAAGGCTCGTTCACGCGATGTTCCGCAATCGCCAATGTGTCGGGTTCGGGAAGGTACCACGTTCGACCGGACAATCCGTCGATCAATCTCTCGAGTGAGCCGGCGAGAATTCTTCGTCTCGTATGTGATATTTCGAGTTTCGCCGTCGTGACGGGTCGGGATGTTGGAGGCAAGAACTACCCTGATCCTGCCTGAAAGGAAGCTGGCCGATTTCCGTCGACGTGAGCGGCGAGGCTGACGGTGAGGATTTATTAAGCGACGCTGATTGGCCGGAGCTTCGACGCCCAGACGCACGGTTCCAGAAGCAGGGGTCTTGCTAAGCTACCCCTCCAAGAATTCCACCACTCAGCCTTCCTTTCGACTGTCTTCGATTTGTCACACACACAATATCGCAATCATGGCCGACAAACCTGGTGAGTAGCTCCCGCGTTTTCTGATTTTGGTAGAGAGGTGGCTCTTGAAAGCTAACATGAAGTGAAACCCACAGAACCCACCCCCGCCGAGGAGGCCGCCGCCCGCGCCAAGGAGCAGGAGGAGCAGAACGCCCTGCCGTACAAGTGGCAGCAGACCATCGCCGACGTCGACGTCACCTTCAGCGTGCCCGGCAACTACAAGAGCAGGGACCTCGTCATCGACATCAAGAAGACGAAGCTCTCTGCCGGCGTCAAGGGACAGGAGCCCGTCATCAGCGTACGTGCCTTCCCTTCGTCCTCCCGTGACCCCGCCATGATCTTCACACCGCGCCTGCTTCTTCCCGCCAGAAGAGGGCGGACGAAACCTCACCAACGTGGCAAATATGAATCGGACGATTGTGTGTGCGTACAGTTCAGCTGACAGACTTGCCTCCACCAGGGCGACCTCCCCCACGCCATCATCGTCGACGACTCGACCTGGACGCTGACGTCCGCGACGGACGGCACCAAGACGGTGGAGATCCACCTGGACAAGGTGAACAAGATGGAGTGGTGGCCGCACGTGGTGACGGCGGCGCCCAAGATCGACGTGTCCAAGATCACGCCCGACACGAGCAAGCTGTCGGACCTGGACGGCGAGACGCGCGGCATGGTCGAGAAGATGATGTTCGACCAGCGCCAGAAGGAGCAGGGGCTGCCGACGTCGGACGAGCAGAAGAAGCTGGACATCCTCAAGAAGTTCCAGGCCGAGCACCCCGAGATGGACTTCAGCAACGCTAAGATCAGCTAGAAGCAGTGCCGTCGTCGGTAGATGGAGGGGAGATGAAGAATGGAAGCGCGTCTTTTGTCCGCATACACATACGGGAGGAAGAAAAACTACGGCGTGAGGAGGGAGATTCGCGGAACGGTTCCACTCGTGGGAGTTTTTACGTGAATCGAGTGTATTCAGTACAGATAAATATCTAATTAACGCAACCAAGGCACGGAGTATGTCAGGGGTGAAACGAATCCCCGAAACCATTGAAGATGGACGAAGCCACCGAGGGGTTTCGACGTCAGAGAGCCCATGTGTGACATTGCTCTTGGAGCCGCTAGTAATGGTGGAGCAGATTGAAGGCTGCAACCCATCAATTGTCAGATTAATAAGCGGTCCGTAGCCTGCAGCGGGTTCAGAAAGAACGATGCGAAATAATGACCATGAGAAGTTTCGTCACTGCGAACAACTGCGGAGGATTAGTGGGCAATAGCAAAAGGTTTGATAGCAAGCACGTAAGGATCCATGCGAGACGGAGTCGCTGATCAAGAGACCCGGCATAGGGTCTATGAATCCAATTGCTATCCGCTCTATCCACACCCTCACAAGTCCTGAAGGACGGCGTTGGAAACAAGCAAACAGACGAGAGGGCAAGCGCCTCCACAACTTCAATCACTTGACACTGGATCTGTGATGCTGGTTAGCAGCGATTCCTCAAGGATAGTTGCACAAAGCATGGAAAACAAGAATGAAGATCAGAAAGTAGAACAATCCACATGGGTGTAACATCTCGGACAGGGATAACTGTATAGTAATATCTATTTCATCATTTCGAGAGGAGTGAATGAGAGAGAAAATATTCTTACCTGAGCAGGATTGTGGACGAATATGTGTGCTGAGTTCATTTCATTGCGTTAGATGCCTGGGAGTTGAGTTAGCCAAGTCCCATGATGCTTGATGCAAAACAAGAGTGAAGACGAGATCCAAGATCAGAAAATAGATGAATATCCACATGGGTGTAACATCTCGGACAGGGATAACTGTATAGTAGAAATCTATTTCATCATTTGGGAGAGGAGGAAAGCAAACGAAAATGTGAACCACGTACCTTTTGGATGCAAGATCCGGCCTTTCACTGCTTGGAAAGGCGAGCAGCTTTGAACTTGCTGATGCGTTTGCCACCGTCGGCCTCATCAAGCGGCCGGACCACGGACTCATCCTCTTGCAGGAAGCCGCCTTGCTTCTGGATGAAGTTCCTGCGCTGGCGGTGGTACTCGTCAGCGACGTCTTGGTCGATGAACTCATCGCCGAAGGGATCAGCCTCGACTGGCTTCGTCTGCTTCTCGACAATCGAATCGGCGAGGGTCTGACCCTCGGGACCAGTGGGCGCCGTTGGCCTGTCTTCGTCGAGGAAGCGGACAGGAACATCCATCGGGCCCTTGGGGACAGCGTCGTCGCCGACGACAGTCGGAGCGGCTCTGGCCTTCTTGAAGCGTGAGGTTTTGCGGGTTGACTTGGTTTCCGCTTGCTTCGCGGGGCCGGAGCGTTCGACAATGTCGCTGAGAGGCTCGACAAAGGGCTCAGCGGCAACGATTGGTGCGGAAGCCGGGACCGCCGGCGTCTCGGAGGCAATGTCGAGATTCTGGGCGAAACGGACACTCTTCTTGCCATCGGCAGACTCAGTTGGAGAGGAAGTCCGGAGGCTGGAGGCGACAGGAGCAGGCGACGGTTTGGAAGCCTCAACCGCCTTGGCCTGCTCACTTCGGTTGATGACGATACGGCCAATGCCTTGTTGATCGTTGTCTGAGTCCGAGTCGTCGGCCGCAGCCTCACCCTGTTCGGTGAAGCGAGACTTGACGCCGAGACGCTTCTCGAGCTCGAGCATGCGCTGGTGGTAGCCGTCGTCGAGAACGCTGCTGGTAGACCGGCCGTACTTGTCCTCTTCCTCGTCCTCGTCCAAGTCGGAGTACTCGAACTCCCAGTCTTCGTCATCGCCAGAGCCCTCTTCAAGATCGAGCTCGGCAACGACGGCTCCGACCTCTTCCATCCCGTACTTGAGCATCTCGCGACGGAGGAAGGCATCCTCCTCAGACTCGTCTTCGGGAATGACAGGTGCTTGACGACTGATCTCTTCCTGCTCCTTGGCCGTCCTCATAATCTCCTCGACACGCTGGGCGTTTCTGGAAACCTGAGGCTCGGATGGCGGCTTGGTATCGTCCGAGAAAGAGACGGTCTTCTTGATCGGGACGATGTCGTCGACCTTCTCCTCAGGCTTGGGCTCCTCTGCCGACGGCGTGCTGTGCTCTGTCGACGTCTCAGGCCGCGGGACGTCGGCAGGCACGTCGGTGACATCCTCGACGATGGCTTCGGTCGTGACCGTTCCTTCAGGCTTGCCATCAGGAATGTTGGCGACGCCAGCCTTCTCAAGAATCTCCCTCAGCTGCCCACTGGAATCGCCGGGGCGCTGTAGTCTGCTAGCCACGACGTTGCCCTCCTCGTCGAGCTCCTCGATGATCTCCGTTATGGGTAGACCGTCCTCGTCCCGCACATCCGGGTTGCTGACGATGCTTGCGGCGGCGTGCTTCTGTTCCGCTGACTCGAGCTGCTTCTCGAGCGTCTCGATGTTCTTGGACACATAGTCGATGCGACGGGTCAGGAGATTGACGATCTGGTCAGCGGGCTTGAGATCGACCCGGCCAAACAGATCATTGATCTCCTTCTTGTCGACGACCTCACCCTCGAAGTCCCGGCGGATGCGCGCGAGATGCTCCGAGCTGGCGGGTTGGGGCGCAGACTCGATTTCCTCTTTCAAGGACTCATACTCCGCGTCCCATTGTCGCCAGTGCTGCAGAGCCTTCTGCAGCTTGGCGATGCTTTCCTCCAGCTGCAGACGATGCTTTTCGAGGTCGAGAAAGCTGTCTCTAACTGCTGCTGCCATGATGGAAGAGAAAGAAGGTGAGAAGTTTGCGAAGTAAGAAGGCGCGCAAGGTAAAGAAAAAAACTTTCTGGGCGGGTCACTGGGATTCGGAGCTTGGACGCAATTAGGTAATCTGGAGGCAGGGGTGCAACGCAGCCATTACGTAATAAAGGCCAGCACCGGCCTGTGCCCACAACTGCGCAGCGCTCTTACACTCAAATCAATACCAGAAGCAATCGGGAACATGTTGACACTCAACCTCGCCCGTTCTACTTTTACAACGTGTGCTTCTGCCTCTACGAGCAATGTCCCAAATTACAGGAGATCTCTCATCAGTTACAACCAAGAGCTAATAATATCCTTCACCGCTCCTGCCAGTTAGGCTCTCGGCCGAACACCCACCATGAACTTGCGAGACTTCAGGTGCAGCACTAGCAAGTCGATCATCTCAAGCGACTGGCCTTCGATAGGAAACAAGTCATACCTCCGGAGTATCGAAGCCAGAACGAGCCGCAACTCATTCCACGCGAATCTTTCAGACCCATCAGTCAAGTGTCAAGGGTCCAGACGCAGGAAGTAACTCACTGTTTTCCCAGGCAGTTTCTTGATCCCGCCGAGAAGGGATACCAAGCCGTCTTTTCCGCGGCCGTTACGCCCTTATATTCAGACAACCATCTGTCAGGGACGAACTCTTCTGCGTCGGGCCATTCGCTCTCATTCAAGTGCAGTGGAGTTGTGTTGGCCGTGATTCGAGTCTGCCTTATGTTAGCCACCTCCTCATAACGCCCCTTTTTCCTAGCGACCAATGGACTAAGGAGGAACTCACGCCCGCGGGAAGAACGAAGCCGGCCAGGATGATGTCCTCATCAGTCTGTCTCCAGAGACCTTGTGCAACGTTAGCGGCCACCTGATAATCGTCAAGCCAAAGATCCTACCAGATGCCGCAGGGGCCCTCAATCGGAGTGTTTCCTTAAGAACGGCATTCAAAAACGGCATGTTTACTGTCTGCTCGTTCGTCACCAGCGAATCGGCGTAAGGAAAGACCTCGCGGACTTCTTCCACAAGCCTTGCGTAAGTGGCAGGGTCGTCCATGAGGTACGTGAAGGTGAAAATCAGCGTGGACGCCGTGGTTTCGCTTCCCGCCATCATGAAGAGCAACATCTCCGCAATCAGTGACCTGTCCGAGAACTCGTCCGGGTTCTGGTCGTGCGTGTCGAGTAGGAGCTGGAGAATATCGGGCTTAGCCATCTTCTCGTCGACGGCTCTGCGCCGGGCAATGATTTCATTGATGAGTCTTTTCAGCTCGGGATCATGATGAGCGGGTGCGAATGGGATTTTCCTCAACCACGGCATCGTTTGGTACTTTCCGCATCGTCAGCTCGCGACCTCGCACCGATGCATCATGTATTGAAAACTCACAAGGGCATTTCGCTTCACGTTATCGGCGATTCTCCTGCGGATCGGGTGGTCTCCGTTCTTCACCAGCTTGAAGGAGCCCCCGAACGACGTCTCGCTCATGATATCCGACGTCAGGCTGCCCAGCAGTTGCCAGACGTCGATCTCAGTCTGCTTCCTGCCGGCCGTCTTGATGCGCTCGTCAATCACCTCCTCGAGGTCTCTGATGCAGTTCAGCATCAGGGGTTCGAGGCCCTTGATGTAGCTGACGGAGAAGCCCTGAGACAGCAGGCGACGGCGTGTGCGGTACTCGGACTTGTCGAGTATCGTGAAGATCGTCGCCACGTCCCGGTCCTGGCGGAACTTTTCGTAGACGACGCTCTTGCGAAGGTCCTTTTCTAGGATGATCTGGTGGATTGCTTCCTTGTTGGAGACCAGGACGTGGTCAGGGGCTACCGAGGCGTCAGAAGCACGCTGGGGGCTTCTCTTGGTTCAGACAAACTCACCGACTCTGATCACGTCGCCGTATCTCTTTGGGTATTCGATGCAGTATGCGGATGATTTGCCTCTGAGAACGGTGATTATCCACGCCCAACCCGTGAATCTGTTCAGAAATGGCCCCGGAACCTTACTGAGCGGCCCTGTGAGGCCAACCCATAACGACCTGAGGATCTTGATCCCGTAGTAGGCGAGGAGGACCAAACCCAAGATTTTGGTCGCATCTTTGAGGCCTATTTGTCGCAGAGTTTCGGCGTCTGTGGTCTTCATGATGAACAAGTTGTCCGCTGCATAGGGAGAACTTGAACGGAGGTCGTTCTCTCAGAACGATTCTGGGAGTATCACGCCTCATGCGTTGACATCGATGGATAAATGGAAACTGCCAGCCCTGTTTTACGTGGGAGCGGTTTACGAGGGATGAGCAGCTGAATCCTATCAGCATTTACCGACGGCTTGGTACCTTGTGAGATTACATGCGTGGCTGACACGCTTACCGATCCGCAGGACGTTATTGGAGGTTCCCAGCTGGAACATTTTTCCTGTCAGACGGTACCTAGACCGAGGACCCCCTTGAGTACGTGGAAATAATTGCATTCTTACCATAAGCAACACGTTTCTCTGGGCTCAAAACGGAACCTGGTGCGATTTCCAATCACATTAGACATTGCAACTGTCTCACTGGGGCACTGGTGGATGCCAGGACACCAATAGACCCTACTGCCACACCTTGAATCGCGAGAGGTTCACCGAGTACCTTAGGTTTCCGATATTGGCTTGTCGGGTATGTTTCACACCGAAGAAAATCGGTGTAACCGCGGCTACGGTCACGCATAAAGATACAACCCATAGGCACCAATTCCTGGCCTCCCGTTACCGCATCCTCGCATCCGCAGTCTGGAGATACATGGATAAGAGCTCCCTGCCATCCTCAAACCTCAGCTCGTAGCGGGGTGTTACCTTCTCGGAAATGTCAACGAGATGCTGTTCACGCCGTGACACAACCTGCGCTATGCGTCTCATCCTCTCGACCTTTCTTCCTATCATCCCATCACTAGCGGACAGGATTCGGCCAGTTTTATCCGCCGAAGATGGACTCTGCGGTAGAAAGGTTGCAACCATAAACTCGGTGTCTGTTGTCCGTCCAAGATATCGCCAAATACCAAAATCCCTCCGCCGGCCCAACGGACTGACGCGGCCCTATCAGCGCCTCTGTAAGCGGCAGACAGGATGGACCAGATCATGCCGTTGACATGCCCCGCATCCAAAGCCAGGATGGGGCCACGAGTAAGCCTGCCAAGATCTCTTCCTCTCTCTCTCTCAGCGCAGTGTGTGCACCATTAGAGGCATAGGTCGTCTTACTAGGTATCCGAGAAACGTCAGATACGTGTCGTTGAGCTGAGGATGATCGGCGCTGAGGGTAGAACCCACCGGGACTATGAGAGGCGACCAGTTCTTGGGAGACTCATCCCAGAGAATGAGACGATGAAGAAGAGATGAGTTGGTTTTGCCGCTGCTGGGAGAGAGTGCGTGACAACCTGAAGTCGGTGCCCAAACGGACTTCGGTATCGTCAGCAGAAACGACACCGAGATCGAGAATCAGGTCTGTTTGGGTTAAGCCGCCGACAGTCAAGACCTGTAGGATCCTACACTTGTGAGAAGTTTACTTGTCTAGCTCGTCCATGACCGGGGGTTCTAGCCGCCTTGTGATACCACATGAGCGATTCCGATAGTGGACTTTGGAACTCGAACCCTTTGTTTCGTGTGCCCTGCAATTTTGGATGAACATCTCGGTGGGTTCTCCGCCAGGGGAGTGACGGTTTCTGGTGCAAGGTCGACATCCATAAGCAGCAACCCGCGCGCTCTTTAGATTCGTGGTCGATCTTCTGTCTGGTCGACAACTCCAAACCGATCTCGGACATCAGTCCATGTGTGCTGCCGACATGAAGGGTTTTGGCTGGGCTTTCATACCGGAAGGTTGCCATCGCAGCAATATCGTCATTCCATCAAGATATACTAAAGAGCATCTATCAGAATGGCTTGACTTGTGCGAGAATAGGTGCAAAATAATTGAAGGACTCTCCACGGAAGTGGGTCGTTAGACGCAACGAAGTCCGAAGTTCACAGCTTCAACTGGGATTCCTCAGCTCACCCGGCACCAGCTGTCGAGGAAACAAAGACCGGGAATCGAATCCTACTTCAGCTGGTTAGAAGCGGCGCAGCAAGCGTCTACCCGATATTTATCAACATGTCATGCTGCCAAATCACATATGCCATGAGGTTGGTTCCACACCAGCCAGCTCACCCATCGGCAATCTTTACCAATGACCAAAGCAACTCGAATGTCCACACCCGGTCTCCGTCAAGCCTGCGATACCTGCCACTTCAAGAAGATCCGCTGCCTTCGTGTCCCGGAAGCAGGTAATGACGGGCCATGTAAGAGATGCAGCCGCGAGGGCATCGCATGCGTCTTCAGCCCAGCGTCGAAGACCGGCAGACCAAAGAAAGCTTCTGCTGCAGGCATTAACTCCCGCCCCATCTCAAGCTGGACTCCTAGACAGCCACCGGGAGAATCCACAGAAAGTCCGTCATACTGGCTGAATCCCCCGTGGGACGACATCGACGGCGGCACCGTCAGCGTCCCGTCTTCGCTATGCTTCGACGAGTCCTTCCCGGAGCTGAACAACACCGACCAGCCAGAAGTCATGGTCCTCAAGAGGTTCGAACAGCTGTCGGCCTTCCAAGGACAACTCGTCACGAAGAGGAGGGAACACTACCCCATATTTCAACGCCGAGGCATCGATGCGTCCCACGGCATCCAGGATTTGCTGGATATCACGCAGAAGGTGACCAAGTTCAGCACCTGGCTCATGATGGGCGGCGCCAAGTTCGCCTACCGCACGCCCATGCTCAGCTCCATGTCGGACGAGACCGCCCTGATGATGGTCATGTCGCCGGCCACGCTCGTCCTGGACACCTTCGTCGACGTCCTCGAGATGGCGTTTCCCTCGTTGAAGAGCAAAGACCCGGGCCCGGTGAGCTCGGCTGTTGCGACAGCGCCAGCGTCAGCTTCAGCCGTCTCGGACGACGGTCTTTTCGCAATCGACCCGGAACTATTGCTTTTGAATCAAGCCCCGGCGGCGGCGGTCCTTCCAAATGTGGAGATCGTGAGAGACCTGGCGAACCCGGTGTGTATATACATCCTCCTCACGTCGTTCCAAGAGCAGGTCGACGCGATGCGTAGGGCGTTCGACATGGCCCTGGGCGCGTTTCCTCGCATGAATTCGGCGGCAGGGGCGAAGGGCCTTCTCCCCGTCATGATGGATGAGTATTTGGAGAAGATCAAGTTCGTTCAGGGGCACATCACGCGGGCGAGTGGCGATAATCTGATGATTGGGATGGATTGATGCCACTCCCAAGGCGTGATTTCCACCCTCCGATCCTGCATTGGTTGAGTCTATCAAAACGATTGACGAACCTGCACAACCGGCAAGACATGTAGGCGTGCTCGCAAACCATGGCCACCCTCCTAAGCACCTGGCTCTTTCTACCCATTCGTCTGTCACATTTGGTCCTGTACGAAGGCCCCTTAATATAATATACTATTTAATGTAATGATAGTTAGTGATTTGGTGGGTTTCTGGGTACTTCCTGTCGTCTGCTTTCTCTAATTAACTTTGCAGTTGCTCCCTCGTCATTATCATCCGGCACACACGTTTCAAGTGCTGAAGTCTGATCAGATGGTTTCTCAAAGGCTCTAGCAAAACTTCCCTAGATAAAACTCGTGAGCTCTGCTCAAGACCAGGTGAGCGTCCAACCCGAGCTCCACGCGCCCTTCGACGTCAGGCTCTGTAGACTATGGATTTTGAGAGCACGAGAAGCCGTGTCCAACGACCATTTATCACCTTCAACGACCTGCCCATCAAGAGTCACAATCGATACGTCCCGCCCGACTCCTAAGATCGTCACGTTGCCCAGGGGGTTCGAGTCCTCGTACTCCCCTTCAGGCGCAACCTTCAACACGCCGTCCAGAGCGGCGAACTGAAGAGCACGCGTGTTAGCTTCCGTCAATCTAAGAATAATGAATAAAAATGGACTCACCTCAACCGTCAACGTAGCCTCCGGCTCCAAGCTCTCTCCATCATCCACGTACAAACTCCCCCTTGCGGCACCGTCAGCGTCAAGCGCGACCAGCAACCCCCACGGGTTCGCCCTGCTCTCCCTCGTCGTCATCCCCGGCTCCTGCGTCGGAACGACGTACCCGCCGCGCAGATACACGGGAATGTGCCCCAGCGGCGCGTCAATCGTCACATTCTGCCCGGAGGCCACACCGGTGATGGCGGACTGGTTGTACCAATCATACCAAACAGTCCCCCTCCCGACACCAGGAAAGACCCCGTCGACCGTACTGGCTCCTTGCACAAGACACGGCGTAACCAAAACAGCCGAGCCCAGAAGAAACTGCCGATCCGCGCCCGCAAGCCACGGCTCGTCGTCAAACTCCCACGCAAGCGCCTTCATCACCGTATCTCCTCCCGCGTGCGCCCCCCGCATGGCCGTGTACAGGTACGGCAGCAGCTGATACCTGACCCCCATCGCCCGCCTCGAGGCGTCCGCGACGGCCGCCCAGCGGTACGGCTCCTGCGGGATCGCGTCGATGGCGTTGTGGTTCCGGTAAAAGGGAAAAAACGCGGCGAGCGACATCCAGCGCGCGCAGAGCTCCGCGTCGGAGTTCCCCGCGAACCCGCACGCGTCGACGCCGAACATGGGGATCCCGAAGACGCCGAAGGAGAGGGCCTGCGGGATCGAGAAGAAGAGGTAGGCCCAGAGCGAGTAGTTGTCGCCGCCCCAGTGGCCCGCGTGCCGGCCGGAGCCGGCGAAGGTGGAGCGGCCGATGATGAAGGGCCGCTTGCGCGGGAAGACGGAGAGGAGGGCGTGGTAGGTCGCGTTGAGGATCTGGTGGCCGAAGAGGTTGTGGAAGTCGTACTCGAGGGTGCCGCCGTGGTGCGTCGCGTTGGGGGAGACGGCGTGCACGGCGAGGTCGCCGTGGATGTTGTTTACGACGTAAGGGGGGTGGTTCACGTTGCGGACGCCGGGCGTCGGGGTGGTGCGGAGGTACGAGGTCGTCGTCGTCTTGGTTGAGCGGACGGCCGCAGCGGAGGACTTTGCTGCGGCGGCGGAGGATGCGAGCGCGGAGACGGAAGCGGCCTCGCTGGCGTTAGTCTTCTCGAAGCCCTCGGGGTCCGAATAATCCTCGTTCCCCGGTTCCCCAGGGAGCTGGAACGGGACGTGGACCGGATTCTCCGCGAGCCTCCCGCTCCCGCAGCTGCCCACGCAAAAGGACGAGACCTCGGACATGTCGATCCAGATGCCGTCGAACTTGACCCTCTCGAACCACGTCTCGAGCTCCGTCTTCCACCACCCGAACGTCTTGCTCTTGCCCAGGACCGCCCCGACCCAGTCCGGGAAGACGGTGTACCCCGGCCAGACGGAGCCCACGTAGAGCGAGCCGTCCGGGTTGAGGACGAACGCGTCAGCGGCGACGCCGCGGTCGTACGTCGGGTACGCGTCGTCTTTCTTGTCCGGGTTGGGGGCGTAGATGGCCGAGTCGACGATGGGGACGAAGTGCCGCCCGCTCTCGTGGAGCTTGCTCAGGAACTCCTCGCCGACCTCGTAGCCCCAGTTGTCCTCGTCGTTTTCGAAATCGCGGTATTGGTTCATGTAGTCGATGTCGGCTATTTCCCAGCGTTAATCTTCATCCTCACACACACACACACGGTCCAAGTTGTGAAGTCACTCACCCCAGACCGTCTCCAACGGGATATCAGACTTCTCAAACTCGTCCACGACGCCCTGCAGATCGGCCCAGCTCTTATAACCCCATCGGCACTGGTGAAACCCCAACGTCCAGTACTGCTGCATGGCCGGCAGCCCGACGGTGCTCTTCTGGTACGACGCGATGACGGAGTCGGCCGTCGGGCCGGCGTAGAAGTACAGGTCGATGGTACCACCGAGGCCCCTCCATGTGATGTTGGACTCGCGGAGGAGGATCTCCTGCGCGTGGGCGTTCCTCAGGAACACGCCGTGGGTGTACGACTTGTAGTTGGCGTTCTTGTCCGCGGGCTCGGCCACGTAGACGGCCTCGTCGGAATCCGTGTCGGTCCGGAAGTACCGCGTGTCGAGGTAGACGGGGTGAGAGCCGTAGATGTTCCCGTCGATGGGGTCGCCGATGTCCGCGGCGTATAAAGTTCCTAATGACGATGAGCGTTGGACTAAAAATTGCACAAGCTTGAGAAGCCTTACTGGTGAGATTCCGGTTCAGCCTGAAGCCGTGAATGACCTCGCCCAGGCCGTACAGATTATACCCCTCGGGCAGCGGCGACGCGAACTCGAAGAACTGGTCCTCGAAGACCAACTTTGTGCCCACCGTCGTGAAGAGCACGTCGCCGGTACTCCTCCTCGTCACGTTGAACCCGAAACTCGGCTCGTTCGTCCACCCGAACACCAACTCTCCATCATCAGATGCAGCAGCAGCAGCAGATTCGCCGCCGTCATTCTTGGGCTTCGGGATGAGCTCCTCGGGAAGCACGAACCAGGTGTAATTCTCCTTCCCGACATACCGCGGCAGGATCTCGACGTGCAGACGGTCCGCGGCCTGGTACTCGACGACGAGGCGGAGGGCGTCGACCTCGTTGCCGTAGACGTTGCAGGCCTTACCGGCGAGGTCGAGGTCTGCGGTGAGTCCGCGGGAGGTGTGTTGGACGTTGGAGGCTTTGTAGCCCGGGCAGACGGCCTGGGGGTCCTTGGCCTCCGGGTCTCTTATGTTGGGGATGAGAGGGGCGCCGGTGTCCGGGTCCTCGGCGACGGTGAATTGGGGGGCGTCGGGGCTGCTTGTTGTGGTGGTGTGAGATGGGAGCTGGTGCCCGATGTCTGAGACTCTCATCACGGCGCAGAGTCCCAAGACTACCACGGCCGTGAGGAGGACAGGGACGCGTGCGAAGATTGCTGGTTTCGGTTCCTCCCTGGGTTTCCCTTTCTCGTTCAGGTTCTGCTTCATCCGTCGTGAGGTGATGAACCGGATACACTGAGAGAGCACGACGAATGCTGCGATCCACCAGATCAAAGACGCCGTCAACACCATCTCGTCACCTCTTAAGCTCGCCCGGCCCCCCCAGTCGAACCAATCGCTCAGCGCCATATTATCGTAGAAGTCGTAGAAGCTTACCAAAAGAATTAGCATCAAGCAACCAAGAATCTGTCCGTCGTCTTACAATGAGCTCAGAAACACATTTCCTTCAAGGCGTATTAATAGGCCGGACAGTGAGTGGTTGCAGCTAAGCTTTCCCCGCACCACACAGACAGAGACTACCTAATAAGGAGGGGCGGCTGCTGCGACGCTTCGAGGTCTGGGGTAGCACGGTGCTGGCTTTTACTGCGAGCTTTGTTCCGTGCAGCATTGCCCGAAGCAAGGGAGAAATGCAGGTGATGACGAAATGGCATGGCTCGCGTTGGGGGGGTAAGTTACACAGCTACGTGCGGAGTCTGGCGGAGTTTTGTGCGTGCGGCGGCAGCGCGGGCGCGGCGCGGCGCGGCTCTGAATCATCCCATCTGGGGTGTGTCGATCACCGAAGAAATGCCCGAGAGCGTGGCTTAATCCGACTACGGAAGATCTTTAGGATGAAGTAGATAACGAAGATACTGAAAACAACAACAGTGGTGAGATGATGATATTAGACTCGTTAGTTGCCTCGAAACAAGACACCACATCAGGGCTGGAAATACATTCGTTGATTCGACCGAGTCTGCTCATCGCGGTTCTATACTACAAAAGGAATGTCACGGTGAGTGTAAACGGCGCATAAACTGAACTGGGATATGGTCATACATCGCCCGCCCAAGAACGACTGACGTGAAGCCAACAGGCGGATCTCACCATGTTGACGGTCATCACACTATCAAAACATCTCTGTGGCTTACAACACACCTCTCAGAAGCTCGAAAGCACTCTATGAGCGTGCGTCAACCTAGCCGCTCGCGCAGAATACGTCCTCACCCAAGACATCATCACCTCTGCGCATCGTCAGCGCTCCCGTCCCTCTTGCCGAACCTGGCCCCGAACCCCCCGATATCCCTCCTGAAGAACTTGCCAAAGTTCTTGAGGTTCTCGTTCATGGTCGCGGGGCCGCCCGCGCCCTGGCCGAGATCCCTCGTCGCGCTGAGCAGCTTCTCGCCCAGCGACGTGGCGTCGAACTTCGTCTGCAGCCCCGGGATGGCGCTGCTGGCCGTCGTGAGCGCGGTGCTGGCGTTGCCGATGGACCCCAGGCCGGAGCTCCCGAGGCCCGTCGTCGCCATGAGCGGCGTGAGCAGGGGCGACTGCTGCACGAGCTTGTCGCTGAGGTTGCCCTCGCGGTGCATGACGAAGAGCTCGACGAGGTGGCCCTGGTCCGCCTTGCGGACGCCCTTGAGCTCGAGGATCTTTTTGAAGTTGGTGTCGGAGCGGTCGCCGATGTGGATGAGGTAGGCCTGCACCAGGCCCTCCGGCGGCGACGGGCGGACTTGGAGGGTCTTGAGGAGGGGATCTATCCGGTTTATTGCTTGGTTTACCCGCTTTATGTATCCCGCTGGCGGCACGTGCGGCGCGGAGTCCTTGTTGTGGTACGATAGTAGGTTCTCGAATGCTTTGGTCAAGACGTACTTATCAAGCAGCATCTATAGAGAGTCAGTGGTTGCGTGATGACGATACGGGACGGCTTCTTACCTGCTCAGCGCCAACTTCGGACACGGGTCGGCATTGGACGATGTTGCTGATATAGGCGGTGACGAGGTGATCGACGAGATTGTCACAGAATGCCCTCGCATAGTGTCCCTTTTCCACAATGGCCAAGATTTCTTCGGTTTTCCCATTCACCGACGACAAAAGCTCGCCGACATACGAGCTCTGGTCGCCCACGCTCTCCATAGTGCTCCAGCCCGTGTTTCTCATTTCGCGCCACGCGCCCTCGCACGCAATCTCGACGTTGCGAACCAGTGTCAAGACGGCAGCACTGGCCACACCGAGGAATGCATCGGCCTGTGATGAAAAGTCGACCTTGTCCGAGAGGTTGTTATCGATACGTTTCTTGATACTTTCCTCGAGCTGAGTGGTGTTCGTGGACCAGAAGTCGGCCGTGTTCAAAACCAAAATGACGTCCTGAATAGGCGGGCCTTGAGGTCCGGCCCTTTGGAGAATATGGAGAAGAACCTGCTGCGCATACTCGTCAAGATATTTCGCTAAGATCTTGGACAAATCCAGTAGTCTGTCGCTAGTTGACAGCTTGGCGCATTGTGACAGTGTGAGCTTGTAAAAATGGAAGAGCTCGATGGCGGAAGTCATGACGGACTGCCGGGAGAATTCTTCGTCCTCGGGAAGAAGGGGTAGGTTGCGATATTTTGGTATCATATCCGCAAGCTGTTTGTCTTGCGATTCCACCCATAAGCTCAGGTACGGCTCGAAAGCAGTAGAGATGGAACCGTGGAAGTTGGACGCCCTGTCGTCCGCCGAGCTCAGGGTGTCGATACTGGCGCGCGGATCGTTTGCAAAACTCTTCTCCAAGCCCTGCTCGAAATCCAGAGTTTCTTGGAGGCAGCTCAAGAGCAGGTTGACGTCAATCTTCTGCCCGTCCGTCCTCCGCATGCTCCTCTCGAGGATGCCCTTGAAGTCGTCCCTCGTGCCGTCGCAGAAGGCCATGGCCAGCATTTCGTTGGCCCTCCAGTGCGGAGGGAATATAGCGGCGTGTTCCACCTCGTGGGTCTTCAGCATGCGCTTGAACCAGGCATATCTTCGGCCGATGTTGTCGAGGTTCCCGGCTTCGTCGTTGCCCCTGAACACCTGGCGGTACTCCCGCAGCTCCGTGTTGACGTACCAGTTCATCAGACGTGACCGCGCCATGTCGCCCAATGCATCCATAACCAGACAGGCCTCAACAAGAGTGCCTCGGCGCTGCGTGACCTCCCCCTTGGCAAAGGCGATCTCAAAGTCCTCACAGACCTGCTCCAGCAGTTCCCGCTGCAGCTCCGAGACACCCCTGCTGAGGGTGGCGATCTGCTCGATACTCCTGTAGCTGTTGAAGTGCTTCATAAGCTGCAGCACGGCTTGCAGGAGACTGGCGCACTCCCTGTATTGTCTCGTCTTGGCCAGGCCCCTCAATTGCTCGTACGCGGTCGTCAGCATCTGCAGGCGCTTCAGGGCCGTCATGCTCAGTGTAAGGTTGCGCTTGGTGCCGTCGAGTCGCTTGATGTCGGCCGTCATGGAGGTGATGTTCTGCTCGGTCTGGATGGCTCGGGATCGCACCGTCTCGATCTTGCGAAAGAGCTGGGCCAGCTCGGCCTGGGCGGACTGCATGCGCTCGAGGCTGGAGTCGGGCCCGTAGGCTTGAGCGACTTCGAGCTCGGAGATCTCGACGGCGAGGTCATTCTTGTGGTTTTGGAGGGTGTCGGAGACGCGGCCGATGGAGGTGACGGTCGAGGGGTGGGCGAAGAGGTGGTTTAGATGGTCGATGGGATCGTAGTCGGCTACCTGGGTTGTCAGATGGATCTCGGGTTAGAATGGGCAGGAAATTGGGAAAAATTACCGGCGTCGAGGGAGGTTTTGTCGGCGATTGACGACCCGTTCATGGTGAGGAACATTTGGGGTGGTGCTTGTACTCGAAGTCGATCGGAATGCTGCAGCTGTGACGAACCCTGGTACTGGTAGGTGAGTGTTGGGAGCTTCGTGTCGACACGATGTCGTCACGTGTCAATTCGAGCTGCAGGGGGTCTCGCTAAAAGATGCACCCGACCAATCGGCATGGCTTCCGATAGCCTTATCAACCTTCTCGAAGCCCGGCTCCGGTCCTTTCTTTTCTTAGATCGTCCCACCTCGAAAAAGTCTGGGGAAATGGAAATTGATTTTCTCTTTACATCTTGCTTGAACTATGGGACGTCTGCAAACGAACTCATGGCCTGCATACTCTTGTTTCGGAAGGCTAACCATAACATCGAAGAGCACAATGAAATGGGATGCACGTCTGAGATGGGAAAATCCCGTTTGATCTTGGTTCATGAACTGCTCTATCGACTAAGGTACCTAAGTTGGACCACAAATAACACTACAAACTCGTTGATTCAAGCCACTGATTCGTGTTTACCTGGATAGCCATGCATTCGCTTTCTTTTGTCCTATCGGATTTCAGCTACTTCTTCCATCACCACATCTTCGGCCACTGCTATCTTCTTGCAAGCTCACTACCCAGCATCCTCCAAATCTCCAGCCAGAGGTGCTCTACACGCCAGCTCGTTACTTACTCAACGGCTCCAATTCTAATTCGCTTACATACGATCCGTCCGCCCGCGCATAGTATCAAAGTCCATGACGCCTAACAACACGAATCGCAACACCCTTCCATCCACCAACCAACTTACTCAGTATTCAGATTCCCTTGGACTCACGTTTTCCGTCAGCTGCCAAGGCGTCACACTCTCCGCCCCCATCCCGAACACCAGACCAACGCAAATCATCCGTCAGCCAAAACCTTCTTCAAGGATGCCAGACATCGGACGACACCTCAAGAACCTTCCCACCCGATCCCGCCACCATCATCCCGAGCTACCACCGTCCCGGAACCTAGATCAACCTCCATGTATTGTCAGCCTGTCGCGCAAGCTCACCCGATCCGTCCGACCCAGAACGAGCCCCATATTGCCAATGACAATCATCACCCAGCCAAGCCCTCCGCAACCCAAAATCCGTCACAAAACAAGACACCACCGATCCCATCCAGGCTCAGGCTCACCTCAGCATCAAGCCACCCCCTCCGTCCATCCCCCGTATCCTCCGATCCCCCGATCCAACACTCCGCAGCGCCAAGTCCACCCCAAAAGAGGAACATGACGAGCCTAACCAACGGTCAACCAGCATCTGCAGAAAGGCCCCGCCCAAACGACTCCTCTTCCCGCCTTGATTCTTGATTCTTCAACACACGAACACCAACACACACACACACACCCCTGTCGATACCAGTCCACCAACTATCACAAAGTTCCCATATCCCATCCGACGGCAAACGTCCTAATAAGCATCCCTCCTCCGAAATTCTTCAGCGCCCAACCCAACCCACCCCAGTCACATCGCCAAATTCTCGATAACCGAGTCATGTCATACACACATCCCTACCCTTTTCCATCCCTCACAGCTCCTTCGCGCCGGTTGCGTCTCCACTCCCCTGGGGACTTCCGAACACGGCTATTCCACCGCGCGGTACCTTCGCCGAAACCCCCATCGGCCGGCCGCCGGCGCCGCCGGCACCGGCGCTTCCAGTTCCCCCCAACCCCCCGCGGCTCCGTCGCAAAATGAAAAGAAAAAAGGAAGAACCAAACCCGCCGTGTCGAGGGGAAAAAAACACGGGACGCATCGCTGCCAGACCACGGCCCGTCCGCCACGTGGATCGACCCAAGGCCCCTCCCCACCCCGAGACGTGACGACATGACCTCGAGTCAGTGAAGTGCAGTCGGTGTCTTCATGCGATGCAGTAGACACTCACAATCCCCCATCAGACAGCCTCGATGTTGGGAAAGAATTGCGATGAAGAAAAAACCGCGGTGCCTCTTCCGGATCTCCTCCACCTGGTTTCGAAGGCAAGAAGACGCTGACTACCCAGGATCCAAGTCCGTGACGGAAACCGCATAGGTGCATGGATAGTGGCATTCCTCTCACGCACCAACAAACACCAAATGTCCATCACATCTCGACATACCAACCGGTACCAACTCCCCCCAAATCTCACCTCATCTCACCTCATCTTCACCTCCCCTCTCACCGAACCACCTCCTCCCTCACCCTATCTAATCCCGTGACGACCTCCCACGTGCGCCGTACACCCTCCTCTCTCTCCCACCCATCTACATCACCAACCTCCATCACTTCACACCCACTCGACATCCGGCTCAAAAAAGCGAGAAACAGCATAAGCAAGCACACCTCTCTTCAAATCCACACACTCACGTCAAAATGCGACCCAACGTATCACGCCCCCAATCCTCCCCATCCCCTCCCCCCCTTCCCCAAAAAATTCAATTCGTCCTCGCCCGATCGACAAATACATCATACATACACCCCCAATCAACCCGCCTGCAAATACACCAGGAACTCAATTACACACGTCCAAGACAAACCCGCAAGCACGAGGAAAAAATGATGAGGCTGTCTTTCCGGGCCCCCAAAACAAAACCACCAACACGAGACAGAAAAACCAGGCACGAGCATATATCCTCACATGCAATGCCATGACTCCAGAAACACGCTCAAAAGTTCCCCCTTCCATCACATAAAATCATCGCATTAGTAAGGTCGCGATATATGATCCAAGACCTCTGTTCTTCCCATCGTCACATAGACTCACATACATCCGAGACTCATCACGGGGGAAGAAAAAAAAAAGACAACAGAACCAGTTACGAAGAAATCATCAGGAATCGATTTCCTCTCTTCCCTTCGTCGTACATGCTTCACTCGCTCGCTCATACTCAAACCCACCATCCTCACCCAAATCACTCAAACCCCAAAAGTCCTCGTATCCCAAATCACTTGAGACTAAACCCCAAACCAAAATCAGGAAACAATGCCATTCATCAATGATCTACGTAACACAACATCAACAATCCCCCATCCCACCACCACACACCACCACCACCACCACATCACATACACCCTTCCCATGACAAAATCGCATATCCAAATCGGTCACCTCACATCGCATACACACCCCCACTCCGAACCGAATTGGTCACGACATTCCCTAAACCAAACACACGCAAACACATACATGCTTACAAGAAAAGAGCAACCACCGATCATCCGCCCGGAAACCCGAAAAAAAAAAGACCGTACTGCGTGCGGTACGCACCTCACCCGTATCTCGGAGCAAGCTCCGATACCCACTCCGATTCCCAAGTCCCCCACCACCACCACCAGCCTTTCCTGACCCCGCGGGATCTGCGTGGGTTGCCTCGCCTCACCTCACTCATTCATGAGTCTCTTCCTGGACATGCCCTGTGTGTGCCTGTGTGTGTGTGTATGTGTGTGACCTGCTCCACTCCTCCACTCCTTCCGTCCACCACACAAAAATCTCACGATGTGGGAGCGGGGGTGGCAGAAATTCTGATCGTACTGTTTTGTTTCGCGGGCCCCCCGACAGGAAAGCCTCGAAACGTGGTACTGGGAATATATTCATGTCGGCGCCAATAAACGCCTACCCAGATACAGAGAAATACTCATGCTAGCCCAATTCTGCCTGCTCCCATGTCTCTCTCTCTGAACCCCGGGTTTCTACAATGTGAGTCATGATCGAGACAATTGTCCCAAGAGTGTAAAAAAAGCAGCCCAATGATGCCATGCAAAGCCCAGCTACACCGCCCCTTGTCCATGCGGGATATCATCAGCCATCCGAATTTTAGGTATCCTCCCCTGTCCCCTCCCGAGGACGTCTTAATCGTACCGCCGTCAAATGCTGGGGGAATCAAGTCATGATGAAAATGATGGAAAAATGCAAAAATCGCCAAAACAAGAACGCCGAGTCTTAGGGATGCTGCTGATTCCCTTTGCGCCTTTCAATGCAGGTTCGTCCGTTTCTGTGAGCTCCGGCCCGCCAGGCCGAGGTTTGCCGACGCGCATGCCGGCAGAGTCTGTTGCTGGAAAAAAAAGTCGTGGGCGCATCCAGTGTGGATCGCTCCGAAAGCATACCGATCAGGAGCTATGCAGAGCCCTGAAACCAGTCGCGATGAGACTGCGGGAGCTGTCCTTGGCATCTAATGGCCCGCTCCAGTAGAAGAGTCCCTATCAAACGTGGTCAGCAATGGCATTTTGCGAGTTGCAATGTTGTACCTACTCCCAGGCTCTTCTGCTTGCAAAACGCCGCCTTCAACTTCACCGTGTCGGGATTGTCGTATGTCACGAACCCGCCGTCGGCTCCGAGGCACTGAGCTGCGATGTGCTTCTTATCCACAACCTCTTTTGTTCCACGGCGCGGGAGCTGGTTGTAGTCGAATGTACCGTTGTCCCCGCCGACTCCCTTGAACTTCTGCCCCGGCCCAGCTGCGTGCAGGAAACTGCGCCCGTAGAGAGGAATGCCGAGAAGAATCTTCTGCGAGGGAAACCCTTGAGAAACCAGATACTGCACTCCCGAGGCTCCCGAAGTCTCGTCTTTGCTCATCGCGTAGAGTTGGGCGTGGTGACCACTTCTGTGAGTCCAAGACCCGGCAAAGTCGTAAGCCATCAGGTTGATGAAGTCGAGGTAGTCGGCTGTCCGTCTCAAGTCGATGTACTGAAGAACCGCCCTGCCCGCTGGCAAAGCGGCGGTGAGGAGGTAGTGGCTTTCTGGCATATGAAGGCGGACTGCCGCAAGCAGGGCGAGGAAGTGGTGACCCTGTTGCGAGTCGCAAGGATACTCCCAGACGACTGGTAAAGAGTTGTGAGCTATGCCTCCCCACTGCAGAAATGGGCAAACTTACTATCGATGCCGTCCAAGCCAGACGCATCCACCAGACCTCTCGCAGACCTGGCGAAGTTGTCTCTGTACAACGTATTCGCAGCTACCAAGGGAAAGATGGCGGCCGAGTTGCCACCGCCAATGGACAAAATAACTTGCAGGTGCGGATGTTGTTGCTTGAGATGCATAAGAGATCCTAGTCCCCCTTGGACGCCATCGACTGGTGCGCGGGCATCCGCCCACTCATCGCTGAGCTGGATAGTCTTGTCAGCCCAGCAAGTTGTAAGTCGAATATTCGACACTCACGAAAACACCACCATCCGGCGAGACATTCGCAAACGCATAGTACACATGGTTGATACATCCGTAGTTCATTGCCGCAGGTGTGTCGCCTTGGTATATCCTCTCGTTGGGGAAGTAGACGGCGTTGGTGTACATGACGTTGGAGATACTGGTCGTCCGGCGCGACTTGCGCGACGATGATGAAGAGCTCATCCTGACTCTGGTTGCCATGAGGCAGTTGATAATGAACAAGTGTAAAAGTCGAGGTGAGAAAGAAGCAACTCAGACAGCCGGAGGAAGAAGGGGATGGTGGTAAGGACAGTATATGAAGGAAAGAACTTGGACCCAACGCTGCATGCGTGAACAACGAGCTGTTCGGTCAGGCAGCAAGCGCGAACCTCTGTGTCCCCGAACAGCATGGAGGCTGTTCTATATATTTAGCTAGACACCGCACTGCGGGAGAGACAACAAAGATGCGACGGTGAGCGACTGTGGGCAGGGTAGTATGGACTCAAGGTCTTGCACAAGGCGGTGGAGACAACGGGAATCCAAATTACTAGAGGGCCCAGGATACCATCGATTCCATGATGCATGACATAATTGGATGGGGTGGAAGGATGGATCATGGGGGGGTGCGGCGTCAGAAGATGTGGTTGTGGTTGCGCTTGCAGGGGTTGAAGGATGGTATTGAGACTTTTTAAGGTCATATATGAGAGATCTGGAGAATAAGAGAAGGATCCGAGGAAGAGTAGAAGGCGTAGGACGAGCAACCAGACTTCCATTGAGCCTGTGCTGCTCGGCCGGCGTGTCCCAGGAAGAGCCGTAAACACAGACATATCGATGCTCGGAAGTGTGTTCGCAAAGAGAAGGGCGCAACAAAATTGCAAGGCATAGTGTTCGGGCTTGTTCGCCTTGTTGGCCTGGCGCCGTTGCTTGATTAGCCCGCTCGTCCTGACTCTCGTTCCCGTGAGCTAGTCCGGCGCGAGTCTGTTCTCACAACTTCTCTGTTTGATCCCGGCCGTCGGCCACGACCGCCGACCCTTGGCGGCAGTCGACGATCAGGGTTGCAGGGAACAGGAATGATCCCTGCTCGCCGCACCGCTACTTTCGCTCCTTCTCCTCCTCTTTTGTTCGTCCACCTTTTTTCTGCATCTTCCAGCTGATTTCTCCACGTCTGGCCGTGCATGCAGGTCTTAGCAGCGAAGTATGTAGGGAGCAGGCGACTCTATCCTGGTCGTTGGACATGCTTCTGTCTACGCGTGTGTGTATGTAGCTTCTCGAGACGTGGACACAGTGATTACCAGCCGCATTCCGAGTCCGTTTTCTGTCAACCAATGCGAATGTAGGCATTGGACCCGCGGCTGCGAGAGACAAAGTATCCTGGACGAAGCGGCTTGTTCTGTACTGCAGCAGCACATTCAGTACATACAGTGCTTGTTGGCATCAGTCACTCGAGACCAGTGCACGAGAGGGATGTTTGTTCCGAGGCCGTATAGGCGGCCTTTCGTCCAAGACATGCATCCAAAATTGACTTGCCCGCAGCGGCATGGCCAGAGGAGTCGGACCGTTCTGCCGGATATTTTGCAGACGAGACGGGTAGCGACATCGTTCCCCGTATCGCGACGATCTATGTATGAAACTAGCAGGTGAATCAGGATCAATTTCGAGGGACATTTCCCCGTAAGGCTCCGGATGCAGCAGAATCAGCCACGGCGGTCGCGGGGAATGGTGCCGAACCGTAAGGCGCTTGTGGCTCAGGGCTGTTGGCAATCCCTCCACGTTAGGGACAGGAATTGGGGGCGTTGAGGATGTGTACTCGAACGGTTGGTTTGTCGTTGACAGCATGTCGTGGGAAAAGAAAGCGTAGCTGGAGAAACCGCCAGTCTTTACTGGGTTAAAGATGAGACGACAGGAGCCAATTCGAAAAGCCGGAATTCTGCACCTGCTTGTGGAAACTCTAAAGCAACCTTCTTCTCTGCGTTGGCGCGTGCTGGACTTTTGGCATGCGGCCGTTGTTGGTCGTTGAGCGTGCATTCCCAACTTCGCGGGACGTGTTGTCGGTTGAGCAAGCGAACATCCGCCTTTGCTGTGAATTTTGAGTTGGACATTACAGACAGTGTTCATCACACTGACGTGCAAAGTGTGGATCGATAGGCGAGTTGATATGCACTGAGACCCTCGGGCGGCACGGCGGTATCTGATGGTCTGAAATGGGTAGATCCCAGCTGATGCGCTGGGAAGCCGGGGGTGAAGGAATGAATCAGACACGGACACGCATGGAGAAGCGTCTCCAGGCGGTGAAGTCGAACGCAAAACAAGCCAGGCTGGGCAAAGAGCGTCGAGCGATTCCAACGAAAGGTATCCGTACGCTGTCGAAATATGGTCTTGGTAGACGGCCATCTCTGTCGCGAAGTCGACCAGTAACATAACCATGCGACTCAGTGACAGGGAGATGGCGAGTGAATAGACAGGTAGCGGCAGCTTGGCTGCGTGATCTCCACTACGGCGATGGAAACAGCCGACAGACAGTGAGGGTCGAGTGGAGGAGATGGGTGCAAGCGACTGCATGCCACGCTGGCAGCACGTCGATGTAGGTGAAGCAGCCCTGAGGATTGGAAAAACCGACGACTTGGGAGAATGAGGTCATTGAGCGAGGGTTGTCGAGTTGGGTATCGATGAATAGGTGTCGGTCGGGGGGATGTGACCGGCAGGGCGCATTGTAGCGTTGTTTGCTCATTGTTCCTTGGGAGGCTGAGTTGTTCCCGTGACGGAGCGGTGGCATCTATCTCTCTCTCTCGACGTCCTGGTCCTGCGTGGAGGCCCGGCCGGGCATGGGCGTGATTTTGTCGTCTCGCCGTCTTGGTCGCATCGGCCCACGAGAGGGAGAGAAGATCCATGGGTGTTCCATACTTAGTAGGGCAGGTCGATCAACGAAGGCGAGCCGGCGTCTCGTGGTCGAGTGGTGATGGGTTGACGAGATGGGCGATGTGGCTCCGTGGTCTGCCCGTACCTATCCGCAGACGGTAGACATCCATCTCAACCCGCATGTGCGCGCCGCACCCTGTCGATTCTGTGGTCTGTACGTACGAAGATATGCGGGCGTGCTCCGTATGTAAGTAAGTCGCAGTAGCCAAATGCACTGATTGGGTAGATGCGGCACGCCTGGCGGAGGAATCCCGGCAAAGTGTGGTCAACCGTCAGGGTCGATACGCATGGCATGGCATGGCATCCTGCTGAGTCCTCTCACGTCCGCATCGGAGAGAAGGATGCGACGTGGTGGACGAGAGTTTGAATCGTTGAAAGCATGAATGGCTTGTCTGGCTTTGATTTGACGGCGAAGCTATTGTTAGTAGCTCAGCCGTGGGACGACCGAGAAACGTGGGAGAAACGCGCTAGAACAGCCACGTTGCGCGATGAGGAAATGAGACGGGCCAAAGGAGATTGGCAGGAATTCCATGACCGGCGAGGATCACCGTCATCTTCAGAAAAAAAGACTCGTCGGATTTGTGACTTGATGAAGCAAACAATGGCCGGCCGAGAAGTGCGGGGTCATTTTCCACCGTTCTCTTGTTTGCAAAGAGCCCTGGTTGCTGGAGGGGGTGGGTAACGAGTCGAGTCGAGTCGAGTCGAGTGAGTACCGATACTTCAACTCGAGTCGAGGGAGGAAATGTCGGACAGTATGAAGGAAAGAAAGAAGAAACGGAGACAGAGCAAGCAAACAACCCCGCCTAAAGTGGCTTCAACCGCGGTGGTCCATTCTTCACGGGCAGCCCAGGTCCATGTCGATGTGGGTTGAAGAAGCCGAAGACGGCCCCAGATGCAACCGAAGGGAAAAAGAAAAGAAAAAGAACAGGAAGCGGCATGTCATTCTGCATCCTTGGCGGAGCTAACACTAAGAAAACCCTGCGCTGGGAATTTGGAAGGAACCACCAAAATTCGACGTGGGTCCTTCCTGCCCGAGCAATTGCTGCGTGCTTGCTGCATTTGAGGGCATCCATGTCATGTTCTCACCATCAGGAAGGAGGGACCGTCGTCTGTGATGCAGGAAGGAGGAACCCAGAAGGGATAATCATCTAAGGAAGGACCATCTCGGCCAGCAAAGAGTCTGTGCTCTTGCCCATCGTGGCATCTTCCAAAGTCCACCATTTCTATGACAATTCCTCTAACAGCTGGAGGCAGGTGAGCTGAGCTGAGCTGACACTGCCCTAAGAGACCTTCCTAACTAAACACCGACATAATTCAGCTGGGCATCATGAATAGCAACCAAGACTCACCTCCGCACAGTCAGTCCCGCCATCACCTCGATCTCGTCGGCAACTCTACGGATACGGACGGCAAGCCGACTTCCTTGCCTCCTACGGCCCGATCGAAGAACGGGAGGGGTCCCCTCGTCTAGGGACTTCCCGCCATGAACCCCTCCGACCCGTGGTGGGATGTTCCCTTGGCGAGGATTGGCCCTGTTCCTCAACCCACTGCCACCAAAGTTGCCTCTTCTCAAAATCAACTCTGCAACCAAGAATCACTCATCGACTTGACACTAAGCTGTCACTAAACGTGCTTGTCTTTGGGGGACACCATTAATTCTTGAGAACATTTCATTCTTCAATTCGCTCAGTCCTGTTCAAGTGTCTGCGTGGAAAGCACCTGAGCAGCCACATGCCGCGGCAACAGCAGAGGGGCTCTTTCTCTCTTTTCCCCTCTCCCCTGTCTCCGTGTCTGCCTCTGCCTCCAAGTTGAACCAACGAACTTCCATCTCTGCCGTTTTTGACAAGACAAACCTCCAACCTCGCTTGGCAATTCAGGAGCGGAGTCCACCCCGGTCTTCACTTCGCTATAGCCAATGAAGGACTGTCTTCACTGAGGATAACCTGATGTTGCTGCAACTCATCACGCGTTCGGATTGGCCACTCTGAGGCATCCGGAAACCAACAGAGACGTGTTGTTTCATACCTAGGATTGGATACCACCGACGCTCCCCCTCTTCCGACATCTCGTCTTCTGCTGCGCAAAGGCTGATTTTCGAGCGCCGCTTTCTTCCAAACAAGATCGTTCTTCATCGTCGTCCTCATCATCGCTTCATTTCCAGGCCTCGTCTTCGTCTTATATATAAGCTAACAGCAATCAATGGCGACCAATGCCCAGCTTCCGCCCGGCGCTATTGAGGCAGTCAATGCACCCAACGATGACAGTGAATTTGATCCCGTTGAATGGGATGCCTCGTCCGTTGACTCAGCATCGGTTACCTCGAGCATTTACGCTCACGAATACAATAATGGGCGTCGATACCACAGCTATCGACATGGCCGTTACCCCATGCCCAATGATGAGACAGAGCAAAGCCGAGAAGATATGAAGCATACCATGATGCTCGAGGTCACCGTATGTAATAATACCTCGTAACACATCTAAGCACAGTTGCGGCTCCTGACATTGCTGCGATAAAAGGATGGCAAGCTTTTCTATGCTCCTATTGCGGAAGATCCCCAGAAAATCATTGACATTGGAACTGGTACCGGTCAGTTTACGATTTTACTCCCCACATAAGCGTCGACTGACAGCTCAAAATCAGGAATATGGGCCATTGAAGGTCGGGCCCTCGTTGCCATCTTTGCTCTTCGACAGCTAACTTGCATATTGTGTAGTGGCCGACCTTTACCCCAGCGCGTCCATCATTGGTATCGACTTGTCTCCCATTCAGCCAACTTGGACTCCACCCAATGTCAAGTTTCTTGTCGATGATGCTGAAGATGACTGGCTGAACGGGGATGACTTTGATCTTGTCCACTTCCGGGCCATGTCTCCTATCCTGCCAAAGCTCGACAAAGTAATTGGGCAGGCCTACAAGTCAGTGCATCAAAGCGAAGCTATCGTCATATTGCTGACTGGTTCATCAGTCACATGAAGCCCGGGGCTTGGATTGAATTTCAGGAGCTCCACGGACAGATTCACTCCGATGACGGGACCATGGCAAAGGACGACAAGCTGAAAGAGTTCTATGAACTCGTCGCCGAAGCCTTCCAGGGCCTCGGTATGGACTTTCACAAGGCCCGCGACTTGAAACCCCACCTCGAATCCGCCGGATTCAAGAACATCCACTGCGAGGTCAAGAAGATTCCAGTCGGGACCTGGCCCAAGGACCAGACGCAACGGTTGATCGGCTACTTCTCGAAACAGGCCATCAACATGGCCGCGCCCGCGTTCACCGGTAAACCGTTCGAGGCAATGGGCATCTCCAAGGTGGAGGCCCAAGTCTGGTGCGCGACCATCAAGAAAGACATGGAGGACAACAGCAAGCACCGCTACTACAACATGTTTTTCTGGTACGCCCAGAAGCCAGAGAACGCCCCTGCGACTGACGGCGGCGCTGGTGCCTCGGGAGAGGAAGAGGCTTGAGAATACTCGTGTCGGAGGAGTGCCACTGGAGGATAGCCGAATAAGCCGCACACACGATTGTTACGGCTAAAGAGGCTGGCCTACGTCCCAAAACGAGGATTCACCACGAGCCCAAGAATAAGATTGGGGGCCTCCCTCGTACCCTCGAACATTGACTACTGCTCAACGTCGTGACATTTTTCCATGCCGAAAGCCATATCGACCGATTTTTCAAAGACGGTTGCCCTTGGGAGTAGAGTAGCGGGATAGTTTTCTCACAATTAGACCATGCTTTTGCTCACAATTTAGCACCTTCCGCCGGTCCAAACCGTTGAGTTCAATGACATGCCTAGATAAACATGACGATAAGATATCAGTCCTATTTTCCCCATTTTTTCCCACTTCAAACAGAATACAAACTTCTTAGACTCAAATTTGCAGCAAGAGGTACCAGTTCCTCAGGATGATAAAAGAGCAAGCGGCGGTGCGGAAGAAGGGTACCTTAGGTGTGGTCGGGCGGGAAGCTGCTCTAGTATCCACTCAAGCTCAGTCAAAAGGGATTACTAATATTATGGGGCAATTGAGCGAAGCTTCCACTGACCCAATCCACGCGCCTCAACTTACCCTTCACATCGCGACCATCTTCTCTACCCACAACTTCCTCAACATCTGAGGTCAGCAGAACTACGCAATTCAGACAGCAAATCGCATCGATTCTCGCATACCAGGGAGAATTCGCGCGACCAACCGACGCGGCTTATACCTCTCGCAACCCAGAACACGCACGCGCAACATCAACGAACGAAGCACTTCACCTTTTCCGACCAGACGAGCTCGACGAATTCAAACCTCGCAAGCTCCCCGGAGCCCCAATTCCCAAAATGCCAGCCGCGGCGCCCCGCCCCGAGACGAGCTGGATCCTCAACCACACGCCGCTGGCAACCTCCTTCTCCTTCACCCCCTTCCTCCGCCAGACCTACCGCCACGAGCTCTCCTCCGACCGCCCGCAATGCAAACCCTTCCTCGCGGGCCACTGCCCCCTCGGCGCCTCCTGCCCGGACCGCCACACCTCATCGACCTCGTCGAACCCGTCGGGCGGCCCGTCGCTGGTCTGCAAGCACTGGCTGCGCGGGCTCTGCAAGAAGGGCGAGAGCTGCGAGTTCCTCCACGAGTACAACCTGCGCAAGATGCCCGAGTGCAACTTCTTCATGCGCAACGGCTACTGCTCCAACGGCGAGGAGTGCCTGTACCTGCACATCGACCCCCAGTCGAAGCTGCCGCCGTGCCCGCACTACGACAAGGGCTTCTGCCCGCTGGGGCCGCGCTGCAGCAAGAAGCACGTCCGGAGGAAGCTGTGCGTGTACTACCTCGTGGGTTTCTGTCCGGAGGGGCCCACGTGCAAGTTCGGCGCGCACCCGCGGTGGAGGACGGATTTGGAAAAGCCCAGCGCTAAAGTCGAGGGCGAGGACGAGCCAAAGAGGGACGGCGAGAGGGAGGACGGCGAGATGATGCCTCATCGGGAGAGGATGAGGGATATGCACGACGACAGGGGACATGGTGATCGCAGGCATGGCCGTGGTGGCAAGTGGCGCGAGCGTGGAAATAGGAGATTCCGTGGCCGTGGTGGTCACTAGGGGGGACCAGAGGCGGCGTGAGTGACGCGAGTTACAGAGAGGCGAGGAAGCAGCGTGTAGGCGTAGGGGGAGGCATCGGAGCAGATCCAAGGCTGATCGAAAGTCAGCCGGATGGGAGAGCTTCTTGTATGATATAGGTACTGCAAGCAGCTTGCGAAGCTATGCAGCATAAGCGGGCTTGTGATTTCAAGCTCAATGATACCAAAAGTTCATGATTACACATCGGACCGTTTACTTGCGATGTCCCATTATCTCACTACATGCTATTTCCCTGAATCATACCATCATCTAGAAACCGGGGCTATGCTCTTGTCGGTCCACGTACATCAGTAGACTGCGCAGGTGCCCCGCCTGGGTCTCACATTAGCACGTTGGGAAAGCGTCGCCCAGGCCTTCCTCGGCGACGCGAACTTGGTGGTTAGTTCTTAGTAGATGATCACGGACATCATGCATGATATTGCATCTGGACCTAATTTCATTTTCCCTCGCTGGAATCTTCATTGATGCTCAACTTGGATTCTTACAACAGTACTTCCCGGCGACATCCCGAGTCGAATGTGGGACCGCGGAGCCGAGAATTGGAGCCGACTCCTCCGCCTCCGAGGCGCCTCGGACAACTCTGCACGCGGAGCAAGGCCGATGAAACCAGACTTCCAATACCTCAGATCTCAAGAGGCTTCTCACCTGACAGTCCTCAACCGCGGCAAAACTCAACACAGAGAACTTACAGGACTTCGACCTCAGCACGCCCCTTGGACCCACGATAGCCGCCCGAATCCGAAAGTCAAACCAGCGACCCCCGCGGCAGCAAGCGGGGCATGATAAACCCAGATTTTGCCGAATCTTGCATGGCCTTCTGGCGCAATGGTAGCGCGTCAGCTTCCGGTCTCTTTTCCAGCTTGCTGAAGGCTGTCGGTTCGAATCCGGCGAGGGTCGCATTTTTGCCTGGCTGGCGAACCACATTACTGGTTTTCTTGTTTTTGCTTTTTCTTTTGAGATTTATTTGAAATGAGATGTGAACGGTTGATTGAAGTTATTTATTTGTCTCTTCCTTTTAATTGCACCTAGCTATTTATTAAGTCTATAAAGACTTACTAGTTGGTTGTAGGAATTGGCAACAATTGACTTTAGTAGATCAAGAGATATCGCTGGACTCTATTTCAATATCAACAATTAGTTAATGACAAAACCCTTCCCTATTTTCCTAGAAGCTGTTGTAATAGTTACTTTCATTTTAGACTTTTGCGAATTCTCGGTTCCTTCCCCCTTGTGGCTGAGATCCCACACTCTCCTGCCTACCTAGGTACCCAGTTAAGCTTTGTGATCTGCTTAGGAGGACAGAAGGGTGTCGTTGGAAATATGCTTAAATAGAAGACAATACTAGCAATTGCAATTTCTGCAAAGCCTCGACAGAACAACCACCCAACAAGATCCCAAGACTTCGAAGATCCTACGACGAAAGATGAAATTACGACCTAGAAAGCCAGCCGTCGCGCAGCCGAGCAGTATGCAGTTGCGGCCCAGGAAACCCATCGCCGCATCCCCCTCAGCCACCAAAGTCAGGAAAGCTCCAAAGACAACCAGGCCTCCCGTCAAAGTCCAGAAAGCTTCGAAGACAACCAGGCCTAGAAAGAAGAAGCCCGCGACGACAAGAAGACTTAGGACAAGGAGACCTAAAGCTGATGTGGCCGCAACGTCCCGCTCAGCATGGCAAGTTCTGCCTGCCGAAATCAAGTTGATGATCGCGGAGGAGATGATTCGGTTAGTTGATGGAACGAGTAGACTGTGTGTTATGGCCAGTTTGTGTCGAGAGGTCCAAGAAGTCGTTGAGAAGCAAACATTCTCGTCGTTGCGGCTCTCTTCGAAAGCCGACATCCTCCGCCTAGATGAGGTGACTCGCAGGCCAGACAACGAAAAACGCAGGAAAATCATCAGCAAAATCCGTCTCGACACGGAGCTGCCGAGGTACGGACTCGACCGCTGCTGCGTCGAGGAGAGCCAAGCCATGATCGACGAGAACAACCGGGCATTCAACGGTCACATTTCCTCTCTCTTCAGAGTTCTGTCCGCGTGGGAGAGCACGGGTCTCACACTCGAGCTCAGAGCCTTTTCGATCAATGATGAGAGACACATATTGAAAAGGAACCCAAGTGTGCGCACCGATCGTTACTTGACATGTCCGTCATCCGACATGTCACCAAGACCCCTGCAACTCACCCTGGGGAGCCTTCTCGACGTCGAAGATGATCTCCCAGAAGTCTCGGCTGTAACCCAATTCATCGTCAGCCGAGAGAATCTCAGAGGTCTGGGCCCAGCAACACTTGCCCAACTCGTCAAAAGGCTCCCTCGCCTCCAGGACATCGTATATGAGTCCTGGCGAGATATCGACGAGGAGGGTCAAAAGAAGCGCGACGCGGCGATTGAAGCTTTGCTTGGCGGGCTTCAGTCCCATTTATTCATCAAAAATGTTTCGATTTGGGAAGCCCATCAGCTTGATCCTCGGCAGTTGGATAGACCAGGAAACCCCGCCCTAGCGTTAGCAGCAGCGAAGTTGTCTCAGCGACTGAAGAGTTTCTCTGCATCTTTCGTCTTCGACGCGCTGGACTTCTTCTCGTACTGCGAGCGAATTCCTCTCAGCTCTTGGCCGAAGTTGGAGTCGATCGCCTTGACGTCTGGGGTGGTTGGAAACTCGAGAGCCCTCGTCGCGGACCGGCTCATCATACAAGCCGGGCAGGTGGCCCTGCGTATGCCCAAGCTGCGACTCATGGAACTGTGGCACAGCGACCAGAGTGGGTATCAATGGTTCCTGTTTCGGTATGAGATTGTGAAAAAAAGACCAAAGGTGATGATTCAGGTAGCAATGCGGGAGTTGAAGCTGAGCCAGAGGGCTCGCGAGGTCTGGTCCCGGGTGGCGGCATCTGTCCCCGGGCCCGGCCTTGAAGTAGAAGACACGACCCCGAACGGCTTGAAAATCTTTCCGGTGAAGATCAGACTGCGGTCTAACGTCCGACAAGATATCACGACAAGGGTTCCCCTTCCCTAGCTACTTCTACTTGTTAACATTAGTTACTAATTTACTCACTTGAGAGAGGCGTGTCAATCAGATAGATGGACGAGACTTAGTGTAGAGACTCGAAGTGCTGTCAAGCGGGGAGAAGAAAAAGTTGTTGCGCGCTATGCGATTTCCAGCGAACAAGTAAGTCCCTGAGATATCGAAGTTGCTCCAAAACTTGTCCTAGAACAAATCCATGGCTGACTGGTGAAGTTGAAGCCATCGAGGTGGTTTCGGTCTTGGGCACTGGACAGAGCACCTTCACGTGGATGAGCACTGTCCCTGCCATCGATGAGATCCGTGCACGAAGATAGCAAAAGGGGCTGCGTGGAGTCAAAGCATAGAGGCTGGAAATGGCAGTTCATGCACCGAAGGAACCCAGGGTGGTGACGTTGAAAGTCGGGGAAACAAAACAAACTTCAGATAACACGGGGATTTACTCTGGAAGAAAAGCCGACCAATCAAGGCCGAGCCCCGGACGAAGCCCGGACGCTTCGGTGCGAGGTGCGGTCAGTGAGGCCCCACCTGTACAGCGGAGACATTCCCCCCACGTCTACGCGGAGCCATTTGCCCAGATTCACCGACCTTTTTTTTGCCCAAGAACTCGAAAGTTCCCCATCTTCGAGCAGCTTTAACCTGCAGGATAATTTCCAACAATTCTACAAGGGCTTCACCGCCGACCCTCCCCCCTCCCCCTCATCCTTTCACTTCCCCAGTAACCCTTGGTCAATATCGTCAAGATGTCGGCGGACGACCAGCAGTTCCTGGACGTTGTAAGTAGCTCTGTCCGTCCTCGAAAGCTCTCGAGCTTGTGATCACGAGCTCTGTAAACTGACGCCCATGCCCCCCTGCAGCTGTCCTCGCTGCCCAACCACATCCGCAAGTACTCGGACGAGTTCGCGAACCTGATCAACCCGCACGTCGAGAAGGCCGCCGAGGTCGTCAGAGAGACTCTGTCCACCACAGAATGGATTCCCGACTCCGTGCGTCCGAGCCCACCCGCCCGCCACATCCCCATCGAGGTGATAGCCGTCAGCCGGTACGAGAGGATCTCGGATTGGGTGTCGAGGAACAAGATCCTGACGGGCGCCATGGTGGCCGTCGTCGGAGTGGTGGCATACCGACAGTACAAGAGCAGCAGGTTCTGCCGTAAGACGCGGCGTGCGAAGCGGGCGAGGAACGGAGGTAGACTCGAAGTCGTCGTCATCGCTGGCTCGCCCGCCCTGCCCCTCACGAGATCTCTTGCCCTCGATTTCGAGAGGAGGGGTTTCATTGTCTACATCGTCTGCAGCGCCGAGGAGGACGAGCGTATGGTTCTCAGCCTGAAGAGACCGGATATCCTGCCTATGGGTATCGACACCACGGATGTGAGTACTCGACGTCTCGACGGTGCTGATCTGCTGCTAACGAACGACAGCCTCCTAGAGCGGGTGCGGCCATCGACAGCTTCGCCCAATACCTCCAGTCTCCCCACGCTCCCGCACCAAAGACCAAGCCGAACTTCTTGCAGCTGAAGTCCGTCATCCTCATCCCCTCGCTAAACTACCAAACCTCCCCCATCGCCACGATCCCGCCGTCCAGCTTCGCGGACCTCTTCAACACCCACCTCCTGCACCCGATCCTCACAATCCAGGCTTTCCTGCCCCTCCTGACGACCCGCCTCAGCCCGCCAGGCGAGAAGTGGACCCCTCCCAAGGTCCTTGTCTTCACCCCATCCATCATCTCCTCCATCAACCCACCCTTCCACGCCCCGGAGGCCACCGTCTCCTCCGCCCTGTCCGCCTTCACCGAGGTCCTCACCGCGGAGCTGCGGCCGTTGGGCATCCCCGTGACCCACGTCCAGTTGGGCACCTTCGACTTCTCCGGCTTCCAGCCCTCCAAGCAGATGCACCCTTCGCAGCGTGGCCTGCTGGAGGGCGGCGCCCCGGGTCCCGACGCCGACGCCACCGAGACCCTCATGTGGCCCGAGAACGCCCGCCACGCCTACGGCCGCAACTTCGTGGTCCAGAGCACCTCCGCCATCTCGGCCGGCCGCATCCGCGGGCTCAAGGGCAGCAACCTGCGTCACCTGCACAACGCCGTCTTCGACGTCATCGACGGCTCCATCACCAGCGGCACCGTCCGCGTCGGCCTCGGCGCCGGCGTCTACGGTTTCGTCGGCAAGTGGGTGCCCCGCGGCCTCGTCTCGTGGATGATGGGCATCCGCCGCGTCGACGAGCTGTCGGCGTGGCAGACCAGCTCCTACGACGGCTCGCTGGACGGCAGCAGCGAGAGCGGCGAGGGCACCGACTTCGTCGCGGTCCCCGACGAGGGGGCCAGCAACGTGTGGAGCAAGTCCTAGTAGGACTGGCTTACTCCTCTACTCACGATTGAAATAAAAGTGAAGTGGTTTGTGAGGACATATAGACAGACAGCCTTTTGAGGGAAACAGCACCGGAAATTCGCAAGCTATCTGTCGCTGTTTTGGCTCACGGGTTTATCGGACGACGGGATGACGGCTACGAAAGTTGAAAATGTCTCGCTTTGTCCGAGGAGGACGCCACTCTGGTTACGTACGCCCTCCTTGAGGGGTTATGAATAACGACACACACACCGTTCATAAGGGAAAACAGGGATCACGACTCATTTGAACATAGGAAATAGCCATGATAGCAATGAAGATTACTTACATGGCCTACTCATACATCGTTGTCTCAATGCTTTGCAGTCGAGTGGCCAACCGTAGAAGGGGTGACTTGGTTCTATCTTTCTTCCAGTTGACATCTAGTCTCGACTAAGGGGTCTTCCTACGCCTTGAATCATTGTAATCAATCAACGAACCGTTCGGGATTTGCCTCTCGGATGGTAGAGGGTTCAGACGGGCTGAAGAGAGATGGGCGAGGTGATACTTAGATCGTTGTGTTTTAGCATTGTGTATCGTCCCGGGCTTGACGACGCAGCATTATTTCTTTACCAGTCGACGGTGAAGATCCTATCGTTGGTGACAGCCCGAGAGGCGTAATACACAGCTCACCACCTTGCTGCAGTCTGCAGCTACGCACTTACTCTTTACTGTGATGGCAACTCTCACTGGTTAAGACGGATCAACTGAGTTCCTTCTTCTCGTTCCAAGATGAAGTGTTGGCTTTCCCGGTTTTCTTTCGCGAAGGTCTTGGGTTCACAGGTCGTTTGATGGATAACCCAGCCAGATTGGTGTAGGCGAGAGGGAAGCTAGCGGAGTCAAGTGTTTCCATCACAGACAAGGAAGCGTCGCTGTCCGGTGTCTTTCTTCGTCGCTCTTCAAGTGTTTATTTCCCCTGACAATAACCCATGGGTGAGATGGAGAAAAAGAGTGTAACTCATATCCCCTGTGATAGCCTCGAGCTTCACCCGGTGCAGGTGAATAACGGTGAGTCTGCATATCCCGGGAAGACTCATCCTATCCGGCCCGGGATATGAAGGCGTGAAGAAAAACAATGAAGGAGTACACCCGGTTGACCAGGTTGAGGTCATGGATCATTCTGGGGGTCTTTAAAGGCTCGATACCTAGTTCTCATGAGAAGAAACAACTCAAAAACACAGCCGAAGTTATCTTCTCCGGTGGTCCGACTGATGGAGATAATCACGTCACCTCCACCCTGGCGAGCAAGCTCGACATGGCCTGACGCTCGCCGCTGATGACGATACACTTCGATGTATATATAGCGCGACAGGACAAGAGTTGCCGTTGCTCGAACAGCTATCATCGGCGATGTGCGACGTGAGGTATTGTGCATGCAAAGCTCAGTTAGTATGGAGACGTGAAGCAAAATGGGAATTTCGCTATGCTGGGCTTCTAGTGGTGGATGATATTCGCGGATTTCCGGGTTTATATTGTGATGAATAGAAAAGCGACTCGGGACGACGAGGATGAGATCCGGAAGATTTGCGGAGTTGGAATGGAAGACCACCGTCCTCGGCTCCCCGCCTTGTAGATACGGACTGACCTGGCCAAACAACGAAAAATCAAACCATGCCATTGCCTCATCACAACTACGACCAGTGCAATCTAACTAAATCATTATATTCCAAAATGGGAGAGCCTCGAGACTACATCACGAGAAAGCCAAAATTGAAACGAAAAAAAAAAAACAATGAGCTGCCTCGAGACTTATGCAAGGTCACCAGACCTCGAACCCTCGATCTTTGCCGAAACCAGGCATCCGACTCCACCCCTAGACCATCTTCACGCAGCGGCCTTGCTCACTGTTGAAAGAGTCTGGGAGGTGAGGGTGGGTGGCTATGAGGCTAGCACGTACGTGCCCTGATGAGTGGTGTCGTCTGTCAAAGGCGCGGGTTTGAGGATGTACGCCGTGACGGCAGATGCGTTGAGCTCATGAAATCAGAACCCGCGCATTTCGGCGGAAGGGCTGGTTTTTATAAGAGATAAGGAAGGCTATGAGGTATTTGGCTAGGATTTCCGCAGTTCTCTCCTCACCCACTGGAGTGTCTGGGATTTCTCTCGTCAACGTCAAGATTTCTAGAGCCACCAAACCGTACCCCTCCGCTCACTATTACCATGGTTCAGGCAGTGTTCATCCCCAAAACCTACATCGTAGTCATCTCTCGTTATCCTCACGTGTGGTGTAATCAGCACCGCATACTCTCGGAACCGCAATCGACGATAGGCGCAGCCTGCGTCCCGTCCCGAACCTCTACACGCATACTCTCCAGCCGGCTGAGGGATGGCACCAAGCCGTGAACATCGCAATGCGACTATGCTTGATAGACAGCGTATCTGGTTTCACCAACTGGTGGGAAGAGATGTCGGCTTTTATATGTCTACCACCATGGCACGCGGAGGAGCATCTGGCTTGCGTGTGGAACCAGTCGTCGTTCGGAAAGACAAGAACTCCTAGAGGGAACATCTACAGGCCGCCAACTGCCGCAAGATGAATGAGAAGTCAGAGACACAGCTTGTCAAAGGTAGCCTGCGGCATCGAGGCCAATATATATCTGGCTAAAAGTGCCTCTCCTCCTCCGATGTCATGACAGCAGATAGACTCAGGCTCCCAAGTGTGGCTTGTCGAGAACAGGACTAAACCACAGGGTTCATATGTCGACGATGCGGACGCATGCTGTTTTGTTTCGCGTAGCGATTCTAAAGAAATCCAACCCTTTGCCATCCGTCACTATTCCGTCTCAGCGGTCACTGTCATCTGCTGAGTATCATGCCGCCCTAATACATGGAGGATGAAAACACGTACGGGTAGTACAAGTTTAGTCGATAGAATAACATGGGAAGCCAAGTCCCAAGCAAGTATCAGTATTTGCGTTCATCGACAATGCTTCCCAAGAGCTCCGGGAAATCCTAAAGCAGTCACGCGTGGCGCGAACAGGAAAAAAAACATGCTTGACTGGCTATATACTCCTCATCTGGTTATGCGGAACCCAACCAGCGACAATAAGAACAAGTAGCAACCGCAGGAGGAGACGAGAACCCGCTGCTAGAGGCAACACTCAGAAGAGCCATTGCGGTTGAGAAGTTTAGACATCATTGCTCGCTTGGGATCTCTGAGAGTCTAGACAGATCCTGAACAAGTTGTTCTCCAGAATGAAGAAAACCAAGTGTAGCTCCCACACGAAGATACAACTACTCGTTCAACTCAAGAAAGAACAAGAAACCAACTACATATGTAGCAGCTGCCAGATTCGCCTCAGGCTTCGATCGAGATTTAATTTCACATTCAACAAGGCCCGGCCAGCAGGCCTGTATACTACACGACGTTCCTCGTCGCCGTTACCTCTGGTGCATTCACCGCCGCATACTCTCGGGAACTTCGATAGACGACGCTGCGACGCCCCGTTTCGAGTGAAGAACCCTGGTTTACGAATAATGTCGGCAATCGTCAGATAGACAGCATGTACCCCATTAGAGTGAACACGTGGATTCTTTCGGCGTCTACGCGCCCACGGCGCGCCTGGTTGAGGGGCTACGAATCGGCGAGACACTCTGTTTATTTATACCGTAAGTAAGCTTCCCATGCTGTATGCGAACTCTAGATCGTGTATATAACAGGCACATATCTTCCTGTCTTTCTGACTACTTAGGGAGAGAGCAGATCCAGGCTTGAGATCTCGTCAGGAAAACCACCCGTCTTCGATGAGAACCGTCCAGCCCCGTTCAAGCGAGATCTCGTAACCCTCGCTGATCACACTTTTGTGGCCTGGCCTCTCTCTCTCTCTCTGGTGTCTCCCTCTTTTTCGAGCGTAGCCATCCCGCAATCAGCGCAAACCAAACAGCAACAAATACGAGTTCGTGAAAAGAAAACCCGGATTTTCCTACACAACTCGACCATCCACGCCCGGCACCCGCCGACGATCCAGTTGCTGATAGAACAAACCGATGCAGCCGATCGAATTCGTCTGCGTCCTCTTGTTGGTTCTGGAAGTGGTGTCTGAGGGCGGTGAGCCGTCTACTAGATATACTTACTCCGAACTCATAGCTCACGAGCCTCGTCGTCTTGCCAGATCGGTCACTTAACACCGGGAAGAAGGGGCATTCCCAACTATTCAGCTCTTAGCCCCAACAAGACAAGAGGCTCGGCCCGCACGAAGGGAAAAGCAACAATAAGAAATGGAAAGCAGGTCCATGGGGAGTAGTACTCGTCAGAATACTCAAGCGTCAATGAAGAGATGTAGTGCACGAGCAGAGGAGCCAAGTAGTATCTCAACCGGTCTCAACGCGTATATATAACCACGAGCCAGAAGCTAAGCCGTCATCACATACTTTCAAACCTCGGCCTCAAGCAAATAATCCACCAAACGTCAGCGAGGCGCATACCCCCTTACTTTTCAACCACCCAAAGACATAAAAACCAAGCAAAGTATCCGTCCATCCACCCATCCACCCATCCACCAAGACTCCCCGATCAGAATCCCCTTCCCCCGCCATCACATCTTCACAAATCACGCTCAACACATCCGGGACTCACAATACGTCGTCAGCCACCAAGATCCCCCACCTCCCATCCAGCACGCATGTCCCCCATCTCCAACGTCCTCTCCACGGCGTCATGGATGAACCCGGCCACGGCTAATAGCATGCACCGACCTCGAATGCCAAGATCAGACGAACCGCCACGACGACACATCGCATTCTTCCCAGCGAACATCCCAGATACCCAGGGCCTGCATGGTTCGAATCGGAATATCATCTCACGTCCGAGCCAGCATCACCCCTCACACCACCGAGACCCGGACCCGGATCCCGATCTGCTATATGCAAGTGCGGGCGGGACGCATGAACCTCCTCTCTCAGTGACTCACTCACCCATTCACTCATTCAATCCCACACAGCCAACCAAGTAAAAAAAAAACCAA